TTCTGGTTAATTTAACAGTCATGATTTTCAGATCTGAGGAACTAAATCTCTTCATGCAGTAAGAGAAAAAGCGTACAGTAGCTCGAAAGTGAATGTTTGGTGCGCGTTGGCTGCAGATGAAGGGGTCTAGTCTGGACACCGGTCGAGATCGATATCGGAAAGCCAGTCGGGATTCTCTTTCCACTCGACAGCGGAAGGGAGAGCGAGTCTGGCCCCTTCAAATTCCGTCGGCGGAAAGTGAAGTAAAATTCCGTGCGGAAGTGACGTTTATTGCATAGCAACCAGTCTATCTCACCTCTACATTGCTCCAGGCTCAGGGGAATCGGGTAGTTTGTTGTCAAAATGGCTGTTTCGCACGTGCTTATTACTGAGGATGGCGGTAGAAAAAAAATCGAGTTCGAGTAAATGGCGAAATTTTTCGAAAAAATACGCTGCTGGATTTAGTAAAGAGTATGGAAAAATGAAATGGGGAACGTTAATGGATATTTTAAACGCAGAAAGAAATGGCCTTTTCAAAACTTCAGGTATGTGAAAAAACGTAAACATAATTTTACGTATGATCTATTGCAAAATGAAAATTTTCTAAAAGGTTACATGTTTGTAAACTATTTGTTAACAGGAATTTTATGATTAAAATACATTATTTTGTCTGAAAAGGTTATGCAACAACGTCATAAGTCAAATCATTGAAATATAGCACCGCGTACGCGTGTTTAATATTCCTAATGAATTTGAATCAAAAAACATTTTAATTTTTAACAACCCATGACTATATCAATAATTTTATTTATTCAGGAAATTATATCCTATCACGTAGCTACAAATATACTATGTGTCGTAGATACCAATAAGCAGTGAATAAAAATATAACAAACTTTTAACAAAAGTAATAGGAAGAAAAATAAAAAAAAATTAAATAACTATAGTTTAAATCATAAAACATATTATCTTGCACACACACACACACGCATATATATATATATATATTAACATATGCAGTGAAAGGAAATTCCAATACATATTCCTATTTATACCCTTTTTAAATCGATTCCACCAGTGACCGTGTGGTAAAATCGCTGAACACTGGTAGTTCGGTCCGAGATCCAAATACTGCGAACGGGTTTGTTGCATTACCAACATATCTCTGATAACCAATATATCTGTCATTACCAACATATTTCTCGTAATTTCCAAAAGCATAAAAAATTAAGGCATACAAAACCTGTTTTAAATAAATAATTATATGTATATATAAATGTATTATAAATATATTAATATATGCAGTGAAAGGAAATTGCAGTACATATTCCTATTTATGCCCTTTTTAAGTCGATCCCACTAGTGGCCGAGCGGTAAAATCTCCAAACACTGGTAGTGCGGTCCGAGGTTCGAATCCCGCGAACGAGCTGGACGCATGCGCGTCATTACCAATGTATCTGTCATTACCGCTATATCATTGGTAATGACAGATATATCATTGGTAACTTCCAGAAGCATCGAAATTTAAGGCACAGAAAATTTGTTTTAAATATATATATATATATAAATAACAGTATAAATATATCAACAGATGCAGTGAAAGAAATTACAGTACATATATATTTATACCCTTTTTAAATCGATCCCACCAACAGCCGGTAAAATCGCTGAACACTAGAAGTTCGGTCCAAGGTTGGAATCCTACGAACGGGCTGGTTGCATGGACGTTTTCGTGGTTTTTCCCATGTGTTACGTGTATACGAGCTAGTTTTCCTTAGAATGTTCTCCACGAAGGCAACCCTCACTTTAGGCAGATAGCCCTCGAGGCTTTGCCGTAATTACATAAAACTAAAACTAAGGACTTTTTTTTATCTGAATAAATATACACAAAACTGATGTAATATCTAAAAATAGACCTCATTAAAAAATCTGATAACTAATTATAAATCTTGCATTATAATATTGACAAGAATTTAACCGAAAATTATACAGGAAATTCTAGAAGCTATTGGAAATTGACATTGATATCGATACAGTTAAAACTACTTAAATAAATTTTTTAACTCGAAGCAATTTAATGTACATGTTGAATTTAGGATGTGCATAGTTTGAATTATATACTGCATATTCTTTAATGCATGTCTAATGTATTACATTTTTATACACTACAAATTCAAATAAAAGTAGAGGGAAATGCATTATAATTTAAAACATAAAATTTCAAAATTTATAAATTACTGATCAAAACATGAATTAAGTACATTGATATATACATTAGTTTAAAAATTACAATTTTAAATTAAAAGTTGCACCCCTTCTTTATATGTGAAATAGGAAAACACCAAATATATTATTTTCACTAAAATTTAATGAAGGCATTGGTAATGTAGAATAAATAAATAATGTAGAATCGTGACCATCAAATGCGTTATTTCTATAGCGAAATACTCGAGTTTTTCACAAATCTTAAGAAATTAAAATATCTATTACGTACACTTTCAAAAACAATCCGTGACCTCCGCCGTCCTCAGTTTAACCCTAAAACGACAGACAGAAACTTAAACGGCAGCTGTCCAGCTGACGGAAAAATTTCCGACGCGTCGATCTCTGTAATGATCGAGACGATAACACCAGACTCGCTCTCTGTCGAGTAGATCGCAAAAAGCGACCCGTTCTTCTATCTCGACGGTGTCCAGACTAGGGCCCGAAATCTTCGAACCATTTTTCTTCATCGAACAGTTACAAGCGTTACATATCTGGATATGCTAGTGTGGTATGCATTTCCTGAATTTTAACGCAGTCAGCTTCAAGTTATCTTTCAACAAGACGGCGCTCCACCACACTGGGGTTCCATAATTCTAACGGAGGTGAACAAAACATTTCTTAACTTTTCGACTGGTGGTGAGGGCCGATACCATAGCTACCAAGATTCTCCGACAATGCACTCTTTGACTTTTCCTTTTGGGGACAGAATCGGTGTAGGTTCGAATATCGATGACCTAAAACAACGAATCACTGAGGTCAATAGAGGAATAACTTGCTGAAATGCTGCAAAACACTTGGCGTGGTGGCAACTGGATTTTGCGTGCCTTAAATGAATCTCATGTGGAATTATTTTAATGCTGAAGTTATTTAATGTTTAAAATTTTATTGTGTAAAACCTTTTTAAATTGCTTTTCCAAGAAAACAATGACCGCATTTTGTTTTTTCTTTTTGAAACACGAAAGTCGCTCAATACTATTACCCAACCCTACATGTTACAATTCAAAATGTATGGTTTAAACATCTTCTGTAATGCTTTTCTTTCACGAAGTCTCAAGAATTCGATAATTTAGGAAAACGTTGCGTTGCATTGCTCTAGGAAGCCTTGGATGCTCCATAAAAATGCAAGTTTTTATCAATTTTCTTTTTCTTGGTAAACAAGATGGCATGCGTCTTGTCCACATTAACAAGGACGTCCATTTTTGCAGCCAAATCTCCTGTATGTTTATGTGATCTTGTAACCGTTGTATGGAATGCACATTGCGTCAGGATCGCTGTGTCATCTACGTACATTGCGAGTGTCGTGTTGGGTGGTTGTAGGAATGTCGTTCACATAAATATTAACATAAGTGTGTTAGCCAGGAGGGACCCCTGGGCTACTCCAGCTATTATGGGACGTTGAGTAGAATACGAGCCGAAAACATGAACGACGAAGTGTCCACCGGTCAGATAGGATTTAATTATGTTTGTGATGTAATCTGGGAAACCCAGATTTTGTATTTTGTAGAGGAGTGCTTCCAGCCAAACGCGATCGAAAGCCTCAACAAAGAAAGTCAATACATATTCATTGGCCTCAATCCGACAACAATCGGTGCAACTGCACTGATTGCATTGGCCTTGAAACCGTCTCGCTAAATCCAATCCTAAATAAAATCTCCTTTTACAATACTGTTCAGTTCACTTTCTAATTATACTAATTTGTTTTTTAATAATATTTATATTTAATGTGATAAATTCATTTTTAGCATTTTCCAGTTTTCCATCATAACTTCTCATATTGATGTTGCTCATGTATTATTTAAAATTTGGCAACACTCCAGAAGATTTTTCAGCGGAAACTTTTAATTATTTTAAACGTTTTATTATTGCTTTTAATTTGTAATTGCAGAATTATTATGAAGGGTAAGTAAAAAGGAAATAATGGTTGAAAAAAATCGAGACAATTGAACTTACAGGAAAACTGAACGATCATATTTTTAGAAATTCTTTTTGCATCAGATTTATGATCAGATTTAGGAAATTTAACATTTCAAGTTTTGTTCATTCATGAGACGAAATCAAATATGTGTATTTTTAAACTGATGACTAAAACATTGTCACATAATAAAATCATAATTCAAATATATATTTAAAACACAATAGTGAGTTGTATAAATAATACATATTTCCTATGTATTTACTACTTTTTGGGGGAGGAGTCAGTGATTCCGTGGGTGGGAGGGAGTATATATAAATTGTACCCTTGGTGTTTAATTTACTAAAATTATTAGTGCAAGGCAACTAATGGGAGGCATATCAAAATTAGATTTCTCAATATTTTTTTTATTCCCTTTTTTTTTCCTCATAACATTACTGTTTCACTAAAATTTAGAACATTGCTTCTCAACCTATTTTGCCCCAAGCAGCCTTTTTACCATTACTAAAAGATCATCACTCTCCTTCTCATTTCCTAAACTCGAAAAATGTATACACACATTTATTGTAAATTCGTTCAGCTCAATAAATAGAAAATAATATCAGTTTGTTAAGTAATAAAATGTATGTGTATGATATGTAAGTGTAGGAGCTTTATGTTGCCTTGTTCTTGGAATTATAACCATTAGATTGTAAATTTTATTAATACTTCTTTTTACAGGTTAGCAGTTGTTGTTATTTATTCTGAAACTAATATTATGCAATGTAGTAGTTTATTACTTTTAATACATATATGTATATATTTATGTATATATATATTTATGCATATATTTTAATAATAACAGGTTATGGCTAATGTGGAGCACAATCGCTGAGAAAAGCTAAGTATTAAATTCCCATGGTAATCATAAAAATATGTATGTGCATCATAGAGACAGCAATAGGATCTTCTTTCTTTCTTCACCATGCATGCAATTTCCTAATGGATGTTACTAAATGGAAGGATTATTAAATTGGTCAACTTCAGAACCTCCTATGCATTCTCAGATTACATGGCTGGTCTTTAGAATTGCAGTTTTTTTTAGTTCATCTCGTTTCTGTGATGGCTACAAAAATTATGGCTATCAATGCTCAAAGCATTTAATTTTTGTCTTCTCACATCTACACACATTTTCCTGCTTATTTCCCTCTCCTCAACTTTTTATCAATCTCCATATTCTCAATAGCATCATTTTCCTGAAGGTCGTAATCCGTTTCCTCAATTCAATACAAGCACACCATCATCACAATGTATACATAATTATCTTACTTCCTTTTCTCACTGGATGTACTGTGCACAATATATTAATCTCTGCTATATGATCTGTGTGACTTAGATTGCATCTTAATTTATAGGAGACTAAAGCTGTACTGAGAATTTTAAACAATATTTTTATAACCACTTGTCAGAAATCAATTCTGTAACTATGTGAAGTATTGTATAGATCTGGATAAACTTATTTCAAATAAATTAAAAATATTTATATTACAGTGATTTTTTTAAAATTTAATCCACAATTTATTTTTCTTTTAAACGGGACATTTTATCACTGTGTATTGTGAACATTTTTTTTATGTGCATGTGCTGACAATTCTGGTGCATTTATATAAACTGACTCGAGATAAATAATTTTTTAAATTAATTAAAAATGTTGTGTATTTTTTATAGATTTGAATATGGCTGACAGTGTTCTCATTATTGGAAGTGGAGGCAGAGAGCATGCTTTAGCATGGAAGTTATCTCAGTCATCAAGAGTTAAACATGTTTATGTTGCTCCAGGAAATGCTGGGACATATTCTGATCCTTCAGGGAAATTTTCCAACTGTGGTAAGTTTCCAATTGTGGTACTAATAAATTGTTAAATTTGATTTTACTTTAAAAAATATTTTTTCTTGATAACACTGTTAAGTTATTGATACTTTTCTGTTAAATACCTGCCACATATTTTGGGAAATGTTCTTTTTTTAATTGTAAACAATTTCTATTTATAAGAATAGTTTATAGACGGCTACATAATTATTTCATCCATCAGATTTACATAGCATTATTACAATACCATTTATTATTACAAAAATGTATTGCATTCTTAATTACTAAAAAACATAAGCTGAAATGAATGGGAACACTAGACAGGAGACATAAATTTACAAATGATTGCTAGTGTTGTAGAGACATTAGGTATGGCGACTGGGGTTTTTAGGGGACCCAATCGCCAAACCCTGGGTGAGGAGAATCATCATCCAACACCCTTTTAATTCGGGTGTCACTGTAGAGACATTAGGTTAATTGGAAAAGCCAGAAAGATGAAAAATTAGCAAACGCCTTCGCTTTGAATCTAACCACATACTTTTCAAGCGCGCTGAGCGTGCAGATCACTACACCACAAACAAATTTTTCTAAGCCTAACCATGCGAGTTCATCCATAGTAAAAATGAGTTTCATTGAAATGATGGAAGTATTTATTACAGAGAAACTTCTAGGATCACAAAACTGAATGCAATGGAAATAGATAGTTGAAGGTTTACTTATAAAAGAAGGAATTTTCGAAGTATGTTGTGGGGAAATAGTCAAGCCAGAGCCAAGAATTTATTTCCTGTAACTCAGGCACTAGATCATTGATACGAATTTAATATGTAAAATAATACATGTGAAATTTTGAAATCCAAAAATGTCATTGCTTTTGGAACTCGCGGTGGTAATTTAATTCAAGTTACTCTGCAAAACTGTGTTTCCCGAAGTTAAGTGTATTGTTATATGCCCCCCCCCCCCCTGAAGTGCAGTTAGGTGAAACAAATTTTCTTCAGTTCTGCCATGAAAGACTGGGATATTTGGTACTTACGTATTAACGCAACCAGGTCAAAATTCGCATAAATCGCCAAATTTGGTGACCCTACTTACGGCAACCCTACGTGTTTAGACGAAAGTTTATTTGTAAAAAGAAAAAATAACACTGGGTGTGTACTACCACAGCAATGGGTTTCCGGCGGAATTTGCCGAGAAAAGAAAGAGACTTTTTTGGTTACTGTACCTAACAGAAGTGCCGTTACCCTCATGGGAAAAATTTGCGAAAATATCAAGGAAGGAAGCATCATTTATTCAGATTGCTGTAAAGGATACAATACAAGTGAGTTCGAAAATGCTGGATTTCTGCATGGAACTGTTAATCACAAATATAACTTTGTTGATCCCAACACGGACATTCACCCACATCATATAGAGCGCATGTGGGGCTCAGCCAAATGGCGCAACAAAAAACGGAGAGGAACAGCCCATCATCATCTTGACTTATCGAATTTATATGGTGCCAAGCTCAAGCTGTTAATGGCGAAGACGGTTTTTAATCAGTGCTAAAAGCAATAGCCAAAAGATTTCCGCCTGAAAAAATAATTCTGCAACTTATTCAAATTCGAAACCGGAAGGGTTTAATTGCTATTTTATATTTTAAAACAAAATAATATAAAAAACTGTATTAAAAAATTATCTATAATTAATAAATGTACATTTTCTTTCTATTTCTACTTTTTTACTCAAACTTGCAAATTGCGCCAACCTGGCTGTGATAATAAGTAAGTATCGGATATTTAAATAAACAGCATATTAAAAATGTATTACTGTACCACATCATTGAAATAAAATTGGAGAGTGATTGAGGCCTGTATATCAAGAAAACAGCATAGGTTGCGATTCCAGTCTTCAACTATGTGCTAAAAAGGTTGGTGAACTTGTTCATACTGATCTTTGTGGGCTTACGGAACAAGAACAGGTGGTTCTTGCTGTTATTTATGTTTTACAGATGATTTCTCCTAGTACAAAAAAGTGTATTTCTGAAGCATAAGTCAGAAACCATTGCTAAGTTTGAAGAATTTTGTAAATTTTTTCAGAATGAAACAGAGAATCCAATAAAGGCTGTTTTAAGTGATGGTGGACTTGAGTAAACAAGTACTTTAAAAACATTTTGCGAAGAATGGGGACAGAGTTTCGGTGTTTTTTTATTGTATGTTTCAATATAACTAAATGTAATGTAATAAACTAAATGTAATGTGGATTTATATCCAGTTTCTGAAAATGGGGCTTGATAAGCAAGAAAACTTGATTTTAGATTTGTTAGATAGATAAGAATGGAGGGTCCCCCCCTCTTGCTAAATGCATTTCTGTAAATATATAACATTAGTACTTATTTTCATCTCTATTTATTGAAGTTAGGATTAGAAGTTTGGATCCAAAATTCCCAATTTCTGAAAAGCTCAAATTTTGGAAAACCATTAAAAACAAGCATTTTCTTGCTAATGATTCCAAAATGCTCTTGGTATTTTATACTTAAACTCTTTGTTTTAATATACTGCCTTAATTACTTGGACTAATTTCTAGATTCATGTATGTGTATTTAAAGCTGTTAGAAAAAAAATATTCTTGGACACACACACACACACATATATATATATCTTCAACCATTAATTCTCTATCCAGGCCATACATATAGCATTATAAAAAAATTTATTAACAACAAAAATATCCCATACAGCCTCTTTCATGTCTTTGTGGTTGTAGTTTAAAATTGATTACTTTTCCCCTATATATATCTTTATATACAGTGGTGGTCAAAATTGTGGACACTTCTGGAAATTTTTATGTTTTTGAACTTTGTATGCTTATAGAGAAAATGTTACATTTCGCAAAATGCAAACTTGTATATATCATTTTAAAGAGAATTTATTACTGAATTCAATACAAAACACAAAATTCAATTATTTGCAATACAAAAAAAGTTATATGTACTTTAATACAAATAAAAAACACAGTTATGAAGTGGTTTATAATGCCTAGCTTACCTGGCCAATCACTGTTCTTGTTCTGAGAACCAATCAAATGTTAGTAACTGCCAATAGAAGCTGACATCATGTTTACACTTGAAACAATTCATTATTTTGCTTTGTTCTGTAGAAGGAGGACCTGTTTCTTATACACTGCAATTACAAGTAGGAATTTTTGTAAAAATTTTTAATATTTAGTCAAGAAGCAATGACATCAGATAAAAGAGTAGATTGGACACCTAGAAAGAGATGTAATATTATTGTGTTATGAGAAAGTGGTCTTTTCTATGCTGAAATTGCAAGACAGGTGGGTGGTTTAGTGACTACATCTAGAGTCCGAAAGTTTTGTTTACGATTTCAGGAGACAAATTCAATAAAAAACAAAGAAGGAAAATGCCGAAAAAGGTGCACCACATCTATTGATGACAGAAGAATAAAAAGACTATGTCTCCAAGATAGAAAAATGTCATCAGCGGCCATCAGAAGTGATCTGAATGATGCTGGTGTTTTTGTCATTTCAAGAACAATCAAGAGAAGAGATTAACAGATGTTGGACTGAGAGATAGAATTCCATGAAAAAAGCCTTATCTTAATTTTCAGGAACGGGAAAAAGACTGCAGTGGGCAAAGGAACACATTAATTGGACAGATGATCAGTGGTCACAAGTTATATGGAGTGAAGAAACTAAGATATCGTTATGCGGTAGTGATGGGCGAAAATATGTAACACATATAATAGGAGAAGAGCTACATCCTGACTGCATTCAAGCAACTGTGAAGAACCCAGTTAGTGTTGCCCATCGATGGAACACTGAATGCCAGAAAATACATTGACACTATTCTAGAACCAAAACTTTCCATCACAGATTTCTTTCCCAACAATACTTCGTTTATTTTTCAGCAGGATTCTGCTCCTTGCCACACGACCAAAATATCAAAAAAGTGGTTTCGTACAAAGAGCATTAAATTGTACAAAGAACATTAAATTATGGCCAGGAAACAGTCCTGACCTCAATCCTATCGAAAATTTGTGGCACAGTTTGAAAACTCTTGTCCGAATGAGGCGCCCAGCAAATAAAAGGGAACTAATTGAGGCTATAATTTTTTCCTGTCATCATGTAATAACGAAAGAAGAGCTTCAAAACCTTGTCAGCTCAATGAAACGTCGATGTGAAGCTGTAATAAAAAATAAAGGTTACCCTACTAAGTACTGATAACTCACTGCAATCATCACTATCTAATGTATATCAATAACTATTATCATTTATTTTTTGTATTGCAAATAATTGAATTTTATGTTTTGTTTGTTACTAATAATTCTCGGAATGATCTATACTTCGGTACAAATTTTTATTCGAAGGCCTCCGAATTCGACCTTGTACGCGACTTTCGCGAATTTTGCTAATTTGCGCGTGCGCGTGCACAAAATACGTTTGAATGCGCGTTTAATGTATAATGGGATAATCTAAGCTAAAATTATCTAATTATCTATTTCAGTTAATCTTGCAGATTGCGTTGTTCCTTAATCTTCGAATTGGATCCGGCTTATTATTTTTTTGCAGACTGTTAGAGCAATTTTATAAAAGTAAGCTTGAACTTTCGATTATTTCAAATAAATTTCCGATATTATTTACTAATACAAGGATTACAAAGCGAAAGTATCTTATAGTCCATTACTTAAATGTGGGTCCTTGGATGGATATCTTTGCAGATCAAATCAATGCTCGATATAACCTTTGTTTATCGAAAAAGTGATCTTTAACCCCGCTGAGCGCAATGAAGAATTGCCGTATTCTCGCAACACGCATCTTGAACAGCCGAGGTAAGAACAAAAATTTGTCGGGCTTAAAATGAAAGATTTCCTCTGATGTACTCCATCTTTGAATAATTGAAGCAACTTCAAACAACTTACATTCCGGTAAAAAAGAAAAAGTGAACAAAGGGTAAACGAAAAAATTTCGATAACAAATTAGTTCCCGGTATTCTCGGCACAGCAAACCGGAAAAATCGATAATCGCCGAACTAACGAGGTATTAACGAAATTTGACTGTTTATACAAGTTTGCATTAAAGAAACATAAGGTTTTGAAGCATACAAAAAAAACATAAAAAATTTCCAAAAGTGGCAATTTATTAAGCTTTTTTTGTTGCTAAATTTTGATACCCATAGAACAATGAAAAAACGGTTTACTGTTTACGTAGTTTTTAATTATATCTCGCCGATTAAAGTCATAACTGATGAGAATGGTATTGATGGAAAATTTTTTGATAATCCGGAATCTCGGCTCTCCGGATTTCGAAAAAAAGAATTTGGCATTTTGTAAAATCCCTCTAATAGGAAATAAAGTTGAAAGGGGAACATAAAAATTTTAAAAGTTTCCCAATTTTGGCTAATAAGTCCCACGAATTGCGATTGGTCTAAAATTGGCTCCGGACCTGCAGAAATCTAAATGTTTACGTAATTTTTTAAAATGTCTCGGCCGGAGAATTTTTTCACGAGGATTCGTCAAAATTCCCCATTCTTTACTATCGGACCGGCTTATTGCCATTTCGTTTACGGATTATAGATCATTCAAAATCTGTAAGATGCACAAAATAAAATAAGCAACAAAAATGAAATAAAGAACAAATGATCTAAAGGGTATCAAATTTACAAAAAAAAAAGCTTAATATTTATTTTTTACTTTATTAACAAAAAAAAAAAGTTCTTTCAATGTAAGTTGTTTAAGTTGCTTCATTTTATGTGATAATACTTTCTCTTTAATTCTATAAAAAGACATAATTTCTTGTTCAGTTACAAAGTTCCGCTGTTCAAGTCCCGTTAATTGCTGTGCCGAGAGTACCGACTAACTTGTCAATCGAAATTTTTTCGTTTTCACTAACCTCTCTGTCACATTCTTCATGTCTTTATCCATTTTTTTTGCAGCATACTTTCGTTTTTGTTGTTGGACATCGAAACATATTTTCGTTTTGTAGATCCTTTGGAAGTTCCAGCATCAGAAAAATTTGCTAATTGAAAGTTCAAAATAAATTGCTCTTACAATCTGCAAAAAATAATAAGCGGGATCCAATTCGAAGATTAAGGAACAACGCAATCATTAACATTAACTGAAATAGATAATTAGATAATTTTAGCTTACACCGTCCGTTATACATTAAACACGCAGGTGAAAACGTATATTCTGCACTTGTGCACACGCATATGCGCAGTAGTCAAGGTTACGCGCACGTGTAAAATGCCTGTGCGCATGCAAGAAAGTTTTTAGCTTTGAGGTCCGGATTATGGGTGTCCGAATTAACGATTTTTGACTGTATATGCAGCTTAAGTGTCTGTTTGTCGTCGATAGTCTATTGGTTGCTTGCGTAACTGTTCTAGCCAATGGGGTGAAGTTGCCACGGCATAGATTGCAGTTTCAATTGAGACGTAGACAATTTCCTGTAAAACTTGCCTTTACTATGACCATCAATAAGTCTCAGGGCCAAACGCTTAAGCTTGTTGGCATTTTTTTGCCTGAGCCTGCATTTGGACACGGTTAACTTTATGTTGCCTGTTCAAGAATTCATGAAAGAACGGACGGAAAATTAAAAATAATTGATGGTCCTCTGCAAGGCAAGCTTAAAAATGATGGAAAGATCTACACAAGAAATGTTGTGTACGAAGAGATCTCTGACATGTGAATTAACATTTTATTATTTAAATCACCTTTATTTATTGAGCTAGAGGTCACTTTTAAAAAGTGTACCGCCAGTGGTTTCCTTCATTGCACTCTACTTTAAGCAAGTCGAAGGAGGAAACCCCGTCAGTAAGCAAAGAGGCATCCTCACCGCCTGCCCTGGGTAATTTAATTTGCAGACACCTTTGCACAAATCATTTTAATTACAATTTATAGTATCTAGAACAGCAGTCATTTCGTATGACCGCCAGGCTTTCTAGTATATATATATACCCACACATATGGCCTAGCCAGCAAGAGAACTAATGGTTGAAGATGCATCAGTGTAGAATGCTAATAGAAAGAGATTCTGAATTTTATTAAATTTTATATTGTATTTTTATTCTTTCTTTCTTTTCTTTTTTTTTTCTTTTTTTCCTTTTTATTTTATATATATATATATATATATATATAATAGTGACTATATATATATATAGTACTATATATATATATATATATATATACTCACTGCACTGCAAGATAGTAATTTTTTGAATTTTTAGAATGTTTTTTTTTTCATAAATATATAGAATGGAAAAACTGAATCAGTTAGATTTAAAAGATTTTGAGATGCAATTACAAGGTGATGACAAAAGATCAGATCTTGGGTGTGCTGTAGGCCCAGAGGATCCTTTAGCTAATGGTAAGTTTGTTATGCTTTAAATCTTGACTAACTATCTTATCTAATTCAATATTAAATCATCTGTTTTTATAATAGAACCACGGGATCTAACCAGGATCTGAACAGGGCATGCAAAAAAGTTTTAATCGGGGTAAAATGACTAGCTGCGTGAGTATTTACGTGTCTTTTCGCAGATATCTGTGTATGATGAATATGAGACAGTTTCTATTAGAAAATTCCCCATGAAGACCCCTTATGCAGATAGATGTAATCGAATAATTGTGTGTTTTACCCTAATCCAGCAAATGAATAAAGTGGACTAAGCAGAATGAAGTTTACGAGATTCTTGAAACATAATCATTCATCATGAGACTCTTGAGCTGTTTTTCATCTTTTTATTTATAACAATTTTGATCCTGTCTGAGATAAATGTATAATTCATTCCTGAGAGATCTCTTCTATAATTCTATAATTTTGATTCTGGAGTATTTGAAAGTTGTAGTTGCACTTACAACCCTCAGTATTTGCAATTTAATAGCAATGTTTTGAGCTGGCAGATGATAGAATATCCTGGCATAAAACATCTTTTGCTTTACAATGTGCTTTCATGAGTGTTAAAAATCTGTTAATATAGAACGATATAGATAACATTTATATCAGGACTGTGGTTGAACAATTCAAAATGCAAAAATTTTCCTTATCTTAAGGGCAGATTCTTTTATTTTATTCGGCTTATAATTCATTACTAAATGTAGTATTTCATCTCGATGTACTCCATCTTTGATATGATTTAAATCAAATTCCTCGTCATTATAAATATCGCGAGTACACATCAAATAGTTTTCTGGTTGCAATTTTCTAATTTCAATTCGAAATGTTATGCTTTACGCATGCGCGCATTGAAAGAAATGTTTAATAAAGTAAACAAATAAATATTAAGCTTTTTGTTTGTAAATTTTGATACCCTTTAGATCATAATATCCTGGCAAAAAACATCTTTTGCTTTACAATGTGCTTTCATGAGTGTTAAAAATCTGCTAATATAGACCACACATAGTAGCATATTCATATTTCTCGATACTAAAGTATTATCAGAAGGTTATACAGTCAAAAGTCGTAAATTCGGACACCCATAATCCAGAATGATCTATAATCCGGACCTCAAAGCTACAAACTTTCTGCGCATGCGTCGCTGCGCATAAGACCTTTACGGCTGCAAATATGCATGTGCGCATGCGCAAAATACGTTGACTCATGCGCGTTTAATGTATAACGGACGGTATAAGCTAAGCTAAAATTATCTAATTCAGTTAATGTTGCAGATTGCGTTGTTCCTTAATCTTCGAATTGGATCCGGCTTATTATTTTTTGCAGACTGTTAGAGCAATTTTATAAAAGTTAGCTTGAACTTTAGATTATGTCAAATAGAATTTCCGATATATATTTACTAATATGTAAAGGATCTACAAAGCGAAAGTATGTTTCGAAGTCCATTAAACAAAAAGTGGAATTGCTGCAAAAAATGGATAAAGGCATATCCTTTGTTTATCTAACCATTCCGAAATCTGTTTATCAATTTCACGCTGCTATGCGGCGGGGGAAGGGGATGCCGCTGCACACAATGAAATGGAAGTTTATGTGTCAGCACTATCCTTATCTTCAGGGCAGATGTTTTTATCTTATTTGGCTTATAATTCCTTACTAAATATAGTATTTCATCTCGATGTACTCCGTCTTTGATATGATTTAAATCAAATTCCTCGTCATTATAATTCGCTTCCGATAGCGAAGAAAGTGACACAGAGGTTATTGAAAACGAAAAAATATTGATTGACAAATTAGTCGGTGTTTTTGACACAGCAATTATAGGACTTGAACAGCGAAACTTTGTAACTGAACAAGAAATTATGTCTGTTTATAGAATTAAAGAGAATGTATTATCACATAAAAAACGAAGCAACTTAAACAACTTACATTAAAAGAAATGTTTAATAAAGTAAACAAATAAATATCAAGCTTTTTTTTTTTTGATACCCTTTAGATCATAATTGTTCTTTATTTCAAAAATTACGGTTTCATATTTTTAATTTTATAATTTCTGCATGCCATCTTACCGGATTTATACTGATGATCTATAATCTGGAAAAATCGATAATCTGGAATCGCCGAAGTCCTGACGAGTCCGGATTAACGACTTTTGACTGTATTAACATGATACACATAACATTTATATCAGGACCGTGGTTGAACAATTCAAAATGCAAAAAATCCATGATGCATACATTACAACTTAAAACGACTATTCAAATTGAAAATATTGTCAATGATCTCAATGATGGCTAGAAAATTTAATAAACAACAAATGACTTTTTATATTTTAGGGGAACTTAAATTAATTGAAAATTAATAGGATATGGTAACATAATTTCTCGTAAGAATAAAATAAATAGTAGACTTGGATCAACATTTAGTACTCTAATATAAAAGGAAGAACTAATGTATCAAAGTTAGTTCAGGAATTATTTGCTAAAAATCATGCAAAAATCATTTGCATAAAAGAATAACAAAGCATATAAGGTACTGGATTTTTGTATTTACTTGATGACAGTAAGCTTCAAGTAAAGCACACTCAGGCTATCTGCCTAATGTGTCTATTTTTTCCCTAAGAAAATTTCGGTTGACTTCTTTCATGAGTACTCATTGAGAAAATGATTAACTCATTTATCAGATAGCAGGACAGAAGGCCAATACTGTCAACAGAAAACTCCTGAACTAGCAACCAGTTACCTACTACAATCCGTACGTCCATAATCCGGAATGATCTATCTGGACCTCAAAGCTACAAACTTTCTGTGCTTGCGTTAACGCATGCACGTTTAATGTATAACGAACGGTATAAGCTAGGCTAAAATTATCTAATTATCTATTTCAGTTAATGTTGCAGATTGCGTTATTCCTTAATGTTCTAATTGGATCCGGCTTATTATTTTTTGCAGACTGTTACAGCAATTTTATGAAAAGTAAGCTTGAACTTTCGATTATATCAAAAAAAGTTCCGATTCTGGAGCTGCCAAAGGATCTACAAAGCAAAAGCATGTTTCGATATCCATCAAACAAAAAGTGGAATTGCTGCAAAAAATGGATCAAGGCATATCCTTTGTTTCTCTAACCATTCCGAAATCTGTTTATCAATTTCACACTGCTCTGCAGGGAGGGGGCACATCGTGGCGCGCAATGAGCTGGAAGTTGATCTGTCAGCACTGTCCTTATCTGAAGAGCAGCTTCTTTTATTTTATTCGGCTTATAATTCCTTACTAAATGTAGTATTTCATCTCGATGTACTCCGTCTTTGATATGATTTAAATCAAATTCTTCGTCATTATAAATATCATGAGTACACATCAAATAGTTTTCTGGTTGCAATTTTCTAATTTCGACTATGCGTAATGTTATGCTTTACGCATGCACGCATTGAAAGAAATGTTTAATAAAGTAAACAAATAAATATTAAGCTTTTTGTTTGTAAATTTTGATACCCTTTAGATCATAATTGCTCTTTATTTCATAAATTACAGTTTCATATTTTTAATTTTATAATTTCTGCATGCCATCTTACCAGATTTAAATTGATGATCTATAATCCGGAAAAACCCCTAATCCGGAATTGCCGTTGTCCCGACGAGTCCGGATTAAAGACTTTGTACTGTACTCGTTTTTATCTTTTGATTTTGAGCAATGATAAAAGGCTATCTGGATATAAAGTGACAAGCCAACTGCTGGTTATTTTGCATGACAAACTGTGAAATCAGGAAAAGATTGTCAGTCCAGTGAGTGGGTCTTTGAATTTTTGCACTGAAAACATTCAACAGAATATTAAGGAAAAGAACAATTTTTGTTAAGTTTGTGCTGTGTAATATGTGAGTGGAAAACATAATTGCATTTTATTTGGGGGGGAATGCTTTTATTCTGATACAACACAGACAAAGCATTTTTCTTTCCATCGCCTCCTCGAGGTGCTTACATGTCACCTATAAAGTAAGCACTGTGCTCCTGTAAAGGTGCTTGCATAGCACATGAAAAGAGGCTTGTATGATAAGGTAAAAGGATGAGATACATACCTCATTTTTATTACATTTTAGCTCCAATAATTAATGAAAGTTTTCTCTGGTTATTGAAACACAATTCAGAGTTATCTTGAGAAGCATGTTAACTTGGAAATTGGCTCTTGAAGACAGCATGAAGATTTTATTTTTAGATAGAATATGGGAAAAAAGAGAAGAAATTAACTTATGAGAGAAGAGCAAAGACTGACTGTAGTGAACCACAAAAAATTTAAGACCCTTTTCAATGTGACAACCCCTGCCATAGAAAATAACTCTAAGACAAGCAGAAAATGTATATCCCTTGAAGAAAAAATAAAAATTTTGGATAGTGTAAAATCTGGTGAGAAAGTAATAGTCATTGCTAAATGTTTAAAATTAAATGAGGCAATAATTCAAACATTAAAAAGAATGAAAACAAAATAAGATCTAGAATTTCCTCTGGATCTTTAAATCTGAATAAAACTGCTTGTATAAAAGACACTTGAAGGGCCTTAAAGTGGAAAAGCATTTGATGTTATGGATAGAAGATTGCTCTTTGAGGAATTTTCCTTTGAATAATAATGTGATAAAGCAACAAAGATTTACCAGCATGTAAAAGAGCTTGAATCATTTCTTTTAATGTATGACATCGACACGAATTTAAAGCCAGTAAAAATTGGTTTAACAGATATAGGAATTCATTTTCCTTGCACTGTGTCAAAATTGTGGGAGAAAGTGCATCAGCCGACATATAGAAGCAGCCCAGAGATTCTGAGACAATTTTCGCGAAATTCTAGAAAACAGAAATTAGATCTGGTATATAACACTAACAAAACCACATTATATTGGAAGAAAAGGCCCAGACTCACTAATATCTCACAAATGAAAAGTCTGCTTTGGGATTTAGGGTTTCCAATAGTAGGATTACTTTACTTTTATGTTCAACTGTATTTGGATATAATGTTACAAAGCCCATGTTAATTAACCTTTTATAAAACTCATGAGCAATGAAATGGGTTGACAACTCGGTGCTTCCTGTTTTCCCAGTGAGCAAATAAAAAGGCGTGGGCAACAAGTATTTTATTTCATGATTGGTTTTACAATTGCTTTGTATGCCAGAAGTGGCAGGCTACTCATACAACTCTGATTTCATATAACACAGAATGTATATACTGTGTTATAGGGGGGTTTATATCCATTATGTTATTTCCGAATCTATGAAAATAAATAAGAAAACTCATTTTTTGGATGCTTGTATCTTCTTTCAGATTTTCATCCATCTAACCATTTTTAAAACCTCATGCTTTCCTAAAGCTTTTACTAAGGCTATTATAGAAAAAGGCTATTATTAAAAAAAAAAAAAAAATAATAACTATAGCATAATTATTTCTCTATCGTTCTTAATTTCTTTGGTTAACTAATGCTGTAACTGTTGAAGAAAGTTAATGTAAATAATACCTGTATCAAAACCTGATGTAAATAATACCTGTATCAAAACCTGTGACCCATCATCAGTATTTTCATTCATTAGCATCTTACTCGCTTAAATTTTATCAAAACTGGTGTAAAATAGTTTGATTGGTGCTACCAGTTCATTATTGATATAACCATATTATTTATGAAAATATATAGAAATAATGTATTACTGGAAAATTCCAAACTTTTCTTTAGATTCCATTTCTGTGGGTTTTTTTCCCCATTTTATTCTATATTAAATTCGTTTAATTTTTATATATACTACACTGTTGGAAAAAATAATGCATCAGTTCATAAAGAATTTCTCTTTTCTATAATTCAGCTTTAAGCATTGTATAAAAGTTTTGCGTAGAGCTTCTGCAACATTCAAATTTTGATGGCGTGTATTATAGGGTCTTAGGCAAATTTGATGGAATATATTTTCAGGTCTATAACAATTGTATTTAGCTCTTCAAATATAACATAACAATGGAACATTCCCTGTTTTCTTCTAGGGCTCTCTGATCATCTGAAGAAAGCTGAAATTAAATGTTTTGGACCATGCCAAAAGGCTGCTCAAATTGAAGCTAGTAAAGATTTTGCAAAATCTTTTATGCATAAGTATAGCATACCTACAGCTCGTTGGAGCTCTTTTAAGGATGCACAAAGTGCAAAGGACCATATCCTGAAGTAAGTTTTCAGTAGCTTATTCAGAGATCCAGAACTCTAAATATTCAGATATTTTCTTCTTTCTTGTTATTTATTTGTGTTTAATTTTGAGTTGATTTAAAAAATATTAAATATTCCATTAGAAATGTAGTTTATTTTAATACAGTAAAAAGTATAAAAAAATAATGTATTTAGAGTATTATTAATTTTAGTTTTGTAACTCAAATTAGTTTCATAGTTTTACTTTTGTTGAAATGCAAACTGATAGTATCTTTATATAAATTAAAATAACTTCATTGTTTCATTGTGTTGAAAGAAATGAATTTTAATATATGGAAATAAAAAATTTTAATTTTTAACTATACATTTTTTGCTGGAATAAAGTATATAAAAAGTAAAATTCTCTTATTTATTTTTTATAAGCATGTTATTTTGTAATTGTTGATATGCTGATTGATTGTGGTCACTGTTAATCTGCATATTTAAACTTCTGTTTTCATAATGATATTTTAAAAATAATCATTGCTTTTCCACTTTTTAATAAATACAGCTTTTTTATTTTTATAGTGCTCCTTATGATGCTTTAGTGGTTAAAGCTAGTGGTTTAGCAGCTGGTAAAGGTGTTATTGTCAGTGATACAAGGGAAGATGCAGTTAAAGCAGTTGACATTTTAAAACAGGTAAGAATAAATATTTTCTAGAATGGCAATCTTCTGTGAACATTAATTATGCATATCTTATACAACAATTTGTTTTGCTAATGTTTAAGAATATGTTTTCGAATAATAAACACAGGTTATATCCAAATATAGTAATATAAAATTAAAATTATTTTTGCTATTAGTGCTGGATATTAAATACAAGATTATTTATTTAAAAAATTTTAAATACAAATTTTAATAATTTTTTCCACAAAACACTTATGTCCTTAAATTTAAGGGTTAAAATGCAACACAATTTAATAAGATCACAGTTTGCTATTGTGAAGTTAATTTCACTTAAATTAATTTTCAATGATATTGTTAACATTTTGATCAAATTCTGAAAATAGTTCTCAAATAGTCAAAAAATATGAAAATATCAGTATGTTTTCTCTTATTATAATGATACTAATAATTTTATAAACTTTGCTGTAGGCTACTAGTTTTAAGGGTCTTATGTAGATTCAGGGCTGAAAATTAGCCATCTGTGTTCACAGAACAACAAGCAGATTCTGGTTTATCTTCAATTTCTGATAGATAAAGAGTTCAGTTGCTTAATTTCATGGTTTTGTTGTGTTCAGTATAATTATCAGCTAGTTTCATTTAGAAAATTGGTTGAAGACACTTTTTTTACAACAATGGGGGTTCTTTGATATATTTAATCAATCAAAAAAAATCTAGGTAGATAAATCTGATAGTTGAACTTTTTAAAATTTATTTTAGTATTTTCACCAATTAAATACTGAATTTAAAATATGCTCATACCTTCTGACCGAATAAATTTTGCAGTTTTTGTGAATATTTTATTTTATTGAGCCCAATTTTTAACTGAAGATATAATTAGTTTTAAGTTTCAAAATATACAAGAAGCAAGAATATAATGTTAGATGGTGAAATACAGCTGCCAAAATGCATCTAGTGATGTTTTTCAACAGCAGTTTTACTCATAATTTATAAATACACCTGTGCAATTTGGAACTATGCTGTGCTTAGAAAGAAAGAGCTGTAATTGCTTTAATCTCTTTCACCCTCAAACTATGTACTCATGCGGTATTCTTGCTTCATTAGTAGGAATGTATTTTCAATGGTTTTAAGACACTTGAAAACTTGAAATTATGATAAGTAGAATTTAGTATCACATGTTGTTACTGCAGCGAAAATGTTGCTGGGAATGCAGTCCTCAGAAATACCATAGGAAGAGGCTGATTTTGCTTGTATTTTCAAAATTACATTTTGCTGATCCTGAGAACTTTAACAGTGCTGGTAAAACTTATTATATGAATAAGGTTTATAAGTGTCTGCAGAAAACATGAAGAAGTAATTGCAAATTGTAAGGCATTAATGAATTATAATGAAATTCAGATAAATAGACTAAAGTACACAGGTTTAAACAGCACTTTGATAAAAATCACTATATTCCATATCACACATAAGTAAATAATTTGTAATTAAAAACTAAAGGTAATAAAATCATTCTACATATATTTATTTTCTTTACTTGTCTTAATGAATGACATTATATAAACATTCCCTGCATGACTGATTTATATAATCCTAAATAGTCCTAAATTTTATTAACCTTTTAACTGTCAAGTTATTCTGATGATTTGGGTGCATAAATTGTCAATTTTTTTTAATTCCAAAAATAAAAGTTTGTCTCACAATAAAAAAAAAAAAAAAAAAAAAAATCTGTGCATTTTTAACTTTAACCTCTATCCTTCGAAACCTTCAGCAAAGTCCTGCCATCTGTTGAATTGAAGCCGAAATAAACTTCTCACGATATATATTCGGGCATAACAATACGATGCACTCAAAAAAAATTAGCCCGAGTAATGTTCGGGCTTGACATTTTGGAATACCAGTGCTGTGCCCGAGGTTATTTCGGGCATGGCAGTTAAAAGATTAAAAATATATAGTCCTAAATTTATTTAAATATAATATATTTATTAAAATATATATAGTCCTAAATTTTATTAAAGATATATAGTTTTGGGGACACATTGTCCCAAAAATTATCTGGAAAACTAGAAAATATTATCGGGACATATCATCTCAGCAGTGGAGACTGCCTTAGCTGTCTCGAGGCAATTTTCTTCATAGAGGTCTTCTTACAGATAATCAGTAATTTGCTGCATTCCAAGAGAAGAAGTGGTCTAATCCAAGTTTGAATCCAGCACAGTTTCTGCAGACAATGTAGGTTCTTGTTTTGTCTCCTTGGTAAGATTTTCATCCCTCTGAAACTTAAAACCTTAAAGACTTTTTTCAAGTCTTTAAGGTTTTAAGTCTTGCCAAGTTTGCATAGCTGAAATTTCTGCCTGATGGTCATTAGTTTTGACTTCAGTAGAATTCATTAAGTGAGGTGGAATGATGGGATTCTTCATTTAGGTCCAATGTACCATTTGTTAACCCATCAACCGCCAAAACTACAAGGAATGTTTCTTTTCTCATGAAAATAATAACAAATATTAAATTAAGCATTTACAGTCAAAAGTCGTTAATTCGGACACCCATAATCCAGAATGATCTATAATCCGGACCTCAAAGCTAAAAACTTTCTGCGCATGCGCCGCGTTGACACATCTGCATAGGCGTTTAGGCGTGCGCCTAAGGCTCTCAAAGGATCTACAAAATGAAAGTATGTCTCGATGTCCGTCAAACAAAAAGTGGAATTGCTGCAAAAAATGGATAAAGACATGAAGAAGGTGACAGAGAGGTTAGTGAAAATGAAAAAATTTCGATTGACAAGTTAGTCGGTACTCTCGGCACAGCAATTAACGGGACTTGAACAGCGGAACTTTGTAACTGAACAAGAAATTATGTCTTTTTATAGAATTAAAGAGAAAGTATTATCACATAAAACGAAACAACTTACAATGAAAGAAATGTTTAATAAAGTAAACAAATAAATATTAAGCTTCTTTTTTTGTAAATTTTGATAATAATTGTTCTTTATTTCCTAAAATACAGTTTCATATTTTTAATTTTAGAATTTGTGCATGCCATCTTACGAGATTTAAACTGATGATCTATAATCCGGAAAAATCAATAATCCGGAATCACCGAAGTCCCGACGAGTTCGGATTAACGACTTTTGACTGTATAACATAAATTTATGTTGAAAATAAAAAAAAAAAAAAAAAAAAGCTCTTACCTGTGGGAAAAGCGAGTGTTGCGTTCACGCAACGTCAGCAGAATAAGACTACAGATATTTAGTGAGTAGGATTGTACTCGTGTGATGTTTTTTTTGAGTGGAGCGCAGGATTGCTTTTTAGCTGTGTAACGTTTTATAAATCTACAAATCACTTTACTTATAATTAATTTAATATTAAAATATACATTGTATTTCTTTTACAAATACAGATTATTTCAATTGAAAGATTCAAGCATGGAAAGCTTGATTACAACCATGATGTAAAGCTACATTACATACTTTGCATCTATAAACAGTCTGGCTATGGTACTCTTTACAACAAAGTCTTTTATTATCAACGGACTTTACGATAAAATGTCTACCATCTCCATGCAATGGATTTTGAATGCTGAATTTACTAGGTCTTCCTGTTGCTGATCTATTTCTGGCTAATTCTACACTCTCAATAGGAGTTTTCAAAAGGAATAATGCATTCTCGTGTCTGAAATCTAAAAGAGACTTTATATTTCCAGTAGTAAAAAATAGTGATATTTAGTAAGTTTAGATACGGTCTCACCTCGTATAATTTATCAGTATTTTCAATTTGACTATTGTCAAATGCAAGTTCTGCTTCATATTCCTGTACTGCAAACGTGATATCGATTCTCGTACAACAGGAACAGAAATGTGCTTATCAAAAGACCAATACATTTTTTCTTGAGGTAAAGAATGATATCCTGTAAGCAATAATATTCCAATAAATCTTCTCATATAGGCTTCAGATGCAATAAATTCTGGGCGCCGTTTTTTTTTTTTTTTTTCCTGAGCGTAAATATTTGTCTGTTAAACGTCTAAACCAAAAAGAAAATCGAAAATCTTTGCACTAGTTTTACCTTGTATTTTGTCTTTTATAATTTCTCTTTTAAATTTTTCTTCATGTTCTTACTGAGACATAACTAACAGTTCCTTTTCTATCACCTCAAGTCTTCTGCTTTTTAAACTTTTTAGTATAATAAACTGCTGCTTTTAGACTATAACTGCTTTTAAAAGGCTGAAACTACTTATTTCTTACGTGAATTTCAACTTCCTCAGCAGTATCATTTGGTAAAATATCATTATCATTATTTAAAACATTGCCATTCCTTTCTTCTTTGTCACTAATTTCTGCAATTTCTAGGGGAACAACAAAAATAGCAGTTTCATTCTGGTCATTATTAACATTATCATCATCTGTTTCTTCATCAAAAAATCTTTGAAGGGCTTCTTCTAATGTAAGATACCTCGTTCTAGGCATTTTTAAACAACCAGAACATGAACCAGAACATCGAAAGGAATGAGTGAAAAAGGAGATCGACTACCCGTTTCCTGCTGACGTTGCATCAACGCAACACCTGTTTTTCTTTCCTTCCCAACACAAATATAAAGATCTTACTAATGTAATGTTCTGATAAACAGTGACCTTGACTAAAAATAGATCACTCATAAAGATGGCAATTCTTTGGTTAAATATTTTCAGCAAAAATACCCGGTCAAAAATTTTGCTTAAATTTTGCTTAATGTATGAGATTAATTATAAACAAAATGGTTGTTGAAGGCAAATATTTTTTTACAGAAGTAATCTTCATAATATTCCCTACACAAAATCATCTGCTGGTATAAAATATCTTAGGTAGTATATTTATATACGTATTTATTTTGACCGTTGCGTCAACGCAGCACCAGCGGTTAATGGGTTAATGAAATGCACACAGCCAGAACACAGGGTGTGACAATCTGGAGAGTAATTAACTGGGACATCCATTCACCATTAGTTGTGCTGCAAGGTATTCTGACTGTTTACAGGTTTATTGACGACATTTTCATCAGCATAGCCAATGCAAGCTAGCAAGTTGACCAGGTTTTGTTTCCCAGCAGGACAATGTCAGGACGCATTCAGCACGACTTTTCCAACAATGTCCTTGACTGGCCTGCCAGGTATCCAGACCTGACGCGTACTGAACATATTTCGGACGTATTGGACAGACAAATTCAGGCATCTACAAATACATTCCAACTATTTGATCAGTTGCTCCATTTGTGGCAGTCTACCACAGATGGACTTTCACAACTTAATAGACTCCACGTCCAACCAAGTATCGGTTTGTATAGCTGCTAGGAGTGGTGGCTTTACCACCTACCAATTTGGCAACTTAATAGACTCCACGTCCAACCGAGTATCGGTTTGTATAGCTGCCAGGGGTGGTGGCTTTACCACCTACCAATTTTCATATTCTTTGTATTGCTATTAATAAGTAGAACACTTTTTTGCACCAGTTTTTGATCATTTGTTTATCTACTTGAGTTATACTACTGCCGAGTTTATAGAGTTTTAAGCATTATACTACTGCCGAGTTTTGTAGTTGTGTTCTTAATTCTTTCAAGGTATATATATATATGCATAATTTTTTCAGGGTGCATATATATGCATAATTCTTTCAGGGTGCACCCTGAAAGAATTAAGACCACAACTACAAAACTCGGCAGTAGTATAATGCTCAAAACTCTATAAACTCGGAAAATATATATATATATATATATATATTTACTATAGAGTGCATAATATCTCTAAGCATTGATTTATTTTAATCAACTAAGATATTAAAAATTCAGTTTTATTCAAAACCAGTGTTAAAATAAGGTTGCTTTTTTGTTGAATTTTTAGTATTGTATTGACATGTTTTTCTTCCATTCATATACAACAGTAGTCATCGAATGTATCATATTGATAGATCGCACTACCATAGCTGCATTTCTTAAAATGCTGATACTTGAGTTGATATGTTAAAATAATTTCATTTTCATTTCATAAAATTTAAAAATTTTCCAGAATGCTTTTTTAAGGATCTTAGAAAATCAGTACATGACATGTTTTTTTTTTTTAGTCCAAAGGGGCTTTGTCCCTGAAGGACTATTGTTTTCGTTTTGCGATTTTGCGTCGGACTCATAAACGTCGGTTCACTTTTCAAACTGTTGCCACAAAATGTTAGCGTCCTGCATTATATTTGAAGAAATTAAATAATGAAAAATCTGCATAAATGATTGTCTATTTCTCGCATTGTGATAAAACAATGGTACATAGAGCCATCGAATTTTGAATGACGAAAATCCTACTGCGAATATGGGCATCTGAAATCCCAAATTTGGAATTTGTTTTATTATAGATTTTATATTTTGTAAAACTTTAACGAATTTTTGATTTAACAAACTCAATGGATTTAAAAGCGAGCAATGGCAACGTTATATAGAAAAAAAATACTTTTATCTCCAGCTCGCGAGACTGTGTATATCGGAAATTCTAAAGATATGCTTAATTTAACATTATTTTGCGATATTGCTCTTGAACTGAATTTTATGGTTTAAGTGCAAAGAACATGATATTTAATAAATAAAGGTAACACTCAAAACTTTAAAAAAACGCCCCTTTGGACGTAATTTAAAATCTGAAACATTTCAGATTTTTTTTTTTGCCTAAAATTATTTTACTTAGTTTTAAGAACATGTTGGAATAGTCTAATTACTGTACAAGTGATAAAACACAGTTTTTTGTTTTTATAAATCTTTAGCAAGAATTTGATTATCATCTTGATGTTTAACAGAAGGAAATTACATAGAGCACTTTGTAAATAAATCTGGACATTTTTCCTTTTATATCATGCATTTTGAAATCTAAAACTTAGCAATTTGTTTTGAACAACCTTGTATAGCCCTTGTTTAAATCTGAGTAGGGCAGTAATCTTATCATAGGAACAAAAGGGTAAAATTCACAGAACAATATTGAGGTGAATCAGGAAATTTCATAAATTTTATGCTGAGATTTGTATTAATAATTTTGTGAGAGATTTCATGGCTGCTGAAGATTTCTGATAGGATTTCCTTAGAGAAAAAATTCCTATAGCTACATAATGGGGCTTTGTAGAAAAGTTCCTCTAACTATGGAATAAGAAAGAAAACGTTTCTTTAGCTATGTAGAATTAAACATAAATACAAGTAATATGTAACTGAATAAGTATAATATTTTTCATTTTTTAACTAACCAGGTTCTGATAACTTAATCATTGATCAGCAATAAATAATTATTAAATAACATGTTTACTTGCATATTCCCTCCCATTTCCTATTAATTTTACTGCTTGAAAACTGGAAAGGGAAAAGTACAGAATATACTGTTTTTAAAGAGATAACTTAAATGATGCGCATACATAAAAACACATTAATAATTAATTAATTAACACATTAACAAAGATTATTTTTTAAACAAAATAGTTTCCTATTTGTGCATCATTTCATATTGTTGTCATAAATATCTAAATCATGTGCTTAAAAACAAAAACTAGGGGGAAGAAATATGCAAGTGAATATGGTATATGTATGTACCTAGTCATCATATACTTTAATGGAAATTTTTATCTTGCTATGTGTTGTGAGTACTTAAATTTTCTCCATTAAATGTAGGGGAAGAAATTATTCTATATTGAAACTATTTGTCATTATTTAAAGAAAACAGAAGACTGTTTTACAAAATTTTGGAAAGCAACTTTTTCTAGCATTCCAAGATTCTAGTAAAACTAAGGGGTAATAATCTGAAATTTAAACTCTTGATTTGGATTTTAGAATAGGATTTCTTCATGGATAAGTAGTCAGATTATTTTAATATGAAAAATAATCTAAAGATTTAAATGGGAAACTAAAAAGGAATGAGAATAACCTGAAATTCACTGATCTACCCAACTTTTTTTTTTTTTTTTTTTTTACAAAATCATAGAAAATTTTCTAAAATTTGTGAAAATAGTCATGGAAATTCATGATGCAGTAAAGTTAATCCTTAAACATAAGTAACCAGATGAACCACCTACTTACAGATAAAGATAAGCTAAGTGCTTAATACACTTTATTGTAATATGCAGTAAGAAGATTGCTAAATTTAGGATGTATTATAAATACTATAAGTTTTGAATGCTAGTATTAATATACAGAGTAAAGTCCGTCCTCAGGGAATTCGGTGATTCCAGATTAGGGGTTTTTCTGGATTATAGATCATCAATTTAAATCTGGTAAGATGGCATGCAGAAATTATACAATTAAAAATATGAAACCGTAATTTATGAAATAAAGAGCAATTATGATTTAAAGGGTATCAAAATTTACAAAAAGAAAAAAACTTAATATTTATTTGTTTACTTTATTAAACATTTCTTTCAATGTAAGTTGTTTAAGTTGCTTCGTTTTTTGTGCTAATACTTTCTCTTTAATTCTATAAACAGACATAATTTCTTGTTCAATTACAAAGTTCCACTGTTCAAGTCCTGTAATTGCTGTGTCGAGAATGCCGACTAACTTGTCAATCGAAATTTTTTCATTTTCCAATAACCTCTCTGTCGCATTCTTCATTATCGGAAGCGCGCATGGGTAAACGCTTTACTGGCTTTACGTACATACGTAGTGGACGTGCACATCAAATGCGCATACGTAAACGTATTATGCACATGCATAAATTTGTGGCTTTGAGGTCCGAATTATAGATCATTCTGGATAGTGGACATCCGGATTATGGACTTTGTACTGTATAATGTATATGTTCAATATCAAAGTAATGAGATAATTTACATTTTTTGTTATTCAATAAGGAAAGTGATACCCTCATAATTTACATTTTTGTTTTCAATAGGACAAGGGATTAGCCTCAGCAAGTGAAACCATTGTCATTGAGGAGCTACTAAAAGGAGAAGAAGTTTCAGTTTTGTGTTTCAGTGATGGAATACACATTTCAGTAATGCCACCAGCTCAAGACCATAAACGTTTACTTGATGATGATAAAGGACCAAACACTGGAGGCATGGGAGCTTACTGTAGGTGCCCACAAATCTCAGAAAAGGATTTGAAATTTATCCAAGAAAATATCATGCAGAAAGCAATTGATGGCATGAAAGCTGAGGGTGTACCTTATATTGGTGTTTTGTATGCAGGATTAATGATGACTAAAGATGGCCCAAAAGTTTTGGAATTTAATTGCAGATTTGGTGACCCAGAAACCCAAGTAATTAATGCAAATAATTTTATATAATTGCCAAATTTTTTTTTTTTTGAAACTAAAAAAAAAAAAAAAAAAAAAAAAAAAAAAAAAAAAATTGAAAGTCTTTTCATAATTTATATTATACAATGAACCTCCCGCCAAAGAACAATCTTAAGATTCCACAGGATTTAATAATTGATCATTAACCTTTTCGCGACGGCGCACGTTTGTTTAAGACGCTCGTGTGGGACGGAAGGGAATCGAATGCAGTCACTGTACAGGATGTCGGTTTTGCATCGCTAAGCCTAATTTTGTAAAAAAAAAAATCAGAAAAAAAAAAAAAGTTTCACTTCTAGCCTCGTAATTTTTGGTATCATTTTAGATTATTACTTGAGCTCTTATATATGTTAAAATTAGCACTTAATAATGTTCTTTTCTTTATTTTACATGAAAATATACTTAAAAATTTCCTTATCTTGTAAAATAATTTTCGGAAGCGCTATTCAAATTATTCCAAAGTTTTAATTGATAAAATCCATCAATTAATAAAACAACACAATAAAATTCTAAAATTAATAAAACAACACAATAAAGCCTATTTACAGTAAGAAGTAACAAAATTTAAAATGAAGACTGAGTGTGGTAAATCTCGAAGCACAGAGAAGTATTGCTTTCTATTTCTTAGAAAAAGTATCACTTTTTAAATCTTTAGAAAAAGAATCATCACTCTTATTTGCGTTAGTTAAATGGTTCATTAACCATACGAGGGTATTCTTCCTTTGATAAATAGTGCCTTTGCGCCATAATAGACCAGATTCGAGACTTCCAGAAATGAAAAGAGAAAAAAACGGGAATATATCTGAAGTCAATGCAAAACTGACTGGGCTGTCTAGTAACCCTGAAAGACCGTATATAGTAGAGGAAAAAACAGAATTAAAAAAGGAATTGGCTATAAATCAGACACGCGGATATTTACATTAGCACGCGGCAATTTAAAGAGCCAACCTCTGTTTACAATTCGCTCCATCCTCACAACAGTTGATGAGTAAAATACCAAAGTCAGACAGAATATATCAAACTCAAGGTCAGGAACCTAAAACTGTGTTCATTTCAAAAGTAATGGACATAGAATGCCATCTAGTGGCCTTCAGAAAAACGTTTCAGCTTAAAATGTGTATACGCATCACCCGTCCTCTGAATGCAATCTCTAGTGATGCGTGGATGGGACGCCCGGTTGTAAGAGACATTCTTAGGGAATGTGTATATGGAACACCCGTCCTGAAAGAGTTAAACAAACTATTTAACTTTTGTTACTTTTATTATAAACTTTTGTTAATCAAGAATCATATTATGCAAAATGTTGAGCTTTTAAAATTGGAATTATAAGGAAAAAGTTATTTTGAAGGTAGGGTCTGATTATTGTGATCAAGGATGTAAGATTTTATTTTTCACTATAATACTTCTTCACTTCATCTTATAATTCCTATAATTTTGTTTTCTACTCCTCACAAAGTATGTTAGCAGCCCTTGAAAGAATCCTGTGTCTAAGGCCTAGATTGCCTGAGCCCTATTAACTTCTTTTCTTTCTAGATAACTCACCATGCAAATGTTATTTATTTGTATTAATAATTTGCTTTTATTTCCCATGTGCACTTATTATTTATATGTATTAAAATTAGTTTTTGTAAGTTTTCTGGCAATATGAAGCAAAGCAAATGCATGCATTATAATTTTCAGGTCTTGGGATTATAAACTCCAAGTCTCAAGTCTCTTTATCACTCATTCAGACTAAGAAGACAAACTATGTCCTTAATTTCTTTACAATGAAAGTTTTAACTTCGGCTGATATATAACATAGAATTGCATTGAAAAGTACTTTTTAATTTTTAAAACTATTCATTTTTTTGTCTTTTATCTGGATTATATGCCCAATGGTGGATCAAAAATTAACACAAACGTCCCTCCCAAAATTTTTTTCAGTAGAAGGTAAATATATGTATGTGAGTATGTGCATGTTGAAATTGAGTGCTTTTGTTATATCTCTTTATAACATAAAATTCACTTTTTCTGATCAAATCTGCCAATTAGGACACACCGGAATTCATGAAGGATTGATTGTCCAAGCTTTCTGCAAACAGAATTCTTTTATTCCATCCCCCTCCACACACACACTCACACACACCATTCAAATGAAAATTGTCTACTCGCACTTTTTTAAAATTCATGCTGCCAAATGTATGATTTTACTTTTTCTTAGAAGAAAATAGTTTAATAGTTAGTAATTAAAAGTTTCTGCAAACAAAAAAGTCTATAACATGCTGATTTTTGTAGTCGCTTTTGTAAAATCGCTTTCACGTGTCATTTCAAAAAAAAAAAAAAAAAAAAGGTAATAATAATAAGAAAAAGAATCAGAAGCCTAATTTCTCAGCTCAGAGCGTTTTGTATCTATGTTGTTACTGCATGATTTTGCTATTCAAAAATTAAATAATTTCTGCCTTTCTGAAAGTTTTTTTTTGCTGTTTCAACCAGAAATTGAATATCTGATTATATCACTAGATAACTATCTAAAATGAATGATTCAGATGGGGCAAGAGAAATCATAAGGTTAAGTATAATAAGCAAGTTGTTAGAGAACATCATCAAGATAGCAAGTGTTGTTATCATCAAAATAAAGTTAGCTGATCAGAAGTCTTGAATTATTAACAAATGCTGCCAAACTCAGTGAGCAGGATTATACTGTAGGAATAGAAATGACATTTGGTTGATGTTAATTATTGGAAATTTTGGAAAATAAATATTTTGATGCATTTTCATTTGCTAGTGGATATGGATGAATCAAGCATTATTGTTATCATAGTGGCATAGCAAAATTAAGTTTGGCATTGTATTCTAATTGGTTGAAAATTCTGTTTCTGAGCTGTATATTATAAGCAAGATGTTATATTTGGTCAGTCGATATATCCGTGCACATTTTTTTGGTAAATTTTTCATTAATATACAAACACAATTTAACATTTTAATCAATTATATATTTTCATCCATTATCTGCATTTAATTTTTTTTCCCAATAAAAAATTTTGCAAGGCACAGAATAAGCGAAAATCACTTGGGGCAATATCTGGGGAGTAAGCAGGATGTGTCAAAAGCTCCCAATTAAATTCACTAATTTTTTGATGCATTGTTCGAGCCGTATGCGGGTTAGCGCTATTATCATGAAATAACACTTTCTTTATATATTCACCAATCATGGACTTTTTTGATCAATTCTGAGTTTAGACGGCAAAGTTGTTCACTATAAACTTCTGAATTAATTGTTTGATTTGGTTCTAACAGTTCAAAACATCCTGAATGGGATTCATCATCGATGCTGCTTTTTCCAACTTAAAATTTTTTAAACCATTTCTGGGCATTCCTTACACTAATAGTGTATTCACCATCTACACTATTAATTTTTATTGCTGCAAACCTGGCAGATTCATCACAGGAAAATGAAAAATGTAGCACAGCACGTTTGTACTGATTATCTATATTCATCTCCTATGGGTACTAAAATGCGTTCAATATTTAAGAAAGTTGGTGATGAACTGAATAATATGTTAGTCAAATGATGACAAGTTCAACAGGTTCAAAATTGTATTGTTTTAGTAAATACGTCATAGTGAATTCCAGGCATACTGTTAATGTGCACAAACTCATGGACTGACCTGATACAAACCATATTTCTATTAAGCAAGTTTAACCCACTTGAGAGCACAGCCTATAAGTTGAACACAAAAATGAGATGCTAAAAATATTTCTGCAATAATGGAACCAAATTTCGAATACCATGTTCACAGAAATCCATTTTCTGAGCATGTAGTCATGTGCAGATAATTGATTCCACTTCAAAATTATGCACTAGCTGGAGATGTTGCTGCAATCCATCCAATCACCTTGTATTTTTTTTAATTAATTGCAACTGCAGTTTTGTTATGAGCCTATAAAAATAGGCATAAGGCATCATTGCTGTTCAGTTGTTGTTGCCATTAACAAGAACAATATTTTTGTGCTACACTTTACTTTTCCCCAATAAGGCAACTGTTTCAGTAAAACTTGTTTGTGCTGCAACAGCCAAATTAGTTTTTTGCCAATATACTGTATTTTTCTTTTAACGTTCTACAAAAATTTCTGTACATTACTTTTCTATTAATTTTAAAAAAAATTAAAAAAGGGAAAAATATTTTTTTTGTTTTGATTTTATTTAATTAATAGTAATTTTTGTGTGTTTTTGATGTGTTTCAAAATTTTAATGTTTTATAAGAAAAAGATTTAATCATTTAATGAATAAATTTGAAATAGTGTTTCTAATTATATTACTTTTAGCAATTAAAAAGTTATCAAGCATTTTGCCAGTATCCTTAAAGTTTAAAAAAATTATATAATTTAAACTGGTTAAAGGTACAAAACTGAGATTATTTTTTGTTTCAAATTTAAAAATCTTTTTAATGTAGATAGACATCTATAAAAATATTTTGTTGCTTTCCCATTAGTAGCACTGCTTCAGACAGATGCTAAAATGTTTTTTCATATAATTTATCTGCTAATCATTGTTTAACATTGAAAGCTTTTAAAATTGCATTTGGTGATTTTCCTTGTAATAGATAACCTGAGCGTTCTTTCATAGTTTTGCCCTAAAATCTTTCTGATGGATTATTACTAATAAGAAACTATCATAATTTTTTACATATTTCTAACTATCAGTAAGATGTGGCTGGTGAGACATTATATGAACAATGTTATGACTCAAAATTGTTAATCCTTTTGAGTAGGCTAGATGCATGAATTTTTTGTGGCGTTTCCTATGTGTGATGAAAACATAAGTCAGTTTCCTTTAAAAAAATCTGTCATGAAAGCATTCTTGGCAAATGGCACTAATGTTTGGAAATAGCTTGAATAAGTTAACCCACCCATATTGGGAAATTGAATTAACCTAATAAATTATTATCCCTCTTCCTTAAATTGTCATAATTAATTCACATTGAAACAGAAAAACCAAAGTTTAATTAATTAATTTATTTAAATTTTCAGGTGATTTTGCCACTGTTACAATCAGATTTGTATACCATAATGCTGTCTTGTGTCAATGGAACTTTGGACAAACTTCAAGTTAATTGGGCATTGGATAAATGTGCTGTTGGCATTGTTTTAGTTAGTGGTGGATATCCTGGAAGCTATGAAAAAGGCAAAGTAATTACTGGTATGCAATTTTTTTTTTTTTCTTATTTCCTAATGTGTATTAGAGATGTACTATTCGTTCATGAGCTGATTTACTTTACTGAGGGAGAAATGGCTGATTCACCAGAAACTAGTCTAAATTTCACCTACCGAGAGCTTTTGTTGGAAGTATGCTAGAAAACTCTTTAATTCTGATTTTAGAAGAGAAAAGAATGTCCTATGCTAATAGTGAGTTTAATTTTTATTATTTCCCAATTTAAAAAAAATAATCTAGAATTTATATTAGTTTTATATAGAAAGGCGATTTTCGAGAAACTCAAGGAAGGTGTTTTAAAGAATCTTAAAAAAAGGGCTGACAATTTTAGGAATCTAAAAAAAAAGACATTGAAAGATGAAAGAAAGTAATGCCGGGAGTTGATGTTTAATTGAGTTGATTCTTCCAATCTTACTACTCATTTGATCCTTTTCGCCCTACGATCAATTCCTAATCCCACTGCTCATCCAGTTCTTTCCAATGGTCACTTTATCCTTGCTCACAATTCTTGATACACTCTTCATTCTCAATCATATTTATCTTACTCTTACTAAGCAGTGAGTCATAGAAATGATTCTGTACGAACGAATAGTTCTGATCTAACCCCATAAAAAGGCAGTTTTGCCGATCAGCAACATATATATATATAATTGCATAAGCCATGTGTATTGCTAAATTATATAGGTATGTGTCTATGTCAGTGCTTCTTGAACTTTTTTCTTTTCATTGATGGCCCTGTTTTATGATGGAGATTTTTTTTAACCACATATATTAAACATAAAATAAAGATATAAAAATAAATATTTTCCTGCAAATAATTTATTTCTTTGGCAAACATTATAGATATGAAAAGGAGTGGTTTCAGCATTTATTTCAGGTATACAGAATTAATGAAAGAAAATTGCATTTTAATGCTTGCTTTTTTGCTGCATAGCAAATTAATTCTTGGTGCAATATTTCACATTTTATTGTTGAAGAATATTGGGTTCAATAAGCATTAAAGCTGAAAAATTTATTTAACATAAGTATTTGATGCTGAGTGGGTGAAGAGCATTTGATGCCATTTCAGAAACTGTGGGAAATTTTTTCTAGCTTCGATCCAGAATTCAAAGACTTTTGTGGAAACTCAAATTTTGAGTCACTTGATAGCTCAACAAATCCCTCTTGGATTTAATATTGCAAGAGATTAATCTAACCAAAGTCAGTAAAAAATGGTTTAATCTAACCAAAAACAGTAAAAAATGGTTTCTGAACCCAAGATAACTTTCTTCATTACAAAGTATTCGCAAAACTGTACTAGGATTTTTAAATGATCTCTAATCATTTTTACAATTCAAGTTTTACAGTTATTTTTTCAATTAAAATTGTTAATAGTCATAATCATTTTGAATGAATCATTTTGACACTGTTCTTCCAAATTTACTTTTTAATAAAACCTACAGTTTTGTCATTTGAAGTATACACACACACACACACACACACACACACATATATATATATATATATTGCTATTTTTTCCTTGAATAGACATATTGAGATCATTTGAGCTTTTAAAAAAATATCTGAAAAATAGTACAGCTTTGATAGCCATGAATTATATGGGGGGAGCAATATGAAACTTTTGTTTGTTTAAAAATATAATAATTTCATCTTTTAATAGCAATTAATAACCATTGTTAATATATCAATCAATATATTAGTTACAATTGTTAATGCGACAACAATATTTTAATAACAATTATCTCAAGTTTAAAAGTGAACTGAATAGCAGTATCAATGGAATTCATTATTAAAAGAACTTTATTACTGTCAAACAGGATAAAAGTATCATCTATGTAGCAAAACCATACTGGGAACTTTAAAGTTTCAAATAATTTTGATTCATAATAATGCATTTAGATATCAGGGACTAAGAGGGCTTGCCATGGCTAATCCCTCAGTTTGCTTGTAATACTTACTTTAGAAAACAAAATGTGTTTGTTTCAAGCAGAGTTGAGTAAGGGAAATTAGCTCATCAGTTTCGATGCAGGAGAAATGAAATGCATGAAGTCTGTCTTCTAGACATCTTAATGCATTTAATCTTTACAAATATTATGCTGATTCTTGTTGTTCGACTTCTTCAATAATCTAAATATTGTTAGATAGGGTCTATGAAGATGTTTAGCTTTTACATGATGTTCACTGAGTAAAATTTCTAAGTAATAAAACACACATTTTGCTGTAATTAGTTAAAAGTATAAAATTCTTTATCTTTATATGGAAAATTCACTATGATACACTTAATTAACTGAAAATGTAAATGCAAACTGCAAATTTCGTAGAAATTACATAAGGCAATGAAATAACAATTGTTTTCTTATTATATTTTTATTTTCAAGGCTATGAGATTATTTTAGAAAGTATTCAGCAGCTTCTAAAATGATCATATGTCCTTTGTGTAGCTTGGCAGATGTTTCGAATGGATATTATTGCACATGCATGAATGGGCTACAGTAAATACTCCACAGTACATTCTTTAGAAAAAGAAAAAACACTGACTGAGCACCTGTATTGTGTTACTGTTATTCTATTCCCAGTATAATGTAGGTTTTTTCTTTGGGTAAACTTGTATCACATAGTTTGGGATTCATATTTGATTCCCTGGCACTTCAGTTATTTTTTAAAACTTTCAAGGTGGTCTTGTATTAGAGGAGCCAACATGAAAGAAAATCCTTGCAATATCCAAACAACAATCCTTGCAATACATCAGCAAAACTGATTGCTAACTTAAAGCCAACTCTACTTAACAGCTCATGTATGTCACATAACTGTTCCAATAAGAGTTGTGTAGCACAATTTTAGTTGCTTCTTATATGACTTAATGAATGAAAGTTCATTTTTGCTCAGAAGAAATTGCAGTACAGTGTATTTAGGAAAAGTAGCCAGAAAACATGCAACGAATTTCTACCTTAATGCTTTTTAAATACATTTTTTAACATTGCATTTCAAAATATTTTAAGTATTTGCATATAATTGCATTTCATCACCATTTTCACATATTCTATTATCAGATATTATCAACATCTGCAGACATATAGTCACCAAACATTGTATGCAAGAAATAAATACCAGTGTACTTTGTTTCATTTTACTTTCTTTCATAATGTTTTTGCTATTTCCATACAGTTTTAGCATTGTGTTTTGTTTTTCATATTGGCCTGTATGATGCAAAAGTATTAATTTAAATTCCTCATGAAAAGCGTGAGATTTTAATGTGTATAGGGCAGTGTTTCTTAACCTTTCTAGCGAGTCGCACCCCATTGAATCTGAAAATATATCTCCCGCATCCCATTGAAAAATATGTTTTAATTTTTTTAGTCTAGAAAAATACATTTTTTGCGAAACTTATTGTTTATTGAAAAACATTGTACATTTTATATAAATACAAAACAATATTATTTTTATTAATGACTAGTCTGTTGTTGTTTGTTCATTATTATACTGGCGAAGCGAGGTTCCTTTTTTGAAAGACATACGCGTAAGTCATCACTTGCATTGCATTTAAGCGATTTCTCGCTTTAGATTTTTATATGCAAAAGCGATGAAAATCCCATTTCGCACAAGTAGGTGGTAGCAAAGGGTAAGAGTAACTGCAGTGCTCCGTTCGCCAACTTCTGGATAACGTTGTAACTGTGAACACCAGAAATTGTTGCAATTCTAATTGTTCGAATTCCATTTGAACATGTCCACTTGCTTGCATTTCAATAAGTTGATCTTTTTTCAGATCACTATCATCCATCAAATTTAAGTCAAATAGAAATGGATCCAGTATCCATCTCTGAGTTTTGGTAATATTTCCGGTAGAAAAATATCCATTGAATGATTCGCTCAATCGTCTCAAATGTATTACAATGTCGGGTATAATTGTATTCTTTTCATTTTTCGCAATAACAGAATCAAGCAAGGGAAAGTTTGCAAAATTCCCCTTTTCTACTCGACGTATCCAAATTTCTAATTTTGCGATAAATGAAGATAATTTTTCACTAGATATTATTATATTTATACCAAATCCTTGCATTGATAGATTCAATTCATTTAAATGGCTAAATATGTCTGCTAAGTAGGCCAGCCTCAGCATTGCATCATTACTCTCAAAATCTTTTACTAAATAACAGTTTTGACTAGTCAGTAATTGAATAATTTCCTCACGCAATTCAAAAACTCTGTTAAGCATGCGACCCTTAGATAACCATCGTATTTCGGTGTGATATAGGAGCACGGTATGATCAGCACCGATTTCTTCGCAAAATGCACGAAAAATGCGATGATTAAGCGCTCAAGCCACGGATGTATTTTACTACATTTACTGCTGTAGTTAGATGTTGTTTTAAACTTTCTGGCAATGCTTTCGACGCAAGTGCATGACGATGCAAACATGCAATGCGTTATTATAACTTCCGGTAATTCTCTTTTCATGTGTGAAAAAAAATCCTGAATTTTTGCCTAACATTGCTGGGGCTCCTTCAGTGCATATTGAGCCAAACCACATTCATTGGTAATTGATATTTAGTAAAAAATTTTTGATGCAATTGAAAACATTAATTCCTCTCGTATTCACCTCTGGCTCACAAAATAGAAATTCTTCTATCACCTCTTTTTCCTTCACATACCTGACAAATACCAAAAGTTGGCTACAATTATCAACATCAGTTGACTCATCCAGTTGCATGCTTATTTTTAGTGGACTGATTTTTATGTCTTCAATTACTTGCATTAAAATATCTTCACTGAGATCTTGTATTCGCGATCGTATAATATCATTCGATAATGGAATCTGTTGGATTTTTTTATGTGCTTCCGAATCTAAAACTGTTTTAGCAATAATTAAAGCAGAAGGTTTAATCAACTCTTCAGCGATCGTGTGAGGTTTTTCTTTCTTTTTTTTTTTTTTTTTTTTTTTTTTTTTTGCACATAATATATGCCACTTGATATGACGCTTCTAATAAAGGTTTTTGAATTGCTGGTCCGCACAATTTTAGGATAGTTCCACTGGTATCAAACCGAGCCTTCTTTGACTTCAAGCTGTTCATGCTATGCGCTTTTTCGCCACCATGCAGATTGTTGAAATGCTCTAATAACTTTGATGGTTTGAGATTGCTGTTTGAAAATATCTTGGAACACAAGATGCATTGCGGTCGTTGCGTGCCATCTTTTTCGGTTGTGCAGGTAAATCCATAACCGGCATACTTATCGTTCCATTGTCGTTTTTTTTGACATAGTGGGGTTCTATAATATAATCGATTTAATTATTTAGAAATAATGTAATATAATATATATAATGTTCTTACGTTTGTAATATCACTGAATCCTATTCGGCTTGAACGGGCAATTAAGAATGTATTAGTCTCAAGAGGTTTCTGGACAAGTCAGAATACACAATACACATGTCGCAGACACAATAGTTGACTCAACTTGACTCAACCTAACACAGGCGCAGTAGATGCAGATACAAATCTGTGAATCCGTAGATTCCATTGGAGTAGCACATGTTGAACTCAGCTCATGCGCAAGCTGGGATAACGTTCTCCGCTTGTATCGTGGCTTCGTGGCTATCGAGGTTTCTTGAAGGTCACGCTTGTATTCCCACAAAGTTTTTTTTCTTTTCTCCGTCACCTAGCTGCCTGTTCGCGTTCGTTTGTAGCGTTTCATGCCTTTTCGTAGCGTAGTGTATACGCCCATCGGCACCGGCTCTTTCCTGTGTCTTTTGCCGATAAGTGAGCTAGGTGCTACCAATTTTTATGAGCTTCAGTATTGGGGACACTATTGCAGATTTCAAATATTTCATTATAAGAAATTTAATAAATGATATTTAATAATTTTTATCGTTAGGTAGGGGCTTCTCCCACACCCCCAAAAATACATTCTCGCACCCCCGGTTAAGAACCACTGGTATAGGGTAATCAGAACACAGAAAGGCAGTTGACATTTATCAAAAATATTAGTAATAAGACGAATACTTTCATCTGTATAAAAAATGGAAAAGATGCTGGTATAAGCATGCAAGACTCTGAGTACTGAAGGTGAATAAATCGCCAGTGTGTTACATATGCTACTTTGAAAGGAAAAAAGAATATGTTATATGATTGTATGTAAAACTATTTATTCCACATGAAAAGTACAGAATCTTTTTAATTTCTATTATAGAGACTGTTTTCATAAATATTCTGCACCAAAAAAAAATCTTCATAAGTGAAACTATATGTCTGGGATCAACATTAAAGTTTACAGTTTTTTTTTTTTTTTTTAATATATATATATATTTTGTGTGTAACCTTTTAAGTTAAGTTTAATGTTGCTGATAATTATGTAAGCTGCAGAATATCTGCATTAAATGTAAAAGTAATGTACCATTTTTAATTTGGCTTTAATTTTCTTATGCATGTTATAATATCTATAAGATGCAAGTTCCCCAGAAATTCATTATGTTATGCTGAAATCTGTTGACATTTGTGTTGCAAAATAGAAATATCAAGCACATAAATGATATATGGAATCCAATTTTGTGCACTGATGTTTAAAACTGTATTAATTATATAAAATATCTAATAGTAATTGTACTGAGAACACAATATTATGGGCTCCCTTCTCTAGCATGGCATTTTAATTCTTCTTCAGATATTTTAGTACCTAGATTAGTTATTTTTTTAGAATTATGTAAATATTGTATGTGTATTTAGGACATTAATTTTTTCCCCCAAATATTCATCTTCCCCCCCCATTTAAGGGCTGGATGAGTTGATATATCCTGATTACATCATATTCCATGCGGGTACTTCTTTGCACTCTGGATCGATTGTTACATCAGGTGGTAGAGTTCTTGCTGTTGTAGTAGTTGAAGATGATTTGCAGAATGCTTCTGTTAGAGCCCAAAATGGAGCCAAAGCTGTTCAGTTTGATGGAGCATTTTATCGCAAAGATATTGCACAAAAAGCTTTGCAAAGGTAAATTTTTATTTGGTCATCTATTTATCCTTTAGAAAGAGGTATGTATAAACAACATGCATATAAATAATTATTTTTACTTTTTCAGGTCATGATTCAACTTCTAAAGTATACACTTTCAAAGTTTTTAAATAATTCATTCATCTATGCTGTTTTTGGAACCAACTTCATTTTATTTTTAAAAAATAAATTGTTTTTAAGTGAGAAAAGTTGTCTGTTTCTTTTTAATGTTAAATTCAGTACTATTATACTTTTTTCCAGTTTTATAGAAAGGGGTTATTTTTTTCCTGAAGTTTAAATGAATCAAAATTAATATCATCTGTTAGATTAATTTAACATAAATGGATTTAAAAAATCACAGTCAAAAGTCGTTAATCCGGACTCGTCAGGACTTCGGCGATTCCGGATTATCGATTTTTCTGGATTATAGATCATCAGTTTAAATCTCATAAGATGGCATGCAGAAATTACAAAATTAAAAATATGAAACCATGTAATTTATGAAATAAAGAACAATTATGATCTAAAGGATATCAAAATTTACAAAAAGAAAAAGCTTAATATTTATTTGTTTACTTTATTAAACATTTCTTTCAATGTAAGTGGTTTAAGTTGCTTTGTTTCATGTGATAATACTTTCTCTTTAATTCTATTAAACAGACATAATTTCTTGTTTAGTTACAAAGTCCCGCTGTTCGAGTCCTATAATTGCTGTGTCGAGAATACCAACTAATTTGTCAATCGAAATTTTTTCGTTTTCAATAACCTCTGGGTCACTTTCTTCATTATCGGAAGCGAATTATAATGACGAGGAACTTGATTTAAATCATCATATCAAAGACGGAGTACATCGAGATGAAATACTACATTTAGTAAGGAATTATAAGCCAAATAAAATAAAAACATCTGCCATGAAGATAAGGATAGTGCTGACAGATCAACTTCCAATTCATTGCGTGTCGCAGCGTGAAATTGATAAACAGATTTAGGATTTCGAAACATACTTTCACTTTGTATATCCTTTACATATTAGTAAATATATATCGGAAATTCTATTTGACATAATCAAAAGTTCAAGCTTACTTTTATAAAATTGCTCTTACAGTCTGCAAAAAAAAATAAGCCGCATCCAATTCAAAGATTAAGGAACAACACAATCTGCAACATTAACTGCATTAGATAATTTTAGCTTAGTTTATACCGTTCGTTACACATTAAACGTGCATGTGCACACACATATTCGCAGCTGTAAAGGTCTTACATGCACTCGTAAACGCCTATGCGCATGCGTGAACGCGACGCATGCGCAGAAAGTTTGTAGCTTTGTGGTCCGGACTATAGATCATTCCGGATTATGGGTGTCCGAATTAATGACTTTTGACTTTATCTTGTTATGATAACAGGCTTCATAATATATTTTTTGTAGCTCTCATTTTACCATTCAAATTTTTTCTCAATGTAGATATGAGCTGAAAATTTGAAATTTAAACTAAATAAAGAAGACAAAGTATTCACATATGTAATGTTACAGTAAAGTTCTGTTTCATGTAAAATTTCTCTCCTGAGCATTGTTGTTTTTTGGAAAATCATATATATTTAAAGTTTAAATAATGGTACAAATCTTCACATGAGATACATACATGTTGTATTCAATGCTGACAGATGTAAATGTATACTGAAGTACATAGAATGCATCTTACCTTGTTCTGATATTTAATTCTCGTATAATATTAATGGATTAAGTTGTTATTAAATAAGTTGAGAATGATCAGCTAAAGCTCTTAAACTATGAAATGCTAAGCTAAGATGAAAGCTGAAATGCTAAAGCTCACATAATTTATAAAATGAATTCCAAGTGAAAACTGGGCATTTTTGAAATAAATATGGTCCAAAAGTGCTCAGTCCTGTATTTATGGCTTTACATTATGACAGTAGAAACACACATATGATTTGTAACAATGCTTCATTGCTTATATGCTATGATGAAAAGCAATACTTTATTTATTATTCTGCCTTCACATGAAATTACATAAAACTCACAGTACAACTATATTACTTTTTCTTTTTTAATGAAATCCTGAGAATTACGCTGCAGTATCAGAATCCTTTACTTTCACACAAAAGACAGACAAAGATCTCTCTATACATGCATTGCAATTGACAATGTGCTTTATTTAATATTGGTAAAATTGTACTCTGTATAGGTTATAAATTTGACTTCATTCCACATAGCACTCAGAATTAGTTCTGAAATACATGATCCTCTCATACAGAAACATTATTGTATATATGCATTCATGATTACTATGGTTTAGAAATTTATTATACCTCATCATTTTTCAACTGAAATTTACCACACAGTTTAAAATTCTATTATGCTTTGAATGAAATGTATTGTTTTCACTTAATTTATAAAATCCTGCTCTGGCATGCTTTAAATTGATAGACAAGAGGAGCAAAAAGAATGTGGAGCCCACAAGTGACTGAGTAGTAAAGTTTTTTAATACTGGTAGGTCTACTTGAGCTTGATTCCAGGCAAATGAGCTGGGTGCATGGACATTTTTGTGGTTTTCTCCATGTGTAACATGGGCAGAGTTGCCAACTCTCCCGATTTTCGACCGCTCTCCCGCCAACCCGATTTACAATATATTTCTCCCGACTTTTTCTTATTTCTTAAATTTCTCACGATTTTTATGCAACTTGGCTTAATACTTTGTTATATGAATAAAAAAAAGTGCTTTTGGACGTCTGAAAGCAATTGAATTTTCTCTCTACATTATATCTAAAACAAAACCTTGCGAATCAGATAGCTTCTGCTTTGTGAGTGAGAGCATTATACGTACCAGAAACGTCATTCTCCAGTTCTCCAATGGGCTTCGAGCTCCACTGCGTGTCAGCTGGCATATATTAGCAATGAGGACAAAGCAAGTTGTTATTTGGACGTTCTTTTAGTTATTTCGTTCATTTTGTCCTGAGTTGTGTGAGTACACGTGGGGAAATAGTTTTAGAAATTATCATCTTTTGTTATCTGCGAGAAAGGTGAAATACTCGTGTACGTTTCAAAAATCGTACACAGTTGACTTTCCTTCCATTATTTCCTCAAGGAAATGTAATAAATTTGCGATGTGTACCGCCTGTCGTTGCGATTTTTTCGATTTCGTATGTTGGAAGGGCGGATGTTCTCAAACATGTGCGTACACAAAAACACAAGGATAACATGAGTTGTTTTGAAAAAAACGAAAAATTAAATTTTTCTTCGGAAACAAAGGACCAAAAAGTTATTAATGCAGAATGTCTGTTCTCTGCCTTTTTACTGGAGCACAACCTGCTACTGAATGCATCGGATCACGCTGCAGCTTTATTTAGAAAAATGTTTCCCGATAGTGAAATCGCCAAGAAATACTCAAGGTGCAAGAATCAAAACAGGTGCAATTGTTAAAGAAATGGGTTTGAAAAATAAATCTTCAGTTATTGATTGCATTAAAACAGCTCCGGTCTGCCTCTCTACTGATGGAAGCAATAATACCGATTCAAAACTGTATCCAATTGTTTTTCTTTTTTGATCCAGAGTCTTCAGAAATTGAGTGCAGTTTACTTTATGTTCCCACTTTAGCTAAGGACATTTGACAGGCTTTAATATAGCACACAGCTAATTATTAAAACTTTAAAAGAAAACTGCAGGCACTCTGGATAATTGCTTAGCACTTGGTGCCGATAATGCACCAGTATTGGTAGGCTTGAAGGCTGGTGTTGCAGGCATCTTAAGAAAGGAAAATTTCAGATTATGAGGTGCACCTGTCACCTCTTAAATTTAGCAGCTGAAAAAGGGGCAGCTTCTTTATACCAATAAATGTGGATGAACACATTGTTGATATTTATTATTATCTTGAAAGGAGTTCTAAAAGGAAGGAAAAATTAAAAACAGTTCCAACAGCTGCATAACAGCAGTTACAATTAGAAAACTTGGATGAAGTTATAAAATCAGCTACGATTGACACCCAGTGGAGTTTAATTGAAAACTGAAAGGTGCTGATGGAAATTTTAAAATATAGTGAACTGTCTAGAATTGTGTTGGCCATCTTGACAGTTCCCTATAGTAATGCAGAGTGTGAGAGGATTCTCAGTTGTTGTTGCGAAAACGAGGACTAAATTTAGATCTAATATTAGAGATGGCACATTAGAAAAACTTTTATTAGCGAAAGCAGGCCTACGAATCAGGCCACGTGGCAATTGCTGTGAACACAATGATAAAGTTTCTTTCTAAAGAAAGCAAATCTGCCACTGTTTATAACATTTGTAGAAAAACTGATTAAAGAGTCTTTTTTTTTTTTTTTTTTTCTTCTTAAACGATGGCATGTAGTAAAAATTTTTTTATGTGTAAGGTATTTTGGTTGCTTGCATTTAAGAATTAGTTACTACTTAAAGTTAATTCATTATTAAAAACTATATTTTATCATTTAAAAGTCTTTTAACATTGTGAAAAATCTCCTGATTTCTTAAAAAAATCTCCTGATTTTTGAGTGTCATAGGTTGGCAAGTATGCATGGGTATAAGCAAAGGCATCCTTCCCATTAGGCAAGACAGCCCTAGCATGCTTTGTCTTTATAAAAAAACCTAAATCTGAAATTTGCTGTTGGCAAGTTTTCAATAAATAAAATATATACCAATAGTCCTTTAATTTATCATCTGTATATCTTTTGTATATAGCCAGCTCTGTGACTGTTGTCAGTTGGCAAAGTATAGGATCTATGATTTTTGTTTTCATTTTAATCAAATCAGTTAATAATAAGCAAATTGATTAATTTAAAAGCAATACAATTAATTTAAATTAATAATGCATGTAATTAACATAGATTAAAAATGCATTTAATTAATCATATAGCCATACTAATATTTTTTATGAACACTTGCAGCTTTGTTTTAATTATTTAAAGATGTTTTTATGGGAAATACTATGTAACTGCTACAAAATTTTTTTTAAAATTTTAATAATATTTTACCTTTTAAATTTTTAATAGTAAATTTTTTTAGGTATTAGGCTGCTGTCTGAAATCTTTAGACTGGAGTTTTCTTATCAACATTTTTCCTGTATCACAGTTTTTAAAGTTATACATAAAAGTAGAGAACTGATTCTGTCATCATGCCTAATTTTTGAAAAGTTATATCCAAGAAGTAATTAAATATGGAGTTGTCGCAAAAATTAAAAAAAATTTAAAATAAAATCCTATTTCTTATTTCTTTTGATTATAATAAAAATTACAAGAAATTTCAATTTGTTGTAAGATTAACCACATAAAAATAAACTGTTTTTCTAAATATCCAAATTAACTGCAAGTATAACTGATTTTTGTGATTTGGTTCTACACCTCGTACAGGCCAAATACATATTTATTCTGTTGTAAGTGAGAAGTTTTATTTTTTTGTTTGCTGCTTTTTGATTTCAATGTAGATGAATGATAGGTTAAAAAAGTACATAAAAATGAAATGAAACACAAATTTTTTCTAAAAATTCAATGAAGACATTATATATTTGAAAAATCCTAATAGCCATTCATGTCTCAATCAAGTTTACTAGTTGGCGAGCAGATAAGATACTGACTGCTAGTTATTCAACCAAGTTCAAATCCCAATAAACAAGCTGGCTATGAAGTTATTTTCATGATTTTTCCCATATATAATGCTAACGAGATTGGGTTTCCTTTAGAAATTTTCCCTGCAGTCAGATATATTTAGTATGTGGTCATATTTAGTATGTTGTCATAATGTAATAAATTCAAATCCATCTATTTTAACTAAAATAATCATAAAATGACAACTGAATATAGCAAGAAACATAACATTACAGTACTTGATATACATAACAGTAACAAATAAAACATGTAAAACAGAATAATAAAATTAACTATACTATAGGAATAAATCAGTAACATTATTTAAAAAACTTTTTACCTTTTTATGTTATTTAAGTCAACAAAAATGTATAAATGTGTAACTAAATTAACAGTTTTATTTTATTTTGCCTAGAAAAAAAAAGCTTATTATTATATATATTTTTAAAAATTTTAATGTGTTAAAAATAAGTATTTTTTATTTTAGATTCTGTCGTGAAGGGATGACATACAAGTCAGCTGGGGTAGATATTGAAAGTGCAGAAGATTTGGTCAACAAAATTAAAAATCTAACTAAACAGACTTTGAGACCTGAGGTCTGTGGGGGTATTGGCGGTTTTGGTGGCATATTTGACCTCAGAGGATCTGGATATAAAGATCCATATTTGGTCTCAAAGTGTGGAGGTATTGGAGAAAAATTGAAGGTGAGATAAAATTTTCTGCTCTTTTCCTTTGAAGAAAAAATAATACTCAGGGAAAAAAGTATGATAAATATGCAAGTTCTCCCCCCCTCACACAAAAAAAAATCAAGCTATCCAATTAACAATTGAAAGCATATATTATTATTATTTTCACTATTTGAAAGAATTGCACCTGTTACTGGTTAAAAATTTCATAATTTTGACAAATTTAAGATCATGCCACATATGATTACTGTAATTAACTAGTTGGGCAATTAAATTTGTTATCTGCTCTTCATCTGGGAAATATGATGCATGCCTTGGATGCAGGTAACTGAATATAGAATACATGTGAGTTTTGTGATCAAGTTGGAAATTTTTTTTTTTTTTTTTTTGAAATGCAGCACTACTAAATATTTCATTTACATTGCAAATTATAAAAATGATTTCTGGAAACATTTCATTGGCAAAACTTTTTGTATATTTTTTAATATTCTGATTTATTTTGCATTATGTATGTGTTTTGTTTTAAGTATTAATATTATGTATTATGTTTTGCTTTAAGTACTGAAAAACTAAACATTTAATTGCATAATTACCAATGATAATCACCAATCTTGAATCCAGTTTTTCTTTTGGATAAAAACATTTCGTAGGTAATTTAGCTGAAACCTGCATTTAATGATCAGATTGCTTTTTAAAACTGTAAAGAGCATAAATGTATGAAATGATACATAACAGTGTTTGTATGATCCTTAAAAGTCCTTAGTTTTTTTTTTTTTTTTAATGATTTTTGTTCTTAAAATTCCTTTAATTTTTGCAAAAATCTGCAAACAGTCCTTAATTTTTTTCTCATCTGACATTTTCATTTCTTTGCTGTAACTGCTATATGAAGTATGAATTAAGGTTTTGGATGAATATAGGATTCATACCATGCAGTTTATAGCATAGCCATTTCAGACTGATTACTGTATAAGAAATGATTAGCCATTTCAGAACAAAAGCTTGGGGATTTCTGATTGGCTGTTTGTACAATCTTTCAAAAGAAATGTTTTCAACAAAAGTGCCATCTATCTGCTATGAAAAAAAAAAAAAAAAATTCTTAAACCATCTATCTGCTGTGAAAAAAAAATTCTTAAACTCCTACCATAACTGTACAGTCATACTTTAACAAAAATGTAACCTCCAACAAAGTCAAAGGCCCAACTTCATAAAGGTCGTGCTTCCACCCAATGATATCAAGAAATCTGGAAATTTTTCAAGGATGTGGACAAAAGACGTGAAAAAGGCATTTAAAAAAGAAGAGCATTCTGAAATAATAATAATGATGATGATAAAATTAAATCTATATCTGGAAATTAAGATAATTTAAATCTGAAGAGAGTCATATATTTATGGCAAGTTTTTTGTCTTCCTGCTCCAGCGCTACTAGGTACAATGTGGACAACTTTTGTCTTTGTGGAGCATTTTTAAGGAATACTAGAGAGTATATTCAGATTTTTAATTATAACAAATGATTACACAGCTTTATTGCATAAACAAAATAAAATTTTATTCCGATTTTTATATTCATACCTATAAAAGAAATGTTTTTTTTTTTTTTTCAGTTTTACCAAAAAAGTTACACATTAAAACTAAATGAAATGATTTCATGTTTTGTAAAACTTTAACGAATTTTTGATTAACAAACTCAAGGATTTCAAAGCGAGCAATGGCAACGTTGTACAGAAAAAACATTTTTATCTCCAGCGCGTGAGACTCTGTATCGGAAACTCTAAAGATATGCTTAATTTAAAACTATTTTGCGATATTGCTCTTGAACTGAATTTTGTTGTTTAAGGGCAAAGAACGTGATATTTAATAAATAAAGGTTACAGAAAAAATGTTAAAAAAATGCCCCTTTGGACGTAATTTAAAATCTGAAACTTTTCAGATTTTCTTTTCTTTTATTATTATTATTGTAATTTTTTTCAAAAATATTCTGATTTTTGTTGGTATGTAGTTGGCAACTATTTTAATGGCTTAAATTCCAGATAAAGTGAGTGACAAAATGCAAATTGTAAGAATGGTATGAACATAGAATAGACATATTTTGCAGGAAGATTGTGATGAGGTTTCCATGTTGTTTGGAGAATTCTTGGAAAAAGCAATGAAAAAAAGTTATCTGAATTTTTTACAATACTTCCTTATTATTAAGGTCTTCATTATTTAAATAGCACTGAGGACCCTCTTGTTAACAGATCATACCTAACCAACAATCCTACTGAGAGCTATTCTTAGGAGGAGCAGATTATTAACATCAGTAGTTAGACTGTTTGGCAATGGTTTATAAAGAGTGTATTGCTGCTTTTTGTGCATAGTAACAAAAAAGGCCATTTAAAATAATGAGAGCCTGTAATAATAATGATGTACCTTTTCTCCTTTTGAACCCAAACTTTCTCTTAATGCATTTATCTTCCTTTTATTTTATCTTTCTTTATTTTTGTGAGTTTCATTATTGAAAAGTGTGAATAATGGCAGAAATAATTCTTATCTTCCCATATGGTCAGTCATCTCTAATCTCTAGAAAGGAATTTCTCTGTTAATAAAGATATTGAAAATTTATAATTTAAAAGATTCATCTTGTATATCTGAATATGCATTATACCATTTTATAAAATTTTCTGAAATTATTCTCAATATTGAAATTATTAAAGACTAGCAACTTCTGCTTGATCTAAAAACTTGCGATGTTTTAGAGTTAAAAATTTTCTAATTCATAAAATTCAGAGATGAAAAGAAAAATCATTTAGATATTGATTACATAGAGCAAAAGGAAGTTCGTCAGATCAATATTGTTGAAAATATTAAAAAATTAACACATACATTAGCTGGTGATGGTGAGATCAATAAAACATTTATTCATTTATGAAAGTAAATGATTTTAGAAATGTAACTAAAGAAAAAGAAATATGAATAAGTTAAAATATCTGAAAATTTTTCAGGTTAAAAAAGGCACAAATATTATGCAGTATTATGGACATTTGTACCTTTTAATGCATGATTGTTTTAATATCTTTTAAAAATAATAATCTGTGTAATTATCTGTTAATTAAAACTGCAAAATTTCTTTAGATTGTGATTTTTGATAATTTTTTAATGAATAATTAAAAAAAGAAAAGAGTTCCTTAGTTACCTTATAAATCTTCATTATAAATTTGGGGGATTGTTTCAGGAGTAAAGTATTTGAAAATTTGTAGAGAGAGTTAATTTTATTTTCAAACTGTTGTTTAAAATGGCCAGACTCTTGCATGCATTTGTCAGGAATGGCCAAAAGCCATTGCTCATATAGCCATTTCATTACTAAGAATATTTCCCAAGGGGTGATTGAATTACACTTGCAATAAAGGGTAAGTTCTGGCTTAATTTTGATGGAGAACACCCCATCCTCTTCTCCTGTCATGAACCCCTTGAGACTTTTGGCTCGAAAGTATTTTTAGTGATTCCATTGTATACACGTATATCTATGCCTTCTCTGACCAAGACTATAGCAGTCAGCTGCTCTACAATGAAGCCACCACAGTGGTTGTTTTAGACTTGTTTTTATAACTATATTAAATATTAGATTGTATTTAAAAATAAAGCATTCTCCATACTACTGTTTTATTCTTAGAATGGTACTGCAAGATTGGAAGTGACTGCATAGATAATTTCTTTCATTTATTCAATTCTATTAAAAGGCAGGCTGATAGATCTGTACTTTGGGGCCGGGGGGGGGTGGAGTCCTTAAAAATCTTTAAAAGTCCTTTATTTCCATTTAAAGCAATGTGTATAAACTTTGTATAATAGCCTTATTATGGGATTAAAATTTTCTAGATATCTTGTTTAATATGTGTATATGTAAAACCTGATATCTGAATTGCCTGTTAAGCTGCATTGCTATAAGTGTACAGTGTAAAAGATTTCCTCGTATCCAGCAGATATATTTTGAAATGACTCAATTTTTTTAGTGTAAGATTATTTTTAAAAATGTAATATTATGCAACTGATTTAATGGAATCTAAATAATAATGATGATATATGCCTTTATTTCTGTAAGTGTCAATATATATGTAGAATATACAAAAGTGAAAGAGTTAAAAAAATTTTAAAATGATATTTTTATGCACTGTATATGTTTAAAATTTGCTAATATGGTGTATTCTATTATTAATTTTGATTTTTCAATATTCCTTTAGGTTGCTCAAGAATGCAAAAAATATGAAACTGTAGGATTTGACTTAGTTGCTAATTCTGTTAATGAAATCCTTTGTCATGCAGCTGAACCTCTGTTCTTCTTAGACACCTATACTTCAGGAAAACTTGAAGTTGATGTTGCAGCTCAGGTGATTTCTGGTATTGCAAAAGGCTGCAAAGAAGCTAACTGTGCTCTGATCGGTGAGTATTTATAGAGTTTATTAAAGATGTTTAGAAAAATGAAAACTGAACTATTATTAGATACTACCTAAAATGTAAGATGTATTTTTTAAGTGCTTCATTTTAAGCAATTTAGTGCAAACATTGCACAAGAGTTCCTAGCTCTATGACAGGCTTCATAAACTCATCATAAGTTTAAAATGCATCTAATATATCTAATCGGTAGAAGTTATAGATAGACAGTTTCCTATAGCATGTTCATGAGACTCTTATGTAAGCATATAATAGAATAAATTGATTTAATACAAAGCCTATTTTAAGAAAGATTTTAGTGAATTATGCTCTTTATACTATAATTTTGTGTGTTTTGAGTGCTCATTCTGTATATTTATAACTGAAATTATGCATAGTTTAAGAATAGTTAAAGTATTGATCATAAATTAATTCTTAAATAGTAGTGATGCTAAACAAAATCACTCCACCAGCTGCTTTAATTGTCATTCCTTTCCAATGACAATTAAAGCAGCTGGTGGAGTGTTGATTGTTACTGGTGATTTAGCAGGCTATTTAAAAAGATATCAAGTTCGTAATATATAATTTGTTTCTTTTCCTTGCTATATATTTATAGCAAGCAGGGGCATTTTTTATCTGTATGTTACTGTCCTTGCTTGTACATATATTGTATTTAACACATATTGCTTGCCCAGAGAATGACCATAATGCATACTATGATTTCTTTTGAATGTTTAGCATTGTCCCACTTTCATAAAATTAAAAAATCAGAGTTAGTTGGAAACCTTGAACCATTGTTATTAGAACATATAGTAAATTCATTAGGTTTTCATAATAAGAACATATAGTAAATTCACTAGGTTTTCATAATGAATAACAAAATAATTAAAAACAGGTAAAACTTTTACAGTTTAAAATATTAAAACAGTTTAAATATATTGGTAAAGCACATCTCTTTGTTATAAAAAACTGATATACATGCTGCAGGATATGGAAAACACTCATATCCAATTTCATTTAATGAGCAAGAAACACTATCAAAGCTTGAGTTAATCAGTATAGGTTTTAAATGATCCAATTTCAAACTTAATCTCGAGTAAAAGGAGTTAAAAAAATGAACAGAAAGTTTTTTGTTATTGCAAAAAGCATATTTGAAAAATATAGAAGTACTGAAAATTATCATAGGTCAACAATTTTAAAAATGTAATACATGGATGTAATAAAGCACACACCTTTTTCATATCAGAACAAAACTTATATAGGAGTTTCATATTATAAAAAGATATAAAGCCAGTATTGTGGTTATATTTGGCTGTCATTAAAGATTTATAGCTAAATTATTATTTAGCTTTTTTTGGTTATTAAAATTTGATTTTCATTCTTTTAACTTTAAATTGATGATTTGAATAACAAAATGCATTTATTTTTGTTTTCATCTCTCATTTATTATATGGTCATGGTATTTTTTCTCTCTTCTGCTATAAACTCAAGGTGGTGAAACTGCAGAAATGCCTGGAATGTATGCATATGGAGATTTTGATTTGACTGCATTTGCCAGAGGAGCTGTAGAAAAGTCTGAAATCCTACCAAGGAAAGATATTTCTAATGGTGATGTTGTTATTGGCCTTCCTTCTTCCAGTATAAATTCTAGTGCTTTTAATATAATTAGGAAACTGGTGAAGAAATTAGGACTTACTTATAACAGTCCAGCACCATTTGATTCAAACCAAACATTAGAAGAAATTCTATTGGCTCCTAGTGAAATATATGTAAAATCAGTTTTACCTCTAATGAGGCATAAATTTGTAAAAGCAGCAGCATTTATAAATGATGGTGGTTTGGTTGGAAATATCAAGAAAATTTTACCTCCTTCAAGCAAAATAGTACTGGATGCAACCAAACTGGATATGCCACCTGTTTTCGATTGGATTGCCTCAAGTGGAAACTTTTCACAGCAAGAAATGTTTGAAATTTTTAACTGCAATATTGGTATGATACTAATTGTCGCAAAAGATGTCATGAATGAAGTTTATCAACAGCTGAAGACAAGTAAAAAATCTGCTGTTTGCCTTGGATCACTTCAGTCATCTAAAAAAAGTAATTTCACAATTTTTTTCCTTGCTTTATTTGCTATCTTAATTTACAGTCAATATTAAAATATTTAGGTCAAGATATTTTTCAGAATGAATATATTTGCAAATTATTGATTATTATAAAGTTTTACTCATGTTTTTATGCAACAAAATTTGTTAAATTATTTTTTTTAATATTTATCACTTATCAGGATGTATAAAAAAGACATCTGCAGGATTTATTTACTTAAATATCAATCTTGAATATGTACTTCCTATTACTAAGTTTGTAACATGCAAGTATAAATAAGCTAGAGAATTTTATTATAAATGATGTATCACTAGATTTATATTATGTAGCTTAATATCATTTCCTCCTCCCTCTCAATTTTCAAGTGATACAATTCTGAAAGAGGAGAGAATATGCAAATATACAATATATATTTTACTGAAGTGTTTAAACATCATAATAATTAGTTTGGTAGTTGTTGGTTGCTTAGATAAATTTATTCATAGCTTTTCACATCATCTTTATAAATATGCAGATTTCATTATTAGGTGAGAAAAAGGTTGAAATAATAAATTCAAGCTTTGATGATAAGAAAAGTGTGCAGAAAAAGAGAGTTGGTGTCCTGTCTTCGGGCAGAGGTATGTATGTGTATATATATATATATATTTAAATTCGATAGATATATACAATAGAACTAATTTATCCATACATTAGAGAGTCAGTTCTCCAGTTATCTGAATCGGCTGGTCTTCTTCCTAGGCTAAGTAAAACTAATCTCGTAATTTTTTCCATGTTTTTAAAATTTTCATAATACAAAAATATAATTCATATTAATATTAAAAGATAGTATTGCACAATACATATTTTTGTGTGAAGTTATTAAATTAGATGAGTGCATGAAACATGTAGATAAAAGTATATACATTGGCCTGTAGTTTTGCTTGCTGTCCAAAATAATAAAGATTTTTCTTTGCTTTTTCCTTCAAAGTGCAATTCGGGCCTCAAAGGTCAAGAAAGCAGAAAAGTGCGCTGCAGGCTGTGGTCCACTAGGGTTGTTGCATCACTAAGTTTAGTTTTTTTCCCATCAAAGTCATAAATTTATTCCAAATTATTAACACAAAAATTTATGTTAGCTATTATACTGACTTTTGTATTTTATATAGGCAGATATTTAAGTTTTAGTTGAATAAAATCAGTTCTGCATTTTTCATTACACACACACACACACACACAAAAAAAAATTTTGTTCAGTTCTTTTTAGAACTATAAAAACAAGAGCAATTTTATATATTTAGGCCCTTTGAAAATAAAAATTAATATCATTACTTCATTTTAATTGAAGTGGGATAGGTTATTTATTAAACAAAAAATAATTTTGCTGCTCTGTTAGCATGGTGATAGGGTAGCCAGTTGTTATATCTTTGAACCTGGACTCAAATCCTGGATAAAGCATGGCTGTTCGGAAATGTATAATTTGCAGACTGAGGACACTGAAAATACTGTTAGGCTGAAAGTCTGTTCAAGAGGTTGATGAAAAAAGAAATAGGGATGAGAGAACCTTGAATTCATCCTCCAAGAAGGATTTTACTTCAAAAATAGGATGGAACTGGGCAAACTTCAGTTGTTACCTATAAAGTTACGAAGGCATAAGGCAATAACAGACACAACCCTTATGGTGATAAATTTTAACATAGACAATAAGTTTTGGAGCTAGATGTGATGCCAAGTCTGTTAGCAAGGGAGATTATCACAGCACACACACATAAATATTTCATAATTTCATTTTGTTGAGAAAAATATTTTTTATTTGCTTCATAGAAAAACTATATTCATAGAATTATATTACTGTAAACATGGATTATTTACCTCTCCCCTCTTAAAAAAAGACAATTTAATTAATAGAAATTTTTGGAACATCCAGTTGGGCTTGATCCTAATTAATTTTGCTGTTAGCATATAAGTGTGTGTGTATGTACGAATGTGTGTTACAAGTAGGAATAGTGAAACATTTAAATAGTTATTTGAAGTTATAGGCAATGCCATCTATTTTTGAAAAATGCCTTTCTGGAGTTGGCAAGAACAAGAGTTTACTAAAACTGTAATAATCAATCGAGTTGGTATTTTTATGTGATCATGAACAGTAAAACATTTGTACTAATTTAAGTGGTTGTTTGCTGCATCAAAGCATTAATCAATTCTATTAATAATAAATAGATGTCAAACATTCTATACATATCTATATTCCTGTCCTGAGCCATTCATATTATACATTAGTTTCTGTATTTATTATTTTATAGTTACAAGTAATATAATGAAAACCTTTTACTATTATTTATTTTTGTTTATTAGCTTAGAGATTTTTTTTAATTATTGTCATTCTTGTTCATGATTCTATTGCTTATAAGATTTCTTAAAAAATATATATATATATACATACAATGCTGGCCATTAAAACTGCAATACCATGAAGGAAAGCAAATACAAAAAAAAAAGATATTTATTGCAAGTAGCATTTTGGAGGTTTACAGGGGTACAAAATTAGTAGAAACAGCTGCCACCCTTGGCAGTTAAGATGGCCCTTACCCCATTACGCATGGAATCAAACTGGGCTTGGATGGCAAAAATCGGCAACTCATTCCATGTCGCTTCAAGTCTAGGCCACACTTCATCAACCATGTTAGCTAGAGTGGGGTGGCGAGCCAGTCTATCAGCAACCCATGACCAGATGTTTACAATGGGTGGCAGACCTGAAGACCATGCAGGCCAGGGCAGCAATCGAATACCCTGTGTATTAATTTATGTGGTCTGATGTCTGCTAGGCATTCAAACTGACCCTGTGTATTAAGGAAAATCAAAACACGACATGCAACATATGGTCTTGCATTATCTTGTTAATACATGGCATTGGACGGCCTCGAAGATTGTTTGTGCCCTCGAAGGGCACAACCACTGAACATAAGAGTCAGAAATGTACCCATCTGCATTCAAATTACTGTCAATTCAAGTTAGTGATGTGCATGTCGTATACCCAATGCCTGCCCAAACCATCACAGGTGCAGGGCCCCTATGCCGATATTGAATGCAAGCAGGCGACTTGTGGTCTCCTCAGACACTCCAGACACATATATGGCCATCAGAATACTGTACATAGAACCGGGACTCATTTAAAAAGGCAACATTGGGCCACTCCTGTACAAAGCTTTGTTGTTTGGTGCACCAGTCTCAATCTCTCTCTATGCTGCATTGTTAAGGGAAAACGAAGGAATGGTCACCTTGCTGATAGTCCACACTGCTGCTAATTTTCTGATTAATGGTCCGTGATGTGGTTGTACGGTTTTGCAGGGCTGACCTCACAATATGTCTGTCCTCTCTGGTGTTAGTCATAGGAGGGCATTGAGATCCTGCATGCCATTGATCTTCAGCAATCCATTGATTCCATATTCGCATGACATTAGTTGAATGTCGACCAGTGCGACCGCCGATATCACAGAATGATAATCTACACTTTCTATATTGAATTTTGAAACTTGCTGATAAGCATTTTCTCTTTCTTATTCGAGGCATAACACGATATTCTGAGCAAACTCTAACCTTACAAAGCACTTTCCGAATAAGAAATTCACTGCACAACTTTTCTTTTATGCAGTGCTTCAGATGTTGTTCTGCACCATCTAAATGCGCTGAAAGACTAATTATTTGCATATCCCAACTTAGTCCTTTAATGTGATTTTGATGTTCATCAGATCATTCCTTCCTGGTGTTATAATTTTAATGGCCAGGAGTGTACATATATATGTACATGCATATATACATACATAGGTCTACTATTTTATTACATATACTATTATTTTACAAGACAATACTGATTTACAAGATAGTATTTTTTAATTGCAGGCACAAATTTGGAAGCTCTTATTGATTACTCACAAAATTCACATAACTTAAGTACTACCGAGATCAGTGTTATAATATCCGATACTGAATCCGAAGTTTTCGAACAGATGAAGGCAAAAGTACCAACCAAAGTATTTATTTTTATTATTATTATTGTCTTTTATATCGTATATAACTGTAATTTTATTTCATTAACACCAGAGAATTGCACAAATCCGACATATGATAATTAGTATTTCCTGCAGTTTTCTGAATTTCCCCTAATTTTTTTTTTTATTTTATAACTAATAAATACTGAAATTTGGAATAATTTTAACATAAAAACTATTTACTGATTTATTCTTTTTTCGAAGCTTTCTGATTATTTGCCCTCTTACTGAAAAGTCATGAAAAAATATTCTTTGAGCAAATCAGTATGTCATCAAAATAGTTACATGGCAACCCACAAACATTGCTAAAAAGTATTTATGTGGCAGCCCAGGTATTCATGTAGCAGATGTCTGTTTTCTCAGGTGTGCACTGTCAAGTTTGTGCAAGTCTGTTTTTTTTTTTTTTTTTTTTTTTTAGACATATACCGACAAGTGGAAACAGATCACTGTGTATATTGGTAGAAGAGCAGCACAAAAAGGAAGGATTTTTCTTAAAAAGATAATTGTTTTATTACTGATGCTTCTTCCTTTTTAAAATTTTATATTGATGATTGATTCCTCTTGAGTGGAATTCTTAGCAAAATTTTCAAAGATGTTCAAGAAAAAACATAACCAATTCTTATGATATAACCTTACTTATTCCTCTCACCACTTCAGTTTGAAATATTTATTGCAAATTTAGAGAGCAACTTCAAATAAAATTTAAAAAAATAACAATTTTTAGCAATTAATGGATATAAGAGCATCTGGTATTGATTCTATAGTTGGCCTTTCAAATACATTCATTAAGCATTTCTGCAAAAGTGTTACATGTAAATCAACAATTAATTCATATTTTATTAATTAGAACTTTTGCTGTATGTGGACCATATGATAAAAATGTAAAACTTGTTTTTAAAGAATTTATTCTTTCAAATAGTATTAAAACTGTCTTAATAAAATTATCTATCTTATTTTTAGAAACTTTATATGTCTAAGATGCCACATTTTTTTTAAACATATAAGATTTTGTAGTAACAGAAATTAAATTTTCACATTTTAACACATTGTTAAAATTTTAATCATAATAAAATACTTGTTTGCTTTTTGTTTCTTCTGATTTTGTTTTACTTTCATTTGTTTTAATGCAAAAGATACTATCAAAGAGATAGATACAAGTACATAAATTGTGTTACAAAAAGTGATCTGATCATGCAGTTATTATTAAAATCATCTAAAATCTAGCCCATGTGAATCTCAATTATAACCAAGGAAAAAAATTCCACACGAAAGTAATCTTCCAAAATAGTTCAAAAGTAAAAGGAAATGAATTCGTGACAAAAATAAAGTAAAATGGATTCATAAAATGGGCAGTTTCAGCAAAGAAAGGAAATTTAAGCTTCTAATGCTTAAATGAATAAATAAATAAAAAATGTAGCATTATAAATTCTGACTTTACTTTTTAATTTGTGAATCAATTAATATTAATTATATTTCTCGTAATATTGTATTATAGAACTAGTGCATATATTCCTGTACTAATTAATAATGTTCAAATCTCTGACATTAATCCTTCATTGCTGTTCATTACAAATCCTATATTTATCTTGTTTTCTTTTTTAATTAAATATATTCTTTATACTGTATATCTTTATATATACCATACAAAACTTTATACTGTGTATGGTATATTTCAAAATAGTCTCTTGTAGCTGTTAGAATATCCATTATCATAATATAGATTGTAATTCTATATAAAAAAATCCTTTTAATATCTGGAAATGAAATATTAGTTTTCTCATCATCATCATCATATATATATAATTAAGAATATTTAAAAAAAATTGCATTAACATTAATCAAATGTATTATCATTTTAATTAATCTTTTTATTAAAATTCATCTTTTTGTTGAATTTCTTATAAGTGAAATAGATCTTTCTTAAGATTACATTTATATCATTTCAAGGGATCGGTATTAAATTTGTGAATAAATTCATTATCATATTACTTTCCAAAATATGAATTGTTTTTCATATAAAGAAATTTGTATTGAAGTCATTTCATAATTTTCATAAGGACTTATTTAAATTGAGGAATGCTTCATTCATTGTTACAAACTATATTGAATGTTTGCTATTCAATTATTGGACTTGTACAATATTTGCATTTTTTTGTATATGATTCTATCTGTGAAGTGGTTAAGATTATTGGTATTGTTGATTCTTTCTCAATAAAGAAGGCAGTTGAAACATTCATTATTTAAACATGTCAGTGGTCACCAGTATTTTTAAAACTATTGAAATAGTTTTGATTAAATTGTGTAAGACAGAAAATCTGAAATTTTATGAGTTAAACATAGAAGTAATTAAAATTTTATAATGCACTTCATTTAACAATTTTCAAAACTATAGTTATTACATGAAATGCAGACAATATAAGCAAACAAAAATGGACTTTCAATGTATATTCAAATTTAATGTGTTTTAATTTATAGTAGCAGTAATTCAACTCACTTTCCTAGGTGATGAACAGTAGCAACTACAAAACTGCTGAGGATTTTGATATGGCAATCCATGAAGCTCTGAACAGCTACAATGTAGATATTGTATGCCTGGATGATTTTTCAAGAAACATAACTGGTAAATTATTTAACCATTATTTGTATGAAAATTTTGCTTTGATTTTTCCAAGATTTTCTTGATAAATTTTAATTATTATCTTTATGAAGTAGTAAGCAGTGCTTGACCATTTAAGTTCCAGCATTTTTTTAAACTATACAATGTAATTTGTGCTATTAACAATAAAGGTATTATATGTGTTGTTAACTATAGATATTTTTATTATCCAGGATATTTCACAATTCTCCTTTGCAACTATAATTTAGCTTGACTTGCTGTAAGCCCTGCATTTTTTTTTTTTTTTTTTTTTACGTAGATTCATTTGTGGAATTATGGAGAGGAAAAATCTTGAATGTTCATCCTTCTCTGTTGCCAGCATTCAAGTGTGCAAATGCTCATGAAGAAGTTTTAAATTTAGGAGCAAGGATAACTGGATGCACTGTCTATGTAGTAGAGGTAATTATAATACTGAATAATAATTTCTGTAATATATATAGTATATGATTCATATATTATATATCATATAGTATATAATAGTAGTAGTTTATATAATATAATTATGTAATATACACAATTTTTAGACTGAATAATATTTTTATAAGAAATATATATGCTTTTACAGTAATGTATAAATATAAATTTGTACATTAATTTTAAATATTTACTGTTGTATAATGTTATCAAAATTTCTGCATAATTATTTTGTTTATTACTGGCACTCTTGTATGGATATCTGTAAAGACTGCCCTGAACAACAAATTTTAAACTTTTCTTTTATCCTTAAAGGTTAATATTTCTTTATGAAATTTATGCTACTTTAGATAAAAATGAAAGTGAAAATGGAAAATTAGTTAAAGTTCAGCATAATTTAAATTTTAGAACTTATTTGTTTGCTTTGGGGATGTTTCAGGTCTAAATTTTGTAGTCAAGTCACCGTGGCATTTCAGCCAGCATATCTGCATCTCTATCAATATTCTAATGCATTATAAAAATTACTTTTCATGGAAATCATAATGATTAAAAAGGAATAAGAATATATAATATATTTATGTATATTATTTATGAAATCAGTTGCACTAAAACTAACATTTGTGACAGGATAAACTATGCATTCTGTGAACACAGTAGTAGTATATCTCTATGGATTTTTAAAACTAGAATTAATAAACAACTTTAAAATATAAATCATTTCTGTAGTTAAAAGTTTTGCAGTTAAAAAGCATGCTTGTTGTAGACATATTTGATATCAGCTGCATGCATTTAATTTAAATAGTGTAAGGTGAATAATGTTTTTTTACTTGTAGTTAAAATTTTAATCTGAAATTATGCCTTTTTAACAAAATTTTTAAATGCATATTTAATCTTAGAATATTTTAGTTATAGTAAAATAAGAAATATAAATATAGAAAATAATTAATTACAATTAATTTATTTATAAATTAAGAACAGTTTTTGTTAATGTAGTTGAAAGTGTTTTTAATTTAATAACACTTTTTTTTTCCATCAGATATATGTTTGATTTATTTTTTAGCCTGAAGGGAAAATTGGAGAAATTATAGATCAAGCTGCTGTGTGTTTAGAAGCTCATGAAACAGTTGAAACTTTAAAAAAGAAAGTTACTCAGCTTCAATATTGTATTTATCCTAAAGCTGTAGAACTTTTTGCACGTAAAATCATTGCATCAGGTTCAAACATAGAACAGTATGTATTATTTTAATAGTGGTAACTAATTTTAATATTAAAATATTGTAAAATTTTTTTACCTCCTGAAAATCAGATACTACTAGCTTTTTGTAGTTATTCTGAAACAATCTATTAAATATTTTTAAAATGCATTGAAACTCCAAATATCAGATCAACTGAGACAACAACTCTTCCAGATATTTAAAAAAAAAAAAAAAAAAAGCTTTGAATGCTTCCCTTTTCCTGTACTTATTTTTGCATTACAGAAAAGTCTCGCTATCTGGCATCCAAAAAACCGGAATATTTCAGAATTTTTAGAGAAAAATTTAGTAAATGAGAGATTTCTAATGCAATTATAGAACTCTTAATATTATTAACATATATGCATTGTGCCAAACAGTTTGATTTAACTTAATGGATAAGCATGATGTCACAACACAACTATAAGATGTTCGTTATGTAATCCAATTACTTTTTGATAAGCCAATTTAGTTTCTGTAAAGAAGGATATAAGTTTTATGTTTTCCTCACATTTTCAAAAAAAATATTAATATCTGAGACTGCACGAAGTGGAGTATTTTCAAAGCTGCAGGATCCAGCATCAAAATAAGTCATGACATGCAACTTTGACAATAGATGAATAATGGCAATGTAATGTGAAAAATTATAAGCGATTTAAATTTTTTATATACTGTGTGTGTATATATATACTTTTATCTATATATTATCTAACTAGAAAAAGAACGATCTTTTTGTTTATATGTCTGCTGGAATCATAGCAGGATTTATGTATAAACTACACAAGCTATAGCTTAGGGCCTCCACTTTCTTGGCCCCTCCCCCCAAAAAAATAAAATATAGTACAACTTATAAAGAGCCCCATATCTCAAATAACTTAGGGCCTTATCAAGTCTAAATCCGGCTCTGGCCGAAATGATTGGTGACATCTCTGCGAACTTTCATGTTTACTTTAATGACTGAATTTTTTTTTTTTTTTAAATTTTGTATAATTTTAAATGTAGACTTTGATATTCAAGTTAGTAACAAATAACTTGTTTTTATAATTTTAGAGCAGAAATTTTGCATTGATTTGGTTTTTCTAACATGAATTCCATTTTTTCTACACTCATCTACCCAGAATTTTCACATAACCGAAATTCGGCATACTCCAAGCTTAGTCTAGCTTTTTTAAAAAAAGTTAATTTTGTTTTTGACCTTGTAAAGTTAACATTACTGAAAAATTAATATTTTTTCATGAAGCAAAATAAGAAACATTTTTCCCCCAGCAAAATTAAAGAGCAGAAACATTATTATTTAGCCTAAATATATAACCCATTCTTCTTTCAATTAAAATAAAATAACAAAATTAATTTTTACTTGTGTAAATTCTAAAGCTAAAAATAATTTTGTTTCCATTCTTACCATAATCATATGAAATAGACTTTCCTTCCCATATAGTGAAATGTATAACTTATTTTTGGTCAAGTAAAGTTAAACAAAGCCATTATTTTTATTAATTAAAACATTTAACAATTTAATGCATATTATTAATTTTTTCAAAAATTACTCTGTAGTTATGCTGTATATTATAGGGCAAAAATTCCTTGTGTGAAGAGGAAATTAACATACCACATTTTTTAGTCTTAAAAAAAAAAAAAAAAAGAAGAAGAAGAAGAAGAAGCTTACTATTACTAAGAAATTGTGTTGCAATGCATATGGTATATAAAGTATTATATACTGTTTGATATATCATATACATTTATTTAAATTAATTTAATAATGGCTTAAAAATTTGTATACTGAACTCGATATATTTTATATTACTTAATAATTTTTATATCACTTCTTAAATCAACAGAAAAATTAAAAACATGCAAATAAATTAACATTAAGTTTTATTTCACTTGGCCTAGAAGGATAATTAGTGACATAGATAAGAAAGTTTCAGGTAATTGGACAACTACTTCATTCACATTTCTTTTTTTTTTCTTCTTAGGTTAGATGATGATATCTCAGATCTTTCCCTTTTTCTTCTTAGGTTAGATGATGATATCTCAGATCTTTCCCTTATGCACTTGAAATCACCAAATGATTTTGATCTACAGGCACAAATATCTATCCTCATGAAAAGCACAGAACGGCATGGATCATGCAAAACTGCATCTGTTTGTGGCATATTTAATTTAAAAGATTCAGGCTATCAGTTGCCTTATTTAGTATCAGGAACAGATGGTATTGGCACAAAATTAAAGGTAATTTACTATTAATTAGTTTACCTTAAATATAAATGTAAATTTAAAAAAATTCTTAGATATAATATACAGTACAAAGTCTGTAATCCGGACTCGTCGAGACTTCAGCGATTCCGGATTATAGATCATCAATTTAAATCTGGTAAGATGGCATGCAGAAATTATACAATTAAAAATATGAAACCGTAATGTATGAAATAAAAGAGCATTTATGATTTAAAGGGTATCAAAATTTACAAAAAAAAGAGCTTAATATTTATTTGTTTACTTTATTAAACATTTCTATCAATTCAAGTTGTTTAAGTTGCTTCATTTTTTTGTGCTAATACTTTCTCTTTAATTCTATAAACAGACATAATTTGTTGTTCAGTTACAAAGTTCCGCTGTTCAAGTCCTGTAATTGCTGTGTTGAGAATACCGACTAACTTGTCAATCGGAATTTTTTCGTCTTCAATAACCTCTCTGTTACTTTATTCACTATCGGAAGCGTGAGGGTAAACGCTTTAACACACATGCGTAAGTTTGTGCCTTTGATGTCCGGATTATAGATCATTCTGAATAATGGAAGTCCAGATTACGGACTTTGTACTGTAGTACTTTATGGATCTAATTTTGTTATATGTTGAGCTAATATATGAATACATTAACTGAGAACACTTAACAAAAACCAGAACTATCATTTTATGCATGGTAAACAGTGTGTATTTATGTGCTTTTATATTAAGAGTAAAATCTTGTTTAGATAATTTGTTTGAAAATAGTAAAAAAAAAACTTCTGCTGAATACATGTGCTTCCTACCTATCTTAAAGGGAAAATAACTGTAACTGTGTATTTTATGTATAGAAATTTTGATGGTGAATAAAGGCAATCAGTAATGACTTTTTTTACATGTTTTGTTTTTAATGAGTTATCATGGACTTCCTGTGGAAGAATAAGTGCAAGTTATAAAACTTAGAAATTTCTTCATCTCTGTGATATCCACTCAGGGAAATTTTCATTGATATTTTTAGATGAAAAGTATGAACATTTGTATTATAATATGACATGAAATTCATGAAAGCTGTAGACAAGTTTATAGAATTAGTTTTTATATTTGTTGAAATGAAAACTACTAAATATCTCAATGTAAAGGAAATTAATGAAATTACACATCGTAAGCTTTAAGTTATTGATTACATTAATTAAAAAATAGGTTTTAAGAAATAAATTTAAAAAATAAAAAAAAATTTTAATTTTAAAAAATAGGTTTAAAATTTGTAGGTTAAGCAGTAAATTACTCATTTAATGATGGAAATCGGTAATATTTTATTTCAGCTTGTTTTTATGTTTCATTTGCATTACCAATTAATCTGTGAAATGTTTTATATTCTAAATATATGCAAATGTATAATATTTTATTTCAGCTTGTTTTTTTTTGTTTCATTTGCATTACCAATTACTTTGTGAAATGTTTTATATTTTAAATATATGCAAATGTATAATTTAAGTCAACTGTATGATCATAATGGGAAAAATTTATCTTTTATTTTTATTTATTATTATTATTATTATTATTATTATTATTTTTAGATAGCTCAGGCTTGCAATAAGCATGATACAATTGGAATTGATCTTGTTGCTATGTGCGTTAATGATATTTTGACTCATGGTGCTGAGCCTCTGTTCTTTTTGGAAAGTTTGGACTGTGGAAATATAAATCCTGAAAACGTCTTAAATGTTATAGCTGGGATTGCAGAAGGCTGTAAACAAGCCAAGTGTGCTTTAATAGGTAGATTTAAATATTTCTTTCTTTTCTGGTATAATGCAATTATCTGCTTGTTTGTCATCTGTTATTCAGTTTGTATAAAATAATTGGCCTGGGTGCTAAGATGCTATCATATGATTCATCAAGTTTCAATATACAAAGGAGGATAAAAAAGTAATGCATAGTAATATTTTCCTCTTTGGTTTTGTAAGCCAATGTAAAACTAATGCAACTATTGCAATGTAAACTGGTTTTGCTATTACCCTGTTAGGAAAATCATGAACTATGGCATACAAATGTTGTGTTTGTGAATATCATCTACAGTTTTAAGGATGACAATCTTTATTTCACTTTTAAACAACTAATCAAGAAAGCTGTGCCTGGAATTCACAAAGAAATGATAAATGAAGGCATATGGTAGTGACTGCTTGGATTGCATTAAGTTTTTCAGATAGTACTTTCTTTAATTTGGTTGCAGTCCAATGAAACATTTTTAGTCGGCTGTATGCTTAGGAAATAAATAACATGTACTGAAATTATTTTCATGATATTAGAAATGATTTGAGCATTTTGATTCTTATGTTGAAAAATTGATGAGGCATGTAGTTTCACTATATGTAGGCGAAGCGAAACTAGTGCATACTAGTTTTTTTTTTTTTTTTTTTTTAAATCCTTCTTGTATTTGTAAAGTTTCTAGTTGAGTCACTGTTCAGAAATATTACAGTAGGACCAAAATAAATCCTAAATCAAGACTTTATATTCTTGCTTAATTGTAATACATATTTGTTTTTCAAAAGTTCTTAGTAAAAAACTCATGAAACCTTTTATCAGATTCCAGTTTCTAAAAAACACTTGAAATATGAAAATGTAAGTTTCAAATACCCATTTACAGAAATGCTAAATTTAAAAGTATTTTAATTAGCAAAATTCAGTTTGTATGTGTTCTCTGAAACCAACATTTTCACTATTTCTTTCCACTGAGTGAAAATGCTTTAAGCCATTGAATTTTTCTAATAACCAATTTTGTGTGCTATTTTTTTTCCAAATATCTTTAGTAAAATAAGAAATAACTATTAAATGTTTTAAAATTTTATATATATTACTGAAAGGAGTCACATCACCAAAATTATCATAGTCTGAAAATCATCCCTACTTGATTAATAGCTCAAAAACTGAAAACATAATCTTATGATCAGTTACTTAAGCAATACTCAATGCAGCACTTTTTAAATAGTATGTTTATTCACATATATATATGGATGCATAAATTGAAGTTTTAACTTAAATATCTTATGTTCTTCCAACAGGTGCAGAAATATGTCAAATGCCAGATATTTATTTAAACAGTAAATGTTTACCAGATCTGGAAAACTACGATGTTGTGGGATATGCAGAAGGTGCTGTAATGGATAAAAATTTACTTCCATGCCTAGATGAAATTAGATATGATGATACAGTTATTGGACTAATGTCTTCAGGAATCCATAGTAATGGATACAGTCTTGTTCGTAAAATAGTCGAAATAAAAAACCTGAGGTATCAAGACCCTGCGCCATTTGATAAAGCACAAATTTTGGGAGAGGCTTTGTTGACACCTACAAAAATATATGTTCAATCAGTCTTACCTTTAATGAAGAAAGGCCTGATTAAAGCAGCAGCACATATAACCGGTGGTGGTTTGACAGAAAACATACCAAGAGTGTTACCTCAAACGTGTCAAGTTGTACTTGATGGAAATAAATGGATTGTGCCTCCAGTTTTTAAATGGATTGCTGAAGAAGGAGATTTATCTGCAAAAGAAATGTTAAAGACATTTAATTGTGGAATAGGCATGGTTTTAATCATTGGCAAAGAGCATGAAAATGAAGTTTTAGAATCATTAAAACTGAGTGGAGAAACTTCAGCTATCATTGGTCATATAAAACAAAGGGAAAAAGGTAAGTTAATAAAATAATAATTTTTCTCCTTTATTGAGTGAATGCTTGTATAGTCATTTCATTAATTTTTTCCCATGCCTAACTAGTTATTTGACCTTCTGAAGGTCATCAACAAGCTCAACTTACATACCAGTTATGTATTGAAGTGGGCTCAAACGGGCACAGCGCACATTACAAATTTATGACTGACTTGTATTTGCACATACTTTGGAAGATTGCTTAATCTCGCAGTGTCATAGGCAAAACTTTCAACTATACTCTTATTGCTGCATATTATTATTTCTTTAAATATGCAAACCTACACTGATTTTTTCGAAATCACATATTACATAAAATTTTATAACATTAAGAACCAGGTATAAAAATAACACTTATACAACAATACTTTGATTCTGTTATTTACCCACAATAGAAATTTTAGGTATGTTTTGATCTTCATGCTGTATCTCAATATGAGAAAGTCCTGCCTAATATCGGATGTTACACTGATCGCCTTTTTTCTAAACCACCAGTTCCCTGCACAACATCCATTCCAGTTTAGTATTTATAGCCATTAAACCACCCTTAAGCTTCACCACTAAGTGTTTACCCATAAATATTGCTTTCTATGAGGATTTTTATTTCTATTCCTATGTGGGTGACCCTCACCAATATCTGAAATCCAAATTCTGTGTCTTTTTAATTCCTTTAATTATGTGGCCTTAGGAATTCATAGTATCCCTCCACCAATGGCATCTTGATCCATAAAACAGAACCGATACTCAGTGCTTCTTCCAACCGATATTCCAATATGTGGAAGTCTCAGAGTGAGTTGAGAGTCATTTGACTCTGTTCCCCAAATAGCATACAAGTTAAATTCTCGGAGGAAATGCTTTTCAAATTTAAAGCTACATTTGTAGATTTTAAAAGTAAGATCTTTGTGATTCACAATCTAAGAGGCACCTGATCTTCTTTATATTGCCTGTGGCTACCTCAGCCAAGTCATAAGTGTTCATACAGGGAGGGATGGACATGATATTTTGTACCATTACTGATTCTTTGCTTTTAGCCTTATACTGTGGTGCCTTGGGATATAAAATTAGCTTGAGATTGCTGACATAGATAGCACTGAAATAACTGTTGACATTGCCTTGCAAAATGCTCTGGTTTAAGACAGCAAAGGCAGTATCTAATTCTTTTAATTTGAGTAATTTCCTTTAAAGGCAATGGATCGAGCTGTGAAGCATTCTTTGCTTTGGAAGCCGTAAAACATTTTTGTTCCTTGCTAGCAAGGAAACTTGTTGCACTTATGATGGGCTTTTTGTTCCTAAATTTTACATCTTTAGAAAATATGAGAAAATTCGAATCCAGACTTAGCAAATTTGACTCTTTGCTCTCCTTTGACTTCTTTACACAAAAATTCCAAGAGATTTGAGAGATGTGATCCCTTATTATTGACCAGAATGCTTCTCTGCCATACCTGAAGCATTTCAGCTGGCAGACAGGACTCGACAATGCAGAACCAGGAAGCATTTGTGTCCAGGGTTAAGCTAAAGACTGTAGATCTGATATGTTATTCGATTTTTGTCAAACAGTGGCACTAGAGGTAACCTATCCTTCCTTTTCAAGCATGCATTTTGTATAATTAACTTTAGCAATTCCCTGACATGTATCTCAGTTAAAATTTTCTTGTTGTCGAAGCACTCCTCAAACACAAAAATAGCTTTTAAATTATTTTCTGCTGTTAAACGATCACTATCTGTCAGCTCTCTAGCCTGAGTTCCAAGTAACATTGATTGAGCTAAATAATGGAATTTGTCAACATCATTAAATTTTTTATCTCCTGGATCTTCTTAAATTGGCTCCAAAATGTAAGATAACTTTAGAATTGCCCATCAAATTTTTTAATTTGAATTTTTGGCAATTTGTACCATTTTCCATTAGATTTATGTGTGCTACTATCCATGTTAGAACTTGTATTAACACTGCGATCATCCACAATATCTGTTTCCTCTTTTACATGTCAATTAAGCATGATAAATTCATCTGAATATTCCTTGCAGCTTATAACTTCGGTTTCTAGATAATCTTCAGCAAAATTACCTTTAATCAATAAATCTAGTGATGAAATTTCAACTTGGAAATTATCATTTTTAAGTTCACAATTTTATCTTTTAATACGGCTTTATCTCCCTTATCATCTTTGCCAAGTTCTTCCTTTACCTTAGCCGTTCTGGTGAAAGCATAATGCGATGTTGCATGTTTTTTCCTTAACATATCAACATTAATTTTTACCTTTCAATGCAGATCCATTTAAACTCAAAATTTGTAATTTTATGAGGAAAACTGATGATATGCTAACATCATTCGAATATGGAAAAGTATTATAACTTCTAAGAAAAACACTTGAACTGAAAGGTGCTGATCAAAAAAGCTTCTACCAGTTTTAAAAAATTACAATTGAAAAACTGTTTTTTAACAGTGCAAAACAGATTGAATAGTTGTTTGTAAAAGATAAAACTTCATTGTGAACATAATTACAAAACTATTTCTTTTAAAATTTAAAAGATTAATTTCAGAATTTCATAAATAGTTAATATAAGCCTTAATTTTTAATTATTATTTTAGGATTAATTATTGAATTATTGTTAGTTATTATTTTACTTAAAAAGTTTAAAACTAATTCAGAAGTCAAACAACAAAAATCAGCGTTATACCTACAAAATTTTCACAGGACTAGTTTCGATGGTTTTACCGAACCATCATCTTCAGCTGCAAACCGCAAATGAACAAGATAGGAAATAATGATTAGATAAGATAAGAAAGCCTGGACAAGAATAAGCAAGTGGCGCCATCTGTTGGTGAAACCAGAACTAAAACATAATTTCTTGAAAGGCCGAAGGCAAATTTGGATTGGAATTAGGATCGTTAAATAGAACAGAAAGATTTTTATGAATGTGAAATGCCTCTAGAAAATCCAGTTCTCCAATGGAAGATGCTTTTTGAATAATTTTGGCAGCAGAAAAATTGAAAGTGTGATTTTCGGACCAACAATGTTGAGCAACAGAAGACTTCTGTGTTTCCTTTTTTCTAACATATGCCTCATGTTCTTTGACGCGAAATTTTAAGGCTCTCTTAGTTTGGCCAATGTAAATTAAACCACACTGGCAAGGAATCCTATAAATACCCCAGGAATTCATATCCGGAATGGGGTCCTTGAGTATAGAAGTTGGAATTTTATTGATGGGAGAATAAACAACCCGAAAGTTAAATTTCTTCTGCAAAATATGTGCAACTTTATAGCTAATTGATGGAAAGAAGGGAATGACAACAGAATTTTTATAATCTCCTAAAATAAGAGTGTGGCTTTTAGTGTGTTGAGATGAGAATTTTTTAACTGCTTGATTAATAATGTTGGGTGAAAAGCCCCTGTCAATAGCTATATGCTTTTAAATAATTTAGTTCTTCATCAAGGGCGAATTGGAGGAGCAAACTTGAAGAGCACGGAAAACATAGGAATAAAATGAAGCTAACTTTGTGTTTAGTCGGATGACATGATTTAAAGTGTGGTGGAAGGCAAACCGATGAAGGTTACTACGGACAAACACAGAAAGTCTTCTGTTGCTCAACATTGTTGGTCCGAAAATCACACACTTTCAATTTTTCTGCTGCCAAAATTATTCAAAAACATCTTCCATTGGAGAACTGGATTTTCTAGAGGCATTTCACATTCATAAAAATCTTTCTGTTCTAGTTAACGATCCTAATTCCAATCCAAATTTGCCTTCGGCTTTTAGAGAAATTATGTTTTAGTTCTGGTTTCGCCAACAGATGGCGCCACTTGCTATTCTTGTCCAGGCTTTCTTATCTTATCTAATCATTATTCCTATCTTGTTCATTTGGCGGTTTGCAGCTGAAGATGATGGTTCGGTAAACCTTCGAAACTAGTCCTGTGAAAATTTTGTAGGTATAACGCTGATTTTTGTTGTTTGACTTCTGAATTAGTATTTATTCGGCGTGTTATTGTGTCTTAAGTTTAAAACTGTTATTACAATTTGCAATACACCAATTGCTGTCTATTAAATGCCTCTGCTTAATAAGCTCAAACATGTTTGAAATGAAAGTGATTTTAATAAGTGTCAGGTTCTGAAGAACCATGATATAAACTAAAATTTATTTTCTGATTTTTGCATTATCTTCTGCATTACTGTTTACAAAACTACAAACATTACATTTAAACCTATTTTTAACTTTAAAAGCAATAGTAAGGATAAATAAATTTACACTTGCTTATGGTGTTAATGAAGTATCAGTAATTTCCTTTAAGCATACAGTTGCATCTATTGTACAAACACATAATACAGATTATTTGTTGATTGTGAATAGCAGACCATCTTACATCATATATACTGTTTGATTTACTGAAACATTATTGCATTTCTCTATTGGTTTTTCATATGTATTGTTTAATAATTTAGTATCAAAATAACTTTTAGATGGAAGCTTATATTCAGGATGCAGCATTTCCATAATTTTATGAAATGAAGGTTTTCACTATCATGTAAGGATTCATTTGTAACATGAAAATTATGACAATGACCTATATTACGAGGGAGAGTCTCAAAATAAGTTTCTTTTGGTGACTGTAGACAGAGCTGTGTAGGAAAGAGTAAAAATGTAATGAGACATTAAAGATAAGACATAACTTTATTTTTCCACATAATACTGCATTATAAGCTTCATAAAGCCCTCCAGAAAAAAGTCAGGGCTCTGCATATGGAAGAAACACTGAATGGCTTATGTGACTTCAACATCGCTTTCAAAGCACCTTCCTACCAAGATTCTTCTTCAAAGATGGAAATGGATCGAAGTCACTGGGTGTGAGATCAAGATTGTATGGCGGATGGTCACGGCACTCTCAACCAAGATTTTCAATGTGGTTTTGGGTTGCCAACTCCGAGTATGGTCTTGCATTGTCATCCAATGACAGAACGTCAGATCTCAGAAGGCCATTTTTTTTTTTTTTTAATATCCTCCTTCAATTTTGACTATACTATATAGCATTGATGGGTTTTACCTCCAAAAAGGCAACAAAACTCCTTGGGCATCCAAGAAAGCTGTAAGGAACACTTTACCTGCAGAGGGAATTGTTTTGAACTTCTTTCAGACAGGTGATTCCATAGATGCCGCTTTCAATTCCGGCAAATAGTGGACCCACATTTCATTCCCCGTAACAATCTGAGACAGAAATTCATTACCGTCGCAATGGTAATGCACAAGATGTTTGAGGCTGACTGCTATGCATTATTCCATGTGGTTCAGGGTCAGTTGTCAGATCACCTATCGTGCTGACACTTTTCGGTATCGAACATTGTGGATGATCTTGTGCACAGGGCCGGATTTATGTATAAGCTACACAAGCTATAGCAAAGTGGGGGCCCCAAAAAATTTAAATATAGTATAAATAGGATTAAAATATATAACAGACTTATAAAGGGTCCCATCAAGTCTAAATCAGGCTCTTCTTGCACATGTCTGGTTCCAAGTTTTCCCATCAATGGTGATATGCCAGTTTACTTTAATCATGTCATCTACCATCTTGACATTTTCTTCTGTAGTGGCCGTGCATATCCGTCCAGGTTTCGGTCTATCCAGCACTTGCTGATGCCCCTCACTGAATGTGGCCCATCTACAAGGTGGTTATGGATTTCTGCTCCCAATAACATAGTTACTTAAATCATGCACCATGTGTTATGAATTAGTGTACTCATCATTAGAGTTATGAAGTGACACATTTTCTTTCATTGTACTAACATGACTTATTTAAAATATTTTAAATAGTTTCACATCTTTAAAAAACTTCTATTTTTTGTATTCAGTAATTAAAATGTCTTCAAAAGCATTACAGATTATCTTAAGCTTCGATTTAAGCACATTAAAAAATGGGAAAATATATGATTTTAATTAATGATTTCTTTTTAAAAATCTGCTGATTAAAATCATTGATATTATACAAAGCTAAATTCCTTACAAATTTTAATTTGACTTTTATTTCTTATTTTACAAATTTTACTATGCATAACTGAGCTGATATTTTATATTAACGTACTTAACGACTTTAAAGTGTGTAAATGATCCATCATGTTCTCATATATTATTCCTGAAATTGGTAAAGAACTGGATGCTGCTCTACTGCAGTTAAATACATCGAAATATAGCTGCATCATATTGTTATACTATTATGTTTGTAATGTTAAATAATGTGAACATATTAATACACCCAATTATGCTTTTATTCAATTTTTTTGTCAAACATCTGGAAGAAACATTTGTACCTCTTTGAAGTACTAGACCAAATTCAAAATTTTTCAGACTGCATTTTTTTAAAAATTATTTTTTAAAGGTAAGGGTGTGTGTATGGTGTTGCCATAATAAACTTAGGGAATCCAGTATTCATTTAAGTTGATTTTGATATAATATGGTTAAAAGAGACTATAAAACAAAATCCATCTAAATTTTGTTTTTAAAAGTACTTTTACTCAAAAAAAAGTCTAAAGATGCTACTTAAGGTCACATATGTTGAAATGGTTTTGATTTTGGAAATATACATTCCCAGGATTAAAAATGTCTCAAAATGAAGCCATAAATACATAACTAGTCTCCTCTGTTCTAGTCCACAAAATAAACAAGAAATTTTTCTTTTCTTTATCAAAATTTCTGTCTCTTAGTTTCCGTACTTATAGGAAAAATAATTTAACTTTATGGTGAATGTGATAAAATAAGTAATATGAGAGTATATTTATGGTTATGAAGCATAAATCATCAAAGAATAGAATATAATTTCAGTTTTCATGGCATTTTATTTTTTTTAGGTAGGATTATGTATGTTCAAATATCTTGAAAAGTCTATAAAAGTAAAGTATATAAAAGTATAGTCTATAAAAGTAAGAAATACTCAAGTGGTTAAAGACAAATTAATATCTAATCGATGATTTTGATGTAATTTATTTAAAAGCAATTATGTTCTGTACTGGATTTGAACATAGAGTTTTCTTGTATGCTTATTACGCAGGTACTTTTCCTTCTCCATATTTTTCTAGGAACTTGTGTGAAAACCAGGCTGGTGGGTGTACTTCACATCAGGAACAATTAATTGTAGTTACAGTATTTGATTTCCAAATTATATATATGTAATTCTTTTGATAAAAAATATATCAAATTATTTCTTTCATTATGCACAGTTTTTAAATAAGAGCAGACTGGTTTGAATGAAAATAAGACTTTTTGTGAGAATAAGCATTGAATTATTTCTAGGAAACATATTTTAGAACTTTTAGTATTATTGCAATTTAAATTGCTGATTTAAAACATATTTCCACATTTATTTACTGAAAACTAACCTCATAATTTTTGGAAAATGTTTGCTATATATAAAAATTTCAAGAACAGTGAGCTGGACAATGGCAAAGCCGTGAAATATTGGTCATTTGGGCTGTTTCCCAGTAGTACAACTAACTGGCTATGTAAGCTCTTATGGAGTTGTTCCCTTGTACAATGTTTAGTATGAGCCATACTGTCTTAGAAAAGCATCTTTCAGCTGATAGTTCTTGGATGTTTTATAGAAATTAATATATGTAATCCATTGAAGAATGCTTAGCCATTAGTATTGAAACACATGAATAATCAAATAATAAGCTAAATAAAATGGTCATTTTTTTAGCCACTTGAGCTTCTAATTTAAAAATGAATCATGTGAAACTTGTAATAAAATAAAATCAATAAAATTGTAATCAAACACAACACTTATAAATTAAAAAACACAATAATTATTCAGTATTAATCAAATGGGATTATTATTATATTCAAATCACAGTAATACTTATTATAATTCATATCTCTTACATTATAATATAAGAGATATGAACTAACACAGTAAATTGAAAGTGTTAAAATTTTAATTTATATAAATATTTCTTCTTAAAGGTAGGACAATTGATGTCAAAATTTCTATTTATCATCTAATTGAAGGAATAAGAAAAAAGTTGGGGTATTGATATCTGGATCAGGTAAGGTTTTCGGCTCTTTTTATTTTAAATAGTTTATAATCAACTCAAATTTTCACTTCTGAATTAATTTTTTTTTTAATTGGTAAAATTTACTTTCAGTCTATGATCAGACAGAATCTAAGTTTGCGAAAATGATTTTGAGACCCTTATGAACCATGAATATTTACAGAACTGACAGCATTTATTTTTAACATTTGTGATATTTTTAAAATTGTAAAATTTTACAAAAACATTTTATAATTTTATAAATAAATTAAGTACTTAATATGTACTATTTGTAACAAACACAAAAAATATTCTGAGTAATAAATAGTTTAGGGCAACATAAAATATAAAACAGAAAATTACATTAAAATTTCCAGTTTAACCCCCTTTTAAATATAGACAACACTCATAAAAACATTTCTAAAACACTTTTTAATCATGCTATTAATATGAATTTTATAAACAATTTGTTGTAACGGAAGTTTTTCAACAAAAACATTCTTAATAAAGTTTTGAAAAAATGAAAGTAGTATCTTTAGTATAGGTCTATACCACTGCCCAAATGATTTTCTGCCAATGTTTTGGTAGTTTTTCAAAGCCTTCGGCCTGAAAACTTGGTGGCTGTAAACCCAAAAGCAGATCAACCTCATTTCAGATGTCCTGATAGCACCAGCAAGATGTAGCTACAAGTGTGAAAAAAGGTATAGAAATCCAAAGGAGCGATGTACAAGGCTACATGGTGGGTATGCAAAAGATTTCATTTGAGTCCATATGGAGTCCAGCCCGTGAATGCAGATACCTGTGGTCTTGCATTATCTTGATGGAACATTATGTTTTTGTGCAGGATTTCAGTTCGATGTTTTTCTTTGAAAGCAGCATCAACATGGACTAGCATCTTGCTGTACACCTTACTGTTGAGAGTTTTACCTTTTTGCATATATTCTTTATGGATAATACCACGGCAATCCCACCATATGCGAAGCATGATCTTTTAGTTAGTGAAATTGCAATTTGTGATGCTGCCGACAGGCTAGCTGAGTGCAGACCAACCCCTTCTTAGCCTGTGTTGTTGAAGTAAATCCGCTTTTCATTACAAGTGATGAACCAGTCCAGAATTTTGTCCTTGTGTTGATATTCGAGCAGATTAATGCAGGTCCGAACATGTCTGTCCTTATCTGCTTGAGTCAGATCATATAGCACCCAATGACTGAACTTGTATGTCACGTTTATGCAATGCATAGCATGCATAATGCACATGGCACTAACGTCTAACCCCCCCCCCCGCACAGAACAGCGTGAAATTGATAAACAGATTTCGGAATGGTTAGAGAAACAAAGGAGCCTTTATCCATTTTTTGCAGCAATTCCACTTTGCGGAGGACTCGAAACATGCTTTCCCTTTGTAGATCCAGCGGAAATGCCGCAAGTGTGCGCTGCAATGTTCCCCCCTTCCCTTACAGGTTAAACAAAAGATTTCAGAATGGTTGAGAAACAAATCACATCTCTGTCAGTTTCTTCATGCTTTGTCCATTTTTTGCAGCAATCCACTTTTGTTAATGGATCGAAACGGCTTTTGCTTGGTAGACCCTTGGCAGTCCGATCGGAAAGCTATTGACATAATCGAAATTCAAACTTACGTTTATAAAAAGGCCAACATCACAAAAAAAAAAATAATAAGCCGGATCCAATCGAAGATTAAGGAACAACGCCATCTGCAACTTAACGGAAATAATAATTCATAATTTAGCTTAGTATACTGTCCGTTAACTAAACACGCATGCGTAAATGCATTATGTGTTTACGCATGCGCAGAAAGTTTGTAGCTTGAGGTCCGGATTTAGATTCCGGATTATGGACGTCCAGATTAAAGACTTTTGGCTGTAGTTCATTTCAGACACTTACTTAATGAATTTGAGAGAAACTTCTAAAATATGTATGAGCTTGTTTAATACTGGTGAATGGATTTTTTCCCTAATATTAGATAATGGAATTATTAACAATTCTTTTTTTGTATAATTTTCTTAGAGTTTTCCTTATTTGGTGTAAAAATTAAAATTAAAGGGGATGCATGCTACAAAAAAAAAAAAAAATTGTGAACATTTGTAAGATTTGTAAATAATATATGAACGATGAGAATCAGAATTTCTTAAAGCGCTTAAAGCAAGCAATTTCTTCAGATGGGATAATGCATTTATAAGAGTCATCCTATATATACACTCTGTCGCAAAAAAATATATGTACCCAGAAGAAATCGAGCCAAATCATTAAACTCAATAGGAATGTAGTCTGGTAAGAGATATGTAAATGATTTAAATTTTGGTCCCAATGATGCAAGGGCAAACCTGGGAGAATTTAAAGCATGATTGCTCATGCTGTAGGGCTATTCAAACAAATTTGTCGACTTGGATCGATGGTTTTGTGACTAGAGATACCTCTGAGACGTAACCAGCGGCATTAGAAACAGTGATCAGAATTTGAAAGGGACAATACGGTAGGCCTGAGAGAAGCAGGTAAGTCAAGCAGAGTATCGTCCACCACCTCAGTCGGAGTGATATGGTAGTTGCTCAGTAATGATAATAATAGATCACAGAAGGGATAGTCTACCATCACCATCATTCAGGGCATCCCAGAATCACAAATAAGCGCGAGGATCATGCAAGCATAAGAGCAGCCACTTCCACACCAACAACATCGCTAGCATCAATTCTACACCATTTATCACCTTTCAGACATCTGGTGGTATCTAGGGAAAACCATTTCGAGATGACTGGCCAACACTGGTATGTGCTGCCGACATCCATTAAGAATGCCTATCCCACATCACAGGCAGTGTCAATTGGGTTTTTTGCTGAACTTGGGCAAGCTGGAGTGTGACCGACTGGAGGCGTGTGATCTTCAGCGATGAATCCCGGTTCATTGTTATTGCTGATGAGTCTTATTGCTGATTACGAGAGGTGCGACAGTGTGGGGAGGGATTTGTCGGCAGACACAATCACCCCTAGGCATCCTTCAAGGCACTATGATGGTTCACAATTAAATGGAAGACATTTTAATGCCGTTTGTATTGCCTATGCTATCAAGTCGCCCAGGTGCCATTTATCAGCGCAAGGCAATGCTCATCTACATGCTGCACAACTCTTTCAGCAATGTCTTCAAGGATATGATGTACTCCTGTGGCCTGTCAGGTCACCAGACCTCTTGCCAATAAGCATCTTGGAAGGTTCTGTGCCATCCAGGAATATGGTGAATTACGCCCATTGCAAAGATATGGTATGATCTTCCATGGGTCACAGTGATCTATATTCGTGCCATACGTGTGTAAGTAGCTCCTCAAAATTGCTCCACATTTTGAATAAATACATTATATTACATAGTAACATTACATAGCAATAACGCGTTACACAGCTCTTCACACTAAATTCTCAAAAAACCATGCCAACTCTCGCTCAAATCAAAACTTTTCTCACACAGTTGAGGGGTGCTACAACGTCCTCTATGGGAGATCTCAACATACTCCCCACGGATGACCATTCAGGACATCAAACTACCTCTTACATGAAATTATTACTTAACATTATTCTTAGTAAACATATAATTTCTAGATTAAATAGTTCTTGCATATAAATGAGTAATACTAAGCCTAAACAACATATAAATGTAAACAATGAATTACACAAATTAATATAATAAATGTGTACAATAACATTAAAACTTAAGAATTCAAATGAATATAGATGAATATCAAGTTAAAGTTCAAAATTTTTCTGATACTTAACTGTCTATTGGTAACACACAAAGTTTGTGAATGGGTCTCTTGAATTCACCATCAGCAGTTTTTACTTTTACAACACGAACTCTGTAATCATTACCTGGGTAAATTTCGGTGATACATCCCAGTTTCCATTTTAAGGAAGATGTTTTATCTTCCTTAATGATTACTAAGTCATTTACTTTAATATTTGCTGAAGCATGATGCCATTTTGTGCGAACTTGCAGTTGAGTCAAATAGTCCTTAGACCATTTCCTCCAGAAGAACTGCGACATTTGCTGAACTAGTTTCCAATGATTGCGAAGTGTTAGTGTCTCGTCGCGCACATTTGGTTCCGGAATAGTGTTTAAAGATGTTCCTATTAAAAAATAACCCGGTATAATCACGGAAAAATCATCTGGATCACTTGAAATCGCTACTAATGGTCTTGAGTTCAGACATGCCTCGACTTCTGCTAGATAAGTAGCAAATTCTTCAAAAGTTAGAACTTGAGAACCAATTGCTCTTCTCATATGATATTTCATAGCCTTTACTGCGGCTTCCCATAGTCCACCAGAGTGCAGCACAGAAGGCGGATTGAAATTCCACTTAATTTCTTCCTCTATTAAGTATCTAGCTATCCTTTGGTCCGAATGATATGATTTCAGTTGTCTGTTGGCACCTATAAAATTAGTGCCGCAATCACTGTACACTTGCTTCGGTCTTCCACGTCTAGCAATGAATCATTTTAGAGCTGCTATGAAGGAATCTTTCGTCATGTCTCCAACTTGTTCTAAATGCACTGCCTTAGTACTAACACATACGAAAACACAAACGTAGATCTTCACTGTCCGAACACCGCGCCCTTTCCTCGGTTTAACTTGGAAAGGACCCGAAAAATCCACACCACGTTTCGAAAAATCTCTTGCGGAATTCACTCAATGCTGGAAGATCGCCCATTGCTTGATATGACAGCTCACTTCTGTGTCGACAGCATGTTACACATTTACGAATGATCTTGCAAATGGCTGCTCGTGCATTAATAATCCAGTATCTCTGCTTGATTTCTGAATGGAGCATTTGTGCTCCTCCATGAAGATATTTATAGTGATAATATCGTATTATCAGTTCTGTAATATAGTGTGATTTAGGCAGAATGATTGGATATTTTACATTCTGTGCATTTCTAAGTCATCCTCCCACTCTTAGAATACCCTCATTGTCTAAGAATGGATTCAACATATTGAGTTAACTGCGAGTACTCATTAGTTTTCTCTTTTTGAAATGATCAATTTCTTCACTAAATTCTTGCATTTGCACAGACTTGATTACCCAAGAATGTGCTACGGCTAGCTCTCTAGTCTGGAGAAAATTTGATTTTGTCCTTGTTATTGATGATCATTTCACATTGGCAATAAATCTGAGATACCAAGCTATAACTCGTAAAAGTTTTGTCCAAGAAGAATATTTGTGAAGCAGTTCATCAATCACAAAATTCTTAATCATAGTTGTATGCACAACGCATCCCTTTCTCTCAGTTTCTACTACTTCCAGTTGGATATCCTTCAGTGGAAGCTTAGGGAAAAAATTATCTTTTCCTTTCAGCCAATATGGACCACACCACCAATGATCACCTTCCAACAAACATTGAACTGGCACACCCCTACTAACTAAATCAGCAGAATTTTTCCTTCCACTGCAATGATTCCAAAACCTGTAATCTGATTTTTCCTGCACTTCAACCACTCTATTACCGACAAACTGTTTCCATTGTTTCACAGAACCCTTTATCCAAAACAAGACAGTTAAGGAATCAGTCCAATACATAAATTTATCAATAAGATCCTTAAAAACCTCTCCCAGATACTTTCCTATTCTAGCTCCTATGACTGCTGCCATTAGTTCTAATCATGGCAACGTCAATTTCTTCAAAGGAGCTACTCTGCTTTTCGACATGACAAACGACATGGAAATGTCACCCTTATCATTTAAGTAACGACAATACGCTACAGCACCATAAGCTATAGGAGACACATCGCAAAATACGTGTATTTCCATTTTTTAATTTAAGTTATCAACACTCACAAATAAATTTCTCGGAACTGAAATATCCTTCAGATATTTAACCTCAGAACACCAGCTAGTCCACTTGATTTTAAGGTCATCTGGCAATTTCTCATCCCAACCAATACCCACGTTCCCAAATTTCCTGTAGCAAACACTTAATTCTAACTACAAATGGAGCTGCAAACCCGATTGGATCAAAAATCATTGCTGCAACATGCAAGACATAACGCTTTGTGCTATTCAAACTCTTTAAACTATTCATTAATCTTGCTATATCTAAAGAAAATTTACAATTTACTGGATTCCAGTTCAAGCCTAAAACCTTCAACTGACAATCAGAAATACAAGTATCATCGCTAAGTCCATTCTGCATCCACAATGACCTCAGTTTCTCAGAATTAGTTTTTAATTTTCGCAAAATCATACTTGCATCCTTTAAAATCGACACAGCTTCAGAAGACAGCTTAAATGCCTCTTCAACACTATTTCCCCCAAAATATAAATCATCTACATACAGTGAAGAATTTAACATTTCAACATATTCGGGTTTATTATTCCTGTACTGCTTTAAGTGCTTTTTTATTGTTGCACTTAAAATAAATGGCGATGACTTACAACCAAACCAAACGGCAAACGTGTCATATGCATTATTTTGTAGTCTTCATTTGTATTTTCTGATAACCACAAGAATTTAAAAAATTTTCCTATCCTCTTCTGAAATTCTAATCATCAAAAATGCTTTCTCTATATCAACACAAAATGAAATTTTGAATTTCCTAAAATTTAAAATAACATCCAGTACATTGGGATTCAAATTCGGCCCAGTCTCTAAATAATCATTCAAAGAGAGATTTAGTTTCGCTTTCGAACTACAATTGAAAACCACGCAAACTTTAGTAGTATCTTTATCAGTTCTCACAACTGCTCTATGTGGCATGAAATATTCCTTTGCATCTCTAGAACATTCTTCAATTATTCCTTTACTCTGTTGATCTTTAATTATGTCCTTGTATTCATTCGCCAACCATTCATTATTTTCAAAATGGTTTTTTAAGTCCTCAAGTCTTTTTTTAGCAAGACAAAAGTTATTTTTTAAATCCATTGGCTTTATTTCCCATAACAAACAAGTTTCGTATCTTCCATCTACAAACCTCAGATTATCTTCAAAGTGTTTTATCAAATTCTCATTTGCAATTGATAACTTATAAGAATCTGTAATTCCTAACGATTCTAAATTCCATAGCATCTGCATATTGGTGGTAATGCAAAAATTTGTTAATACTATGTTTCCCCAAATTTTATCCTCGGAATTATTTTGTATGCCCTGCAGTGTAAGGCCAAAAATAGTTTGTATTCAGTTTAGCGTTTTGGTTATTTTTTCTACTTTTGACTCTTTAATGACGTCCCAAAAATAATCTGCTCCTATTAAAATGTGAATACCTTCATCTGAATCCATGCATGCCTCAGCTAAATTTAAACCCTTTTGTTCAAAAATATTTTGAATATTTATATTGGGAAATGCAATGGGTGCGAAGGTAATCATTTCAGCAACTAATGCTTCTATCCCAATATATTTCTTAGGATCGTTCCTATTCCTCAATGTTAACTTTACTACACTGTAAGTTTTATTTATGGCTTTTGTAGACCCAAAAGCATAAACTGACAATCTTTCCTTTTGGTTGGTTTTAAGGCTAAGGGCATCTGCCGAAGATTTTGTTATCCAAGATCTTTCACTCCCGTTATCCATTAACACCCGACATAGTTTAAAGTTTCCTTTCGAACAAGCCAAGACAGTACAAGTTTGCAGCAAAGCACTGCCATTTGACGCCCGCTGAGAGGAGCTGCACTGAGTCATCGTGTTTGAATTCTCTTTTTCCCCTTCAACTTCAGCTGATTTATTACTTCTTTCGCATAGCAAGGAGTGGTGAGCTAAGCTGTTGCAGTTCTTGCATGGGTCGAGTTTAGTTTTACAAAATCGTGCTAAATGGAATTTTTAGAAACAGCGAAAACATCGATTATCTCTTTTTAATCCATTTTTCCTTTCCGCGACACTTTCAAATTCGCTAAATTCATGTTCTTTGCTATTACAAAATATGCAGTTTCTATTAACATTTGTAGTATAACTAGCAGTTGATATATTCCTATTAGTATTAAGCTTTTTATTTTGAAATTTCCTAGAATTACTTTTATATTCATTACCAAAATTATGATAATTTTCAGTTTTTCTACTAAATAAATATGTCCTTTCTCTAGACCGTATGTCTTTGTCTAAAAAGGTAAATAAATCCTTAAAATTCCAATCATTATCTGGATACATTCTATTGAATTCTAAAACAAGTTCCTTTGGAATTCTTTCTAACAAAATGGGAATCAATAAAGTGCTGAAAGATTTTGTTTCAACTCCTAACGACTCTAAACTTCTAATTTGAGTATCAGCTTTGTCAAACAACCTTCTCAATCCAGCTAAATCATTTATACTTCTAATAATAGGAATTTTAAGTAACTCATTCAAATGTGTCTGTATAAGAGTAGTCTTATTACCAAATTTACCTTTTAATATATCCAAAGCAGCATCATAATTTTCTTCTGTTAATACAAAACCACTTATACAATTAGATGCCGTACCCCCTAAATATGACCTTAAATAATTAAATTTATCTATCTTTGTAAGATTACTGTTATTATGAATAGCGCTTTCAAACTGGTTATAAAAATTCTAACCAAGAAGCAGGATCACCATAATATTTACTGATTATCGATTTAGGAAGTTTAACTGTTTTGGTTTCTCTAAAGGTTTGGTTTTCTAGTGTACCTTGAGTAGTTGCGGGAATAGAAAAGGATATGTTACTAATATTCATTTCATCTTTCATTAATCTATCAATTACATTAGTTATCTTTTGTTTCCAGAGGATACTTTTTTCTGAATATTCCTCTGACACAGTAATTTCCTCTTCTATATCATCACAATTACAAAGATTTTTCACTTCATCGTTTAATCATTTTAAATTAGTTTCCTTATTTGGGCTCGAAATTCCTTTAAAGTATCTACCTTATTCATAATATCTATCTCGCTAGAATCTTCCTTAATAAAAGCTTCAATTTTGTTAATTAACTTGGTTAACGTAGACCTAACTGCACTACGCTCCTTTCTCAACTTAGGTAATTCCAACATTTTACAACAATTCAAATTTCAAACAAAACATCAAAACAAAGTCTACCTTCACTTCCTGCAAAATTTTACAAATTCCCAAACAAAGCTTGCAACTAAACCACTAGAATCCACAGCTTCCAAGACCAACTTTGTCCTCACTGGTGGCTCCAAAAAAATGTGAAGTATGCTCCTTCAAAATTGCTCCACATTTTGAATAAATACATTATATTACATAGTACAGTTATATAGCAAATACGCGTTACACAGCTCTTCACACTACATTCTCAAAAACCCACACCAACTCTCGCTCAAATTGAAACTTTTCTTACACAGTTGAGGGGTGCTACAATGCCCTCTATGGGAGATCTCAACACCGTGTTTCAGTTTATATAGCTGCCAGAAGTGGCTATACTACTTACTGATTTGTAACTTTCATACCATAACTTCTTAATAAAAAGATCTTTTGCTCTGAATTTATAATCATTTGTTTATCTTCTCATTCACAATATACATGTTAAATTTCAGGATAGTAGTTCGTTTCCTTCTGGGTGCATATAGTTTTTTGTGACAGAGGGTATTTTATTTTAGTTTCAGTTACATGCATTCATGTGGTTCACATTTTTTTTTTTTTTTTCCCTTCAAATCTAATGTTTGTATATAAATTTTAGGTACCAATCTTCAAGCTCTAATTGATTACACGCAGAATCCTGGCAATCAGAGTGATGCTGAAATTGTCTTGGTACTCTCAAATGTAGCTGGAGTTGAGGGTCTGAAAAGAGCAGAAAGAGCCAATATTCCAACTGAGGTATTCATCCTATAGATGTTTTTATGTGTATGTCTGGATATAACAATTTAATGATAGTGAATTAAATAATTTTACCCCTTTCTATTTATAAATGCAAAATTTTATCTTAAAATCTATAGTGACAAATATATTAATGCAGTATACATAACATCTTAATCACAAGGCTAGAAAAGTACATTTCAGTACTTTATATTGCTATACAATGTTGTATCTACGTAGTATGCTTTCACAGCTATGTATTAGCTTCTAGGTTACAGATGCTGTTATTATCACCACAAAAGTCCAAATGATGGGACATTTACAAACAAAATATTCATGATGATTCAAATAATCTGTTTTGATTTCGATAATGCAGAATCTAAAACATGTTCTTTAACTCTTTTGAAACATAAGCAGGACAGTTTGTCTGACTGACTAATGCTGTATAATTATCCTCTTCATCCCTCAATTACACATCTTTCACTAGATAGTACTCTTCCCTAAAAAAAGGTTAATTATCTTTTGCCACATTCTCTACATAAAAATGTGACATTTGGTTACCACTTAATATCACACATGGGAATGTAGTATCATTCAAAAAAGACACTGGAAATTTCCCTACTGATATCTAGATGCACTCAAAATTTTGAGTCTTTGCACTTACATTACATTCTGGAAGTCTGCTTACAATTTTGGGTAATCATCTTCAATAAGTACCTTAATTTATTATTCATGCTTGCAAAAAAAAAAAAAAAAAAAAAAAAAAAAAAGGGTTTAGTCATTATTTAGCTTATTTGTAATTAGTTGAACTCTACAATATGTAACACTTTATTTCTCAGAAAGAAAAAAAAAACTGCACATAAGAAATCTGCTCTTCAAATTAATTTTAATCCCTTAATTGCCGCGGGCGTATATATACGCCTTGCTCAGCCGATGCGTTGACTGCCCCGGTCGTATATATACGCCCTTACAAAATACTATCAGTTGCTTTGCGCTGCTACCCATTAAATTATTCGCAAACTTTTGGAATGCAACACCAGAATGACCTTGACGAAGTATGTGAAGGAGGATATTATTTCAGAGAAGTGTGGGGAGAAATTGGAGAGAGGGATGTGTCTAAAGTGCTGAAAGTGATGACTGCGTGGTATTGGCTAGTGTTGTTTGAGTAAAACGTATTTTTTTTTTATTCTGTGTCCTCCGTTTTCGTTTACTTTTTGTAGTAGGTTCCAGGAATAAAGAAAGATATAACGGATGTTTCAAACCCATTTATCTTTTTTGAATTATTTTTTGATGAACTGCTCTTGCTTTATATTGCTACTGAAACTAACCGTTTTGTAGACGAGTATATGAACCAACAACACCTTGCAAACGAAAAATCAAGAACAATATCGTGGCATTCAACCAATTCAGAAGAAATATATGTTTTTATAGGCATACTGATTTCACAAGGTATATAACACTGAAACATGATATTACACTTTACTGGTCTAAAAATAAATTGATCGAAAACCCATTATAGGGACTTTTTTTATTATAAAAACATCCTTTTTATTATACTTACATCTTTTTATTATATTTTTACTCAAAATATTAAATTTTATGCATTCATTTTTTTTTCTTTTACTGTTTATTTTGTGAAAGTAAACAATTTTTAGAAAGTAAAACTTGCTCTTATTTTCCCCCTAATAAATCACATAACTACGCGCGGATATGTGAAAAACCGTGGCACTGGGGAATGAATCTTGTACGTTTTCCGCGGCAGTTAAGGGGTTAAAGAACATGTTTGTAGGAAAATTTTCTAGTTACCTTTTGGCATCCTGTCTGGTAACATCTTAAGAGCTATGCTTATTTCTGTAAGCACAGTATTTTGTATGATTGAATTTACAATGAATCATTGCTTTACAATAAATATCATTACTATACAATTTAGAAAACAAAGTATCACATATCTATATAGTAAGGACATGTAAATAAATGTTATTTCTTTGAGTAGATTATCTAAATGAAAAATACTGTATTTAGCAAATAAAAAGTGCAAAAATGATGCACAGCAAGTTAATCTTGGCAATGAAGATTCAGTGGTGGTTCAGGTAAAAAAAAAAAAAAAAAAAAAAAAAAATTAAAACATAATCCAAGTAGATGATTTAAATGACTTTTTTCAAAAATCAAATTGCATTTTACTAATGGTTCAAAATGTAATTCAGGTATATTATTTAAATGATCTTTGCAAAATGTAATTAAAAGTAAAGTATTTAAGCGAACCTTTGACAATTCAAATGCATTTAACTAATGATTCAAAGTTTCGATATAATTCAAGTAGATGATTTAAATGAACTTCTGAGAATCATACTGCATTTTGCTCATGGTGCAAAATGTAACTCAGGTCAATGATTTAAGTGACTTTTTAAACTAATGCTTTAAAATATAATGAAAATAGACGATTTAAATGATCTGATTATCAGATTGCAATTAGCTGATAGCACAAAATATAATTCAAACAGATTATTTAAGTAACCTGATGAGACTCAAATTGTATTTAGCCAGTGGTACAATAATAAAAGCATTTGATAATTAATAAAATACTTTTACAGAGAAAGAAGAGAAAATTCCAAGGAAATAAACATATAATAAACATTAGTAAACATTTATAGTTAACATTTTATACTAAGTATAATGGTATTATATTAAATCATGGTGAAATAGTTATTTCATCGTGATTGGTTTCTTTTTTTTATTTATTTATTTTACTTTCATTGATTCTTTTTTTTTTTTTTTTTTTTTTTTTTTTTGTGTGGTGTGTGTGTGGTGTGTGTGTGTGTGTGTGTGTAAAATATTCATGAAGTAAATGTATTTCTTAGAAAATTATATGCATCCTAACTTATAATTTAAATAATTGATGAAAAATATAATATGTATTCAAGCTTGTCTAAATTTTTAATTTAAATGTATTTCTGCAGTATGCAGTTGTAATGAAAATATATAACAATGATTTCAAAATTATGCTGTAACATACTTCATACTGCACAAAATTGTATTATTATACTTCTTCCTTAACATGCCTTAGTTTCCACCTTATTTGAAAGATGTGTGATTAGCCATCATAAGATTTTTTTTAAATTCTTAAGTGTTGAAATAAATATTAGTAAAAGTGCACAGAATGTAATTTATTTTTCTTCCATAATGTAATTAGTAGGTTGTTTTTTTTTTTTTTTTTTTTTTTTTTATATTATCTAAGTTAAAATAAGTTGAAACATTATTTCAGAACAGCATTAGCAGTTTTCCTGCAGGAATGAATGGCAAAGATAAATCAGATGAAATTATTACTTAAGAGTTATTATGTTTGGAATTGTTACCTGTTTAATAATTTGAAAGATTACATGATTTTGTAAAATAACAATAATAATTATAATAATTTTTTTCTTATTAGTAACAGGGATTTAAAAAGGGAGCTTTTTCAATATTAAATATATATATATATATATTTTAACATATTTACTAAACTATGTTTCTTAAAAAAGTTCGAAGTAAAATAATCTATATGAAGCACACCTATTCATATTTACATTTCTTTTGTTTTTATTATTATTTCAACTGCAGAAAGCCTGTGGGCAAAAGCACTTAGATAGAGCAAAAAAGAAGACTAGAAGCAAAAATGAGATTCAATACAAAATACAGATACATTATGTGTTTACATGGTAGATAGGATCCAAAAATTAGCAAGCAAACTGGACTGGGGGAGGGACAGAAAATATAAATAACGTGAGCAAATTTTCAAGTGCCTAGATTCAGTCGGCAGTATATGAGGGAGCCTTAAATAGTATAAAAGCTTGATCGAATGCAATTTTTTGTCTGCCATGAGACTTCAAGTGAAGACAGATTAAATCTTGTGATTTTATCTTGTAATAGCTCAAATTTGTCAGTATATCACTTATATTACCTATTGCAAACAGAAAAGGTCAAAATTCTTAAAGAGATGCTAATTTATTACTGCAGTGGATTACCACAAGTTTAGGCCAAAATATAGCACTGTTCAATATTTTGTATCCCAATGGGGAAAACAATGAATTCAGATGATAGTAAGCAGTTGCCTGAGATGGACTTCCATTCATATGGATCATCAAATTGAAAGATGGTACACAGTGATCCTTACTTTCCTACTTGTAAACTTGGATGTCACAAACTGATCTCAAGAAACCCTACAGTTTCAGCATTAACTATCAGAAGGTGCTTGTACAATACTGGCTTATGAGCCAGATGAACCAATAGCTATTTCCTTGACCTTAAAGTTAGTAGTGCATCCAGGCAGCAATAAAAGCTAAAGTGGAAGACTATCCTCTTTGCTTCTGCCAGAGTTGTAGCTAGGGTTCTTAGTGCCGGGGGAACAACTAAAGATTTTGTGCCTCCTTCTATGTGCCAAGAATGGAAAATATTTCATTCTAAAATTTCATAGCATCAATTTGGCACTCCCTGGATGCTGCACTCAGGAACAGATATCCCCCCTTGCCTTACACTAGCTACGCCACTGGAAGCAATAGTCTCTATCTCTTTGCTTCTTACCTGGAAGTAATGGTGGTCAGAGATTGGCCATAGGACTAACAGCATAAACACATTTTTATCAGAAAAAAGAATTTACTGATTCTGTTTTTGGAATAATGTATAGTAGATAAACTGTTTCAGGCTTCTTTTCTGGTATGCTGACAGTGCAATGTTATGTTGATTAGGTCATAATCCATCCATCCAATGTGTCTCTTCACCCACCCCATTATATGAAGGCTAATCCACATGTTCATGCCATTGTGATCAGCTGCATCTTCAGGTTTATGTTCAGTCAAGAACATTACTGGTGAGTTAGAGTAAAATGAAGAGTCAAAGACCAATCTTAATGATTTATGGGCCCAATTGCTAACAGTACGGCAGAACATTCCTGAGACAGTGATTAACAAAGTAACAGAACCTCATCAATAGCATGCTAAGACATCTAAATGCATATAGTAGTACTTCTGTGCATGGTGGTCATATTCCATACTGAATAATTTGAGATTATTTGAATATTTTATTTTCAAAATTTAATCATTTGCATATTATCACCATAATTGTTGAACCTGTGACTTTCACATTTATATGATCTTTCTTTCTTGTTCTTCCAGCTTCAGTGTTGAATAGAATATTTTGTGTGAAGTAAATTTGATATGCTTTTTCCATAAATATTATTATATTGCCAACTAATTTTTTACTATATTTTCCCGTTTATTATTAATTTAAACATATTTTCTAAATGCACTTAAGATTAAAGTATGGTTATGGGATATGATTAAGAAAAAGAATTTTAGTGAATATTTTGGAATATAATAAAGAAAAATAATTATTTTACCACAAAATGGAGTGTTATGTAGTTTTGCTAGCATAACTTATAGTTAGAGGATTTTTGTACACAAATGTGTATAATCAAAGGTACTTTCGTTTCAAAAGTTTTGACCATAGATGGAATGATTCATTTATAAACTTGTTGAGCTAAAATTATTTCTCAATCAACTTCAGTTACATATTTTTAAAAATGTGCAGTTTAAACCATGTTGGATTAAAATAATTTTTTTAAACCATGTTTAAAAAAAGATGAAAAATAGAATTAAGTTTATTCTTTATTGATCCGTTGTTCATTTCAATATATGTATAATAGCTCCTTAAGTCTTCATTTTAAACTGCTCTCTTTTCTATCCTAAATATTAAGAAATTATCATCTCAGAATTAACGGCTATCATATGATTAGGTAATGCATCTGACATACAAAGTCAAAAATTTGGACTGCACGACCACCAGAATTTTTTTTCCCCTTAGAAACTTTTTGCAAAAAGGAAAAAGAATTAAATTGTGAGAGTAGCATATGTTTAATGCTTCACACATGAGCAATATAGTATATTTTTTCATGATAAAGCATGTAAAGGGTCTTAATTGTTAATTTCACTTCAGCCCTAAATAAAATGCCTCCGTGTTGAAGAAACACAATCATTTATTAGCATAAGTCTTGTATGATCAACGGTTGGGTTCTGCAGCTGCCTTATTGCTTGACATACCTTTCAAACCAAAACATTCTATCAGCTTATCACTGCTTTATGCCAGCTTGCAAATCATTTTATTATTATTATCATTTGCTTTCATCACCACAAATATCGACTGCAACTTGCGAAATGACTTTGCAGCAATATCCAAAACAGTTTTTGTTTAAATATCAGTAAATTAGCACCAAACACTTGGTATCCTTTTATGTTGATTTTATGTTAGCAATGATTACAGAGGCTGTTCACACATTTTTTAAGACAATAAAGCCTTTTATAGTATCAAAAGAGGTAGTTTATCCTATTGCTCACGAACAGCTTTCCAAAGTCTAAGGTGGTTGAAGGTCAACATTTGGACAACCCACTTTTTAAAAGTCCAAAAGTGCAAAAATACATTGGTGACATATGAAATTTAGTAAGGATCTGAGTGAAGGATATGGCCTTGATACCCATTTCTTGTTCCATTTTTCCCCCAGGAAATTAACAGTAGATTTTGACATAATGTTTGCTTTGTCTTGATGCAGTTCTACTGATTGATCACACTGTGTGTAAAAAGAATGTATTTCATATTTGAAAATTGAATATAAAATATGTTTTTGATAATATGTGGAGTTTATCTTAACATTTTTCTTCGCTGTTTATTTTTAATTTGCCGTTATATGAAAACCCAGCAACAATCATTAATCCCTTAGTAAAACTTTTCTTTAGATGCCTTGAAACATGTTTTAAGATTTTTTTCTCCTCTTTTGTGATAAAAAATGGATATTTTACTGCAGTCATTGAAATACACCCAAGATTCTTGTTCTGTGACGACATTTTTCCATTTTTATCTGGATAAATATTTCTCATAAAGAATTTTGCAGCACATTCTTCATTCAGCAATATGTCGTGGAGAAAAACGATGCACATTATGTCTTTCTGCTTTTTCAAAATTCATAGTAGCATTAATCATTTTATTTACAGTTGACACAGCATTTCAATGATTTTGCAATTGTGACCTTTTGACTTGGCGGATTTTCTTTTAACATTAAGTATCTTACGTTTACAAGATTCCAAACATTCTGTTTTCTCCTTTGATACGTATTTGGAACAAATTTTCCACTTGAAGCTAAATTTTGACCTTTTTTTTTCTTTTATTGTTGACAGCATTTACCTATAGCTTTAGGTATCGAAAAACCATGGCTTTCACAACATTTTGTAATAGCGGATATGAATAATTTTCTTCAGAAAGAACATAAACATAGCCTTCCATCCATTTCTGCTTTAAAAGCAACATTTTGCATGAAAACAAAACTGTCAAGTAGCAGATTATAATTTATACTTTAAAAAATATAATTGCATTTAAAAGAATTTTTTTCAAGCGGAAGATTTTTTTAACAGCAAAGCAAAATCATCTAAAAAATCTGCAAACAGCCTCTGTATAATCTTCAGCCAACCTACCTCATTGCAAAGTGTTAAGATTGTTGACGAGGAGAAATTTAACAGAAGTTCTAAAAATAGATTTTGTAAATTATATTTATATGCCATTTATTGCTGTTTGAATTAAGAAAAATTTATTTTTGTTTGATAAGCCTTTTTTTTTTTTTTTTTTTTTTTTTTTTGGCATAGGTTTGGCATCTATAAACTGTTCTTGTAACTAGATATTGTTTATGATTAAAAAGCCCACCAAAATACATGGCATGGAAAAGTACCGCCTTTTTACTATAAGTGGGAATTTATTTCATCAGGGCACAAATAAGCCTTAAACATGATACATTGCTATTAGTGTGTAGCGCACACCTGATAAACTTTAGGATGATAGTCACAAATTTGAAAGTTTTTGGATGCTGCAAACAAAAAGCAAAATTTCCCAATTAATGAAATTTGTGAAGAAATCTGGAGAAGCAGTAATAAACGAAGATGACATAACAGAAGTATTCCAATGTGATAAAATATAGTAGGAATTCTCAGCAAGCTATTTACAGGACTTGAACAATGAAACTTTGTAACTAAGCAAGAAATTATGTCTGTATACAAAATTGAAGTACTAGCATGGAAAATGAAGCAACTTAAATAACTTATATTACAAAAAAAGTTTAATAAAACAAACAAATGAATACTGAGCTCTCGCTCTCTTTTTTGCGGGGTGAGGGGATCAATTTTGATTTCTTTAAGGTTGTAAAGGTTTCATTATATTATAAACAGCTATTCCAGATTTTCAATTTTAAAATTTCTACAATAATCTTAAATTCATAAACTAAATTCCACAAAACCGGAATCTGAAATCATTGTTATCCAAAGTCCCAATGACTTCGGATCCCAGACTTAAATGACAGCAAAAATCAAACTTATGTTTTTCGCCTAATAATATTCAAACCAAAACTGTTATAAACTAATAGAAATAAAGTCCTTTACTGAGAAATAAGCCACTCCCCCATCCTTAATCTAACATCAATAAACATCAGTAACACATTTTTCTCTTTTCATGCTTGCATTCATCAAATTAAGGTGTAGTTTGTTATCTCTCTTCTGACATCAACCAATTATGCTGTAAATATGTGAAATCTGGGCTTGAATGCCTCTTGTAGTGATTTTAGTTGTGTATGTTGGCTTCAATAATGCTATTTTGAAAAAAAAAAGTGGAGTAGCATTATTTACTACAAAACTGTATAAACCAGCTATGATAGCATCTTCATTATATAAAACTATAAAAGCTGTATCATCATCTATGTTAAACTCAAAATTTTCACCATATATATGTATATATATATTTTTTAATATTTAGGTTTTAAGCCATAAATTATACAAATCAAGAGTGGAATTTGATATGGCAGTTCATTCAGTTCTTAAAGAATATGGAGTAGAAATTGTTTGCCTGGCTGGTTTTATGAGAATTCTTTCAAGTAAGTCTTGAGTGTTGTGAATCAGTTCTTCACATTATCTTTAAGTAAATACAATACTTCAATAATCTTTTTTCAAACTGAAACCACAACTTGTAGAATAATCAAAAATTGATTACGCTACAGAGTCTGGTGTTCTCTGGTAACCTAGCAGACTAGAAGCGAATTATGACTGAATCTGAAGTTAACAGCAGAGTCTTGGGAAGGTTTTCTTTCTTTCTTTCTTTTTTTTTTTTTTTTTTTAACTTTTTATTAAATCAGAACTTGAACATAAACACATGGATTGTGTTTAGAAGTCAACCACCACTTGTGGCAGTGAAACTTAAGTAACAGTCAGATTCAATATTAAAAAGTAAGTCTAGTAGCTAAAGGCTACACAAATGATTTAATGTGAAGTTGGCTCAAAACTTCTCACCAGTATAACAATTTAAATGTTGACAAATTGAATCATACAATTAAGATTATACTGAGCTAGCAAAACCTACCAACATGGCCTTGAGAAGCAGAACCATGCTCCGACTTACAAATTCAAAAACTTCAGCTTAAATACTCTGAAACTAAATTTGCATTCAGGTAGGAAAACATAAAAGAGAAATGACAATAAAGATCTAAATCATCATAACTCGTTAAATTAACATAAAGGAACCTTACAGAGCTAATAAAAAAATCCAGGCTTATCTTCCCCTCTCCATAATACAAACACATATTTACAGTACTGCAAATATGGGGATTTTATTTTATTTTTTTATTTCGCACACTTCATTTTAACAATGCTCATACACTTAAGAGAAAAGTAAAATAATTTTTCCTCCATTTGTGCTAAAACTAAATGATGAAATCATTTTTATATACCAAACACTTTATATTTAGAAACATAATTCTTTTCTGGAAAATAAAGAAAATCATTGCTACCTGCACCCATAAGGCACCCCTGATAAATTTATAAACATCATGGCTTCTAAGAATACAATTATATTTCATTATTTAGGCATCCTTTTTTTTTAATTCGTAACATAAAATTGTGAATGAATTTTATAAAGAGAAATAATTATTATATCTCTCTTTCCCATCATAAAATATGATAAATAATATTTCTCCTTTTAGTTCATTAATTACTTATTGAATTTTAAAGATTATTTTATAATTTGTTTTCATCATTTTAGTCTTGATGACATATTATTAATCAAATTATTCAATGAAATGAAGAATCACTCTTTTATTTTCAACAATTCTATTGTGTCAAATGGTTGAAAAAATATAAACATCAAAATTCAGATAATTTGTCTGTTTATCAAATAAATATAAGTGCAAAAGATTGTTTCAACATTATATTTTATTTTAAAAAACTTTAAATAAAATTTTGAAAAAATCTTTACCATACTGTATTGTCATCCACAATGATTATAAAAGCAGTTTATGTTTAGAATTCCTAATGCAGTATTAAGTGCTGGCATACATTTTTCTGTTTTTTTCTGGTCTTTTTATTAGTTCATTAAATCAATGTTTAGTTTTCTTACTAAGGTGGCTTTACAAAACTTTTTTTCTCTTTTTATTATTAGGAACGCGTTATAGTGAAAGAGCGACGGACTGCACTGGTTAATTCCATGGTAACCAGTTCAGCTAATGGAAACTTACCTATGTCGTCGTTACTGGACGTTAATGACTTCAGCGAAATAAGTAGATTACTGTGTGTTACTGCTTGGATTAAAGGGTTTGTGCACAATTCTAAACCTAATTCTACAAAATTAAATGGACCTATATGTGCTCCAGAACTCGAGCAAGCTTTGCGTTTTTGGATCAAAGCTACTCAATTCAAACATTATAGTACAGAAGTTACCCAACTTCTTTCTAAAGGAACTATCGATAAGAGTTCACGCATATTTAATTTGAATCCTGAACTTGATGATAATAACTTACTTTGTTTAAAGGGACGTTTACAGTTTTCAAGTAACGATATATGCGAGCCAAACATCCAAACATCCTTGGCTTCTTCCATCTAATGATAAATTTGTTGAACTACTTATCTGTGATTCTCATACTAAAATGTGCCATTTAGGTGTTGATGCAACTTTTAACACATTTACGAGAACAATTCTGGATTGTTAAAGGTCGTCATTTTGTGAAAAAAGTGTTAAATAACTGTCTGATTTGTAGACGATTCAAAGTGAAATCTGGAATGCAGGTGGTTGCCCCTTTACCGCCTGATAGAATTCAAGAGCATCCACCATTTGATGTATGCGGTGTGGATTTTGCCGGACCATTTTTTTATTCGTGATTTTAATTCAAAGTGTTATTTACTTATATTCAGCTGTGCAGTTACAAGAGGTATCCACTTAGAAGTAGTTCTTAACATAAGTGCTGATTCTTTTTTGTTAGGATTCCAGCGATTTGTTTCTCGTCGAGGATTATGTTCCACTATATATTCTGATAACGCCAAAGCTTTTAAAAAAGCAAATAGTGAATTGAAAAAATGGTGGAATCATAGATAGATAATGATCAAAAGTTAAAAATTAAAATTTGTTGCTTCTAAAGGTATAGTTTGGAATTTTATAGTTGAAAAAAGTCCATGGTGGGGAGGTTTCTGGGAGAGACAGATACGGAACGGTTAAAACCTGCTTAAAGAAAATTGTTGGACGATCCTCTCTCTCTTTGAAGGAATTGGAAACTGTTTTTTTCGGAAATTGAAGCTCTGGTTAATTCCAGGCCTATCACGTATCTGTACAACGAACCCTCAGAACCCTCTCCACTCACCCCATCTCATTTTCTTATTGGTAAAAGATTGGTGTCTTTACCTGTAATAAAACATAAAAATGAAAATTTAAATGTTAATAGGAATTCTTTGGTAAAGAAATATAATATCAGCAAACACTTTTGAATCACTTCTGGAACAGGTGGAGAAAGGAATATTTACTTAATCTAAGATCAGCTTATATTTCTCCACAACCAGGTAAAATAGTTTCATTTAAAGTGAATGATATTGTTTTGATTAATGATGAGCGTTATCCCAGAAATATGTGGATGATGGGAAAAATTTTAGAGCTATATCCAGGAAGAGATGGAAAAGTTCGTTCTTCTCTCTTATTCAGAGACTCCTAAAGGACAAATAAAACGCTCAGTACAACTTGTGTATAATTTGGAAATTAATCCTTAATTGTGTTAGTTTAATTGAGTTGCAACCTGTTAATGTTCTATCTGTGTATTAATGATAGTTTAATTGTGCTTATATTTTAAGGCTTGATATTTGAACAATTTTCTTTGGAAGTTAAAAGTGTTGAATTTGGTTTTTGTATGTTACAAGTGCACTGAATAATTTTGAAGCTTTGTATTTGATATAATATGCTATTTATATATATTTTTTATTCTTGTAATTTTAAATGGTTCCTGAATGTAAATTTAGTTAAAATTCAATGGTAAGTGAACTCAAGTGAGTTCAGGTGGGGAGTATTACGTATTTCCAGTGTCATTCTGACTAGAGGGCGCTGCGTTCGTCCTAATAGTCAGTGGCAGGCAGGATACTAAAGGTGTAAGGACGTGGAAGGCAGAGATGCCTAATAATATATCTCTAATTGATTGAAATTTTCGTATATTTTCTTGTAAATAAATGTTGTTATTGTTAACAAAACCTCTTATTATCTCTTGGATGCACCTTTAGTCTCACAGAACCATTATGGTCCCTGATTCCGATTCACTGATCGTCTACAAATCAGACAGTTATTTAACACTTTTTTCACAAACCGACTTAACAATCCAGAATGTTCCGTAATGTTTTAAGTTGAGCAAACTAAATGGCACATTTTAGTATGAGAATCACAGATAAGTAGTTAACAAATTATCATAGATGGAAGAAGCCAAGGATGTTTGGCTCGCATATCGTACTTGAAAACTGTAAACGTCCCTTTAAACAAAGTAAGTTGTTATCATCAAGCTCAGGATTCAAATTAAATGTGCGTGAACTCTTATCGATAGTTCCTTTAGAAAGAAGTTGGGTAACTTCTGTACTATAATGTTTGAATTGAGTAGCTTTGATCCAAAAACGCAAAGCTTGCTCGAGCTTCTGGAGCACATATAGGTCCATTTAATTTTGTAGAATTAGGTTTAGAATTGTGCACAAACCTTTTAATCCCAAGCAGTAACACGCAGTAATCTACTTAATTCGCTGAACTCATTAACGTCCAGTAACGACGACATAGGTAAGTTTCCATTAGCTTGAAACTGGTTACCATGGAATTAACCAGTGCAGTCCGTCGCTCTTTCACTATAACGCGTTCATCACAGATGTCATTAAAATGATGTAGCGATTCTTTGAAAGAGGCCACGAGTAAAGCGGTTTAGACAACCAAACAGGGCCTGACCACCACACAGAACTTGTAAAGAATCCTCCTAGCCGATTCTCCTCTAGTAGTAAGGTCTGCGGGATTGTCGGAAGCCACTGCAATGGTTCCAACACTCTGGTAGAGTCAGCGACTGCACTTGAGCTACTCTGTTGGCGACAAATGGTTTCCATTGTTTAGAAGATCCTTTTCAACCAATGAAGGACGATTTGAGAGTCGCTCCAGAAGAAAAAATTTGTTTCGCGAAATTAGGAAATAGACCTTGTAAATAATTTCCTAAACATTGCAGAGGGAGGAGTGCTGCCATTAACTCTAATCTTTGCAAGAGGTCAAAGTTTTTAAAGGAGCAACCTTACTTTATGACATTATAAAGCTCACTTTGATTTATTTGGCCATTGTAGTTCACGTACCTTAGGAACTGCAACAGCCCCATATGCCTTGGGACTGGCGTCACAAAACACATGAAGAGAAACTTCACTTATTTCTACACTTTCAAAAAACCTTCTTTTCAATAGATACTGATTCAAGTTCAGAAGTTCAGAACACCAGGTTCTCCATTTATTTTGTAGGTCACTTGGCAAATCTTCATCCCATTGTAGACAACGTTCCCACATCTCTTGCAGAAGAATTTTCACAGTGATTACAAAGGGACTAATCAGTTCACATGGATCAAGTGCTCATTCTTTTTTGTTAGGATTCCGACGATTTGTTTCTCGTCGAGGATTATGTTCCACTATATATTCTGATAATGCCAAAGCTTTTTAAAAAGCAAATTGTGAATTGAAAAAATGGTGGAATCAGATAGATAATGATCAAGTTAAAAATTTGTTTTCTTCTAAAGGTATAGTTTGGAATTTTATAGTTGAAAAAAGTCCATGGTGGGGAGGTTTCTGGGAGAGATAGATACAAACGGTTAAAACCTGCTTAAAGAAAATTGTTGGATGATCCTCTCTCTCTTTGAAGGAATTGGAAATTGTTTTTTCGGAAATTGAAGCTCTGGTTAATTCCAGGCCTATCACGTATCTGTACAACGAACCCTCAGAACCCTCTCCACTCACCCCATCTCATTTTCTTATTGGTAAAAGGTTGGTGTCTTTACCAGTAATAAAACATAAGAATGAAAATTTAAATGTTCTATCTGTGTATTAATAATAGTTTAATTGTGCTTATATTTTAAGGCTTGATATTTGAACAATTTCCTTTGGAAGTTAAAAGTGTAATTTGTTTTTGTATGTCAAGTGACTGAATAATTTTGAAACTTTGTATTTGATATAATATGCTATTTATATTTTTATTCTTCTAATTTTAAATGGTTCCTGAATGTAAATTTAGTTAGAATTCAATAGTAAGTGAACTCAAGTGAGTTCAGGTGGGGAATATTACATATTTCCAGCGTCATTCTGACTAGAGGGTGCTGTGTTTGTCCCAATAGTCAGTGGCAGGCAGGATACTAAATCTGTAAGACATGGAAGGCAGAGAAGCATAATAATATATCTATAATTGATTGAAATTTTCATATATTTTCTTGTAAATAAATGTTGTTATTGTTTACAAAACCTCTTATTATCTTTTTGAATGCACCTTTAGTCTCATAGAACCATTAGATGCAAAATTTAATGTTTTTTGTGTTTACTTTATTTATTAAATATCATGTCTTTGGTGCTTACACCCCATAAAATTCAATTCAATAGCAAAATCACAAAATATTTAAAAACAGCATATCTTTAGAATTTCCAATAGACATTCCAATAGACAGTCTCGCATGCTGGAGATAGAAATGCTTTTTTCCATATAGTGTTGCCACTGCTCACTTTGAAATCATTGAGTTTCTTAATAAGTTCATTAAAGTTTTGCAAAATATGAAATAGATAATAAAATGAATTCAAAATTCGGCCTTCCACGTGCCCGTGTTCAGATGGAGGACTATTTAATTCAAAAGTTGATGACTTTAAGAACTATTGCTTTTTTTACAATGTGAAAAAACTGCATATTCTTCATTATTTAAATTCTTTAACATAACACAGGGCAACAATTTGAAAAGTGACTTAACAGTAATGTAACGCAAAATGCCTTTTCAAAGCTTATATCCCATTTGGGACTATATCCCTTTTAGGCTAAAAACGCCCAAATCTGAAAAAAAAAAAAATGGAGGAGTCCTTTTATTTAATAATGTATCAGAAGGTATAATGCTTCAAAGCTCTTTTATGGCTTTACTTTTAAAATTTTATCAACCAAATTTTTCTTTCAATCCCCCCCCCCTAAATCTAACAAATTTTTATATGGTAGCCATGATTGACATTTTTGAAATTTTTTTTTTTCAGTGAAAATGGGTCGGATTACATTATTTTTAAATCACAGAATTCAATATTTTTAAAAACTGATCTTCATTAGGATGAAGAACAATTTATAAATTAGAACTTCTTTTTTAAAGATTTGTGTATAAATTTGGCTTTTGTATATTTTTATTAAAATGCATCACTTTCTGAAAGCCTTTCTTATTTTATTCTTTTCTTGCATCTGATTTATGGTGCTGCAGATAGATTATTTAGATTACGGCAAAGTATACGAGGGCTATCTGCCTAAGGGGAGGTCTTTCAAAGGGAAACTGGCTAACAGTCATATTGCACATGAGAAGACTGTTATAGTACTACGACCAATCATTCAAAATATATTTAATATCATAACTTTTTCTTCTTTTTGAGTTCTATATACTTTTAGTTTATAGACCGATTAATAAATTTAGTGCTTTATGATCACGTTCAAATGTACAGATGTTCAAATATTATTATTATTATTATTACCCTATATTAATTCAGTTTATGGATTGATTAATGAATTTAATGCTGTATTTAAATCTTTTGCATTCTTTTAGGAGAATTTGTTCAGTTGTGGCAAGGAAAGTTACTGAATGTACATCCTGCTATTCTGCCTGCATTTAAAGGAATGAATGCCCATAAACAAGTTCTCAGTACCGGTACTAAGATCACAGGATGCACAGTCCATTTTGTTGAGGTAATGATTAATATACATTTATTCTGATCATATGCTACTGATCTTCTGAATAAACTGATTGTAGGACTGACTAAATAGCTCTAGTAATTAGAAATTGGAATATATTTATAACAGAAATTTAAATATAAATTAGTCCAATTAAAGTATTTCTATTTTATGTAAATATATAGATGTTTAAAATTTTAACTGTTTTATCGTAATAATTATTGTCTGAATTGTACAGTGATTTAATACAGATTTATCTAAATGTTCGAAATAAAATTTTATTTTCTAGGATTTAGAGCTGCACAAAAATATCTATGGTAACAGATATTTTTATTAAATATGTGATGAAATACGAGGGCCATCCAGGAAGTAGATTACGTTTCCGTCTGTGTCCGCTAGGGGCGGGGCTAGCGCGGCCATCTTGGGGTCAGAGCGTTGCGCAGCTCAGTCTGCATCTAGCCGTGCTAGTGAGAGGTTCGTGCTGTGCTCCGTTCAGATACTGTGACGGTTTGAAATGTCTGCGTTAATTGAAAATCCCGCGAGCTGCGAGGTGCGCTCAGTAATAAGGTTTCTGACTGCAAAAAACTGTAAACCGATAGAAATCTATCGGCAGCTTCGTGAAGTGTATGGGGACAACATTATCACTGAAGGTGGAGTGCGTCAGTGGGTCATAAGATTTCAAAATGGCCGAACCAATGTTCACGACGAAGATCGAAGTGGGAGACCCAGCATAGTGACCGCCGCCGAACTTCTCGAAAAAGTCGATGCTATGCTAAGTCCGTGAAAATCGAAATTTCACAATAACGGAACTTTCTTTGAGTTTTCCACAAATTTCGCGAAGTTTGTTGCACGAAATCATCAGCGAAAAGCTTGGTTACCACAAGTTTTGTGCAAGATGGATTCCAAAAATCTTGACAGAGGACCACAAAAATCAGCGAATGGCTGCAGCGTTGAACTTTTTGGACGCTTACCATAAGGATGGTGACTCTTTACTCGATCGCATCGTTACTGGTGACGAAACATGGGTGAAACATGTGAACTGTGAAACGAAATTGCAATCAATGCAGTGGGGGCACACAAGTTCTCCCCAAAAACCCAAGAAATGCATGCAAACAATGTCGGCAAGGAAGATGATGGCGACTGTTTTTTTGGGACAGAAAAGGTGTAATTTTGGTGGACTTCCTGGAAAGAGGCACTACAATAAACTCTCAAAGGTATTGCCAAACTCTCCAAAAACTCAGAAGAGCAATTCAAAACAAGCGCAGAGGAATGTTGAGCTCTAAGATCTTGTTGATTCACGACAACGCCCGGCCCCACACGGCAAATGTCACTCGTAAAGTTCTTGAATCTTTTAAGTGGGAGTTGTTTCCTCATCCGCCATACAGTCCCGACCTGGCACCGAGCGACTTCCACCTATTCCCAGCAATGAAGAAGTGGCTGGCTATGCAGCGTTTTGATGACGACGCACAGCTGCAAGAAGAAGTGGTTGAAGGCGCAGGCGGCCGAATTTTTCGACGAAGGAATTTCCAAGCTCGTACATCGCTACGATAAATGCCTTAATTTGTATGGTGACTATGTAGAAAAGTAGTATTTGAGTGTGGCTTTCATCTGTATATAATAAAATTTGTTTCCTATACTTTGTTTATTTTTTTATTCCAAAACGTAATCTACTTTCTGGATAGCCCTCGTACATTCTAAAATAAAGGTGCATGTCTAAGGTCTTTTTCTTTTCACAGCCTGAAGTTGATGCTGGAGCTATAATAGAACAGGCTGCAGTACGTGTAAATAGCACTGATACAGAAAAAACATTGCAAGAAAAGGTTAAAGTACTGGAACACAAAATATTCCCAAAAGCATTAAATTTGCTAGCTAGTGGAAGAATTTCAAGAGACCCTGATGCGAAACTTCAATGGAATTACTAATTTTTTTATTGCTTATATTCCCAGACATAATACATATTGCTTAATTGTACATAAAATATTTTTATATTTCTCATCAAGATCCATGTTTAATGCTATATATTCTAAATTGTACATAAAGCCTTTTACATTTTGTTAAAAAATCATTGTTGAATTAATAAATGAGACACATTTCATAAAAACGTCTGATTTTTAGTTCACCATTTCAATTGATTAATTTCTTAATTTTTTTAAAGAGATTAATGTTTATAAATTAAACACATTTTTATACTATCTATGTGTTTCAATGAAAAAAATGGGGTAATACTTACACTGTTAAAAATTAACTACATTTCTTTAGTCAATGTAAAACTTATATCAATATTTTACACTATTCAAAGAGTTTTGTATTCAAGAAAAATTATATATATATTTAAAAATGGGAAATACAATACATATGGTGAAGTTCTACAAATATCCTTCAAATTAATATTAGATAAATGCATGTATCATCCAGAGTTGTAGACAGAGGGACTTGACATATAGCTCACTATCACCGGTTTCATCGCTTTCCACAACTGAGAAGCATTAATATCAAGTATGCGTAGATAAATATCTTTAATGAAATTTTAGAAAGTCACCGAGTTATTGTCTTTTGGGGGGATATTTACATAATATGCATAACCATCATTTAGTCATCGCAAAAGCTGGTGAGGCACATCGTTCACACTCAGTATTGAATATTTACGTCACTGAACTGTAATTACATTTGCATCAGAGCTGTCTAGTTAGAGCATAGCTGTATGGCCTATTAAATTATACACATTTTTTGCATTTTATTTAAATCTATTTTCTCGAATTTTGTAAACATATATTTCTCATTCAATCAATTCATTTCTCACTTCGTGGGAAAGCAAAAATGCATAAAAGCTTAAAATATATTCATTAAAATTTGTAAAATGCAGAAAAACATAAAACACTAGATGCAGTTAAAAAACCAATTTTACAATTAAAACTAGTTTCTATGCAAAAATGAGCATTTCGGCCTGGGGGCAAGAAGGCAGATTTTTCGATGCAGAAAACTGAAAGTTTACTTTTGGTCCCACTCAGTAAAAAAAAACAATGAAGATGCAGAAACTGAATTCACTATTTTACAGAGTTTCAAATGTAAACAAATGAATGCTCATTAGGCTTAACTTGCCACTTAAACTATTAAATTGTTGACAATTCTACAATTGCATGCAGATTAAATAAAGGCATAAAAGCTTTAACTGGAACAAAAACCACATAATTCAGTCACTTTTAAAAGCAAAAAATGCACAATTTACCAACATATAAGAATAAAAACACCAAACTCACCAAGCCAGGTAATACAATGATATATATACAATACAAAGTCCAAAATCAAAACTTTGGCGATTCCAGATATTAGATCATCAGTTTAAATCTAGTAAGATCGCATGTAGAAATTATAAAAAATATGAAATCATGATTTTTGAAATAATGAAGTATTATGATCTAAAGGGTATCAAAATTTACAAAAAAAAAAAAAGCTTAATATTTATTCGCTTACATTATTAAACATTTCTTTCAATGTAAGTTGTTTAAATTGCTTCATTTTTTCTGATAATACTTCCTCTTTAATTCTGTAGACAGACATAATCTCTTGCTTAGTTACATTGTTGAAGCCCTGTAACTGCCGTTTCGAGAATTCCGACTAACTTGTCAATCAAAATATTCTCGTTTTCAGTAACTTCTCTGTCACTTTCTTCACTATCGGAAGCGGTATTTTCTTGATCTAGACCATACAACAAATTTTGCCATTCATTAATTAATTGATGATTGAGAAGCATTGTCATCGCAATGAAAAACTTCTTTTACATCATCTTCATTTATTACTTCTCCGCGTTTCTTTACAAAATCCATTAATTGGAAAATTTTACTTTTGTGATATCCGAAAACCTTTAAAATTAGCAGCTATCCTTCACTATACATGTTTGGCTAAGCATCATGAGCTTGGTGACTAACGACAAGTTGTTCTATTAAATTTTATCTTGCTTCTATTGCACACTGAGGCAATTAAGCCTGAATTGTATTAGTTATTTATTATACTTATGTCTATTTCTTGCACATAGTTAAGGCTTATCAGAGTTCTGAATAAACAAATTCCCATGGCGCTATATCTTACCGCCTGATGCAGTGCAGTCTCTGTAGGTCCTAAATTCTGCGATTCGGTGTGGCCATACAAGCCCTGACGCTGGTTCTGGGTTTATGTGAATAACAAATCAGTTATTCTTAATTCAAATGCCCTAAATGTAATCTTTGGGTCTAAGAGTATTATCAACAAAATCTATTTTTAACATATGGAAAAAAAATTTTGGTGATTTTTTCCTCGTCAACATTTTTTAGCGCATTTAACTTAAATCTGCAATTATCGCCGAGCGTAATGTCAACATAAAAGTAAACCATACTCCTTTATTAAATTACTAACATAAAAAATTGTTTAGGCATCATTACATAAGTCATTATTCAAGTTGCCATGTTTTGATAAACATGTGATGATGAAAGGAAAGTACGAGGGTTGGAACTAAGGAATACAAAAGTGATTCATGTCACCATGTTTTACAGTCCTTCAATATAGTTGCCAGCATTGTGTATAACCTGTTTCCAACGATGTGGAAGTCGCAGAATACCTGTAGCAGCACCTGTTTTGTTGATAGTTTGAATGGACCGGTCTACTGCCACAAGAATCTCAGGAACAGTTTGGAAGTGAGTGCCACAAAGTGGTTCCTTCATCTTAGGAATTAAGTCATAGTCACAAGGGCTTAGATCTGGGGAGTATGGTGGATGGTAAAGCACTTCCCAGCCCCATTGCTTGAACAAATCAGTCACAGCTTCTGCTGCATGTGGCCGAGCATTGTCATGCAAAATGAGAGGAGTTCTGGCTGGTACGATCGGGCCCAAGTCTCATCCAGCGTAATGATACGGCGTAAAAAAGCATCTCCTTCGCGCTCATAGCACTCCAGGTGGGTTTGGGTCAGCATCGTATGGTAGCCATTTCTGCATTTCCGTCAATTGATGTGGAACCCATCGTGAAGCAGTTTTTCTCACTGACAGGCGTTCCTTCAGAATGTGCAGCACAGTCGTATGCGCTAATCCTGTTTGTCCGGCCAGCTGACGAATTGTTTGACGGCGATCACTGTCCATTAGTGCGGCAACAGCTTGCACGTCTGCATCGCTGACACTTGGACGACCTGGCCGCAGCATGTCTGCCACGTTTTGCCGTTCTTCATTGAATGCTTTCACCCATCTTGCTATGGTTCTGTAAGGCAATGCAGATTCCCCGCAAGCCTCTTGAAGCCCTTGATGACACTGTCGTGCTGTACGACCTCTGGCACATTCAATTTTTATCCAACATTGTTGTTCTTGTTTTGAAAACATCCTGACAACACCTACTTTAGACCGTGAGCTAATACAAGGATCCGTTTCGCGTCACTCCGCATGCGCGTGACGTAGGCAGGACAAGTCTTTTTGCTGAGAGGTAAGGTAGGTATGTAGTTTATGTGTGTTATACACGATATTCTTTGGTTTTGTTGCATAGCATTTTTTCAGCTGTGTTGCCACTATTAAAGTTCCAACCCTCATATAATAATAAGGATTCACCAGGTTGGCATCAGATTAAAGATATATATATGTGGAATGTTTCGGTTTGAATTGTGTGCCAAGGAGATACGCAGCAATGGAGCCAATTTACTGATCGTACAAATTCATGCCAAAATGATTGTTTTTTCAATAACAAGGTATTTTATTTAGTGTCAAAGTAAAATTAAGAATTGGGACTCTCCGGATGTTTTATTATGCATGGATGGGGAATCAATGGCGCATGCGTAAAGCCTACGAGAAAAACATTGTTGGCGGTTTTGAGGTTCGGATTTTAGATCATTCCGGATATTTGGACGTCCGGATTTCGGACTTTGTACTGTATATGATTGGTGCAGCCAATTGCAATGAAAAAGGGAGGTGCACAACTAAATGGCAGTCTGATATACAAAATTTCAATGTTCTATGGCTACTCGTTTCTCAGTTATGCAAGGTATATATGTATGTACAAATGTGAAGAACAAATCTCTTCCAAGTCCATTTTACAATCCTTTTTGGCAAAAAACGGTCCTTTATTTGCTTTGTACATAAAGATGTCACGCAAAAATATCGTTCTAAGGTTTCAAGAGCAGCTGAAATGGATATTTTTGTTAAAATATGATACCTGGAATTTGTCACATTCATTATTTACAATACTTGCTTTTCTTCATACAAGGAAGTAAGAAAAAAGAGAGAAAATAATATTTTCTTTCATTCTGTTTTTGAATTAAAATCAAAAGAAATTTGTGGGAAGAAGGGGAACAGAATCTAGTAAACTACTTCCATAAGTTTTTTGTATTAATATTAAATAGAATGTTTTCTGTATTTTTTCCATTAAAATGTAAAATGTTGCTAACTTCTATCCAAGCATACAATCACATATCAATAGAATCATGGATACAGTCATAAGGAATATCTCTCATTAGCCAAACCTTATGGCATGCACAATAATATAACAATCGTATACTCAACTCCATCCTATTTTGATAAAGGATAAGCTGAAGACTGAATTTCAAGAAATACACACAACTCTCTTCCTACAAAGAATCCCTCAAGAAAATATTTGAATCAACAGATACAGTACCCCAATTCCACAAAGATACTTTATAATCAAAATGAAACCTGAATCAACTGCTCAGCAAATGGCTTTGCCAACTATAACAGCATGCAAAAGTGTTTTTCACAAGCATCATCTGCATGCAGATTAAATGGGATATTTGTTTCCCTGAATTTGAGCAAAATGATGTTTTTGTATTGATACACATATAGAAATATGTATAATATATGTACTGATACAATACAAGAATACCTCACTTAGAACTATTAATTGGTACCACACTAAATGAATCTGCATGGAGTGAAACATTATTTCTAAAGAAAAATTTGTAATTTGGCCCTATCAAATTTTGTTAAAACAATAATACTTAGGTTATTTACCTACAGTGAATGGAAAATAAAAGAGGAAAAAGCACTGAATGAAATTTACTACTCAAATTACTAACAGTACTATAGCAGGGTCCGCACTGAGTGAAGTCACACTTTACAGTATTCAATAATATATTTT